TCAAAACTAACCAATATAAATCGTAATTATAAATATTATTAGGGAATTTAAAAAATGTATTAGAAAATTACGTTAAACTATGTCAAAAGAATCAAGAAGGAATACTTTTTGAATAAGTAAAACAAATGTTTTAAAGACCTTAATAACAGTTATCTACCAAAGTATAGTACCACCAATAAAAAAACTATTATTAAAACAAAACAAGTTAAATCAGTTCATAGAAAACTCCGATGAAGGATGAACATTAGGAAAACCCGATCTACATTCCAGGAAGAAAATCACTCACCAGGGCTCAAGAATCATAGACACGAAAATAAAACGTCACAAAACGCGTGCACTCGGGCATGCACTAGGTATGCCTCTGGGCATACCCGATCGAATTTAACACGGTTCGATGCGAAATCCGAAACGTTTTCTGTGTCGCGTTGAAAAGCCCATTTACCTACTTCGGATGCGTTCATTATTATCAAACGACGACGATGCCCAGCCCATCGTGATTGAAATACAGGGCGTTCGCGAACTACGTGACCGCGTCGGAAGTAACATGAGGGTCATGGCGATCGGTGGTAGTGGCCGAGATCTGGAATACCCAAAATGAAACCGGATATAAAACGAATATCCGGCGTTTGCGAATACAATACTCACGTAACGACGTTATTTGATAGTTTTGGTTAGCTTAAATGATTTGATTTTCATTTCGCCTGCCATAAATAATATTTGATTCCGTACAAACAATAATAAAACAAAATACGAGACCAAATTAACAGCAGCATAGTCTAGCAGAATAGCGCGGCAAAGTTAAAATAGCAAGATCGGCCTAAGATAAATCTGTGGGTCTGCATGATCTTCCACAGGTATAAAAACCGCCTTTAACCGCCGCAAAATGCAATCCTGACAGAAAGTTATAACTATATATATACAATTTTAGAAACTATAATTTAAACTATGTAATTTTGATACTTAAAAGCGTGATTTTTCATCAAGTCAAAAGTTTTAATGTCGGTTTTAAGATTTACGATATTTTTACTTCATATAGTTGTCTCTACAACACTCATTATTGGCTGACATACTTCATTCTCACGTATCAAAAGTTTTTTTTTTAATTTTAAACAAGATTACCTTTCCTATGACAAATTATTTAAAAAATATAATTTTTGCCAAAAAAAAAATCAAAAACAGGCTGGACGCAAAATAAAACGAACCGCTCGTTAGCGACGCTCCTGTAAGAAAAATTATAACCAAATCATAGGTACTTGTGGTCAAAATTTAATTTACGCCTCTTAGTATAAATATATAATAACTCCGTATAGATAATATAATTTTAGGAAACATATATTTTTTTATATTTAATCGCACATTTAAGTTTTGCACGAATTTAAGATTGCTACGTATTATACGTATAGTCAGCGTTACGTAGCCGGCCAAATAAATCGTTCGTGTCAAAATATTGACCGTGCATCATCGCACCGAAAAAACTATGATAAGGAGCATAAAAATGGCAACGTTTAACAATGGTTATAAATGTCGCAGCGTAAACACTTGGAGCGGTATTTAATAGCCAATTCCCGTTATCGTTTCTGAGTGATCCGGACGGGTAACCGATAAGCAATGAAAATCGATAAGTATCAACCGATTTCGTAATCATGCGATACGGCATTAGACCAATGACCGATTGAGCAAGATTTTTTCAGCGCGAAATATATTTTGATTGGATGTAACACCGCATTTCGAAGTAAAAGAAAGAAGAAGTAAAGAAGTAAAAAAAAAAGGCGTCAAATATTTGGGGAACCATATAGCCATATAACCCACATAGCTGCAGTTAATACTTAAAATTGAAGAGTCTCAGACGGCAATGACATTAGCATAAAGGAAATAATCTTTTTCTACTCCCGTCTGTAAAATACCTAATTACGCACCGATCTAGCTTGGGGGAAGCGTCACTTTACCATGTGAGTTTCGTTTCCCACGAATCAGAGCCACTTCGGACATTTCCGGGATATTACCGCATGGGTTTCGGAACAGTCGGATGTTTTGCATGTTTCAATATATTGGTTTCAAAAGTCGTCATGTATTTCACCGAAGTTAAAACGATGTGATTGGTTACTGATCCCCTTTACTGATTCGTAGCAGAACGAAGCGCAAAAATCAAAAATTTTGGTCACAGCTTGTAGTAATATCAGATTTTGGTCATACCATAAGGGGTCAAAAGCATAGCTTCAATTAAAAGTATTACCTTTATTTAAAGTTCAATTAGCTCCTGTAATTATTTTTTATTCCATGACTGTTAAACAACAACGTTTATAGAATATATAAAGAGTGATTTGAGTGTTCATTTCTTGCAAACCGTTGGTAATTAAAAAAATTGAAAGTTACACATGCAACGAATGTGACGTATGAGATTAGATGCGTAAAATTAATTTCATGTATACAGGATGTACCATAAATGTGTAAAAAAGTTATGTTTTTTCTATATACTTTTCACATTTGTATAATATAACTAAATTTCCAAGGTCTTTTCAAAATGTTGTATTTTTACCTTAAAACATCGAACCTTGAATAAAGAGACATATTTGATTAAAAAGTCGCCTTTATCATCCCCTGTAACTATGAAAAACAGCATCTGCGGCTACACAAAAAGGCGGCGCTCTTTAAAGTGACGAGTATAATAATCCTAGAAATTTTAATTTCTCAGTGTTTGCATCGTTGCATTTCGTAAGATTTTCAAGCCAGAAACCAGCTATACGAGGTGCGCTTAAAAAGTAATGTGACTTTAAGTTTTATCAAAATTAATGTTGTTCCCTTCAAAGTAAACATTCCCTCTCCCCCAGATATAATACACTTGTGTCAACGTTTTTTCCAATCCTCGAAGCTGTTCTGGTAAGCCCTTTCTGTTATATCCTTGAGTTCTTCCAGCGATTTTGTGTTTATCTCTTCCTTCCTTTTTTGCGTTTCTTGAGTTTTGGGAAAATGAACAAGTCGCAGTGGGTAATATCTGGTGAAGATGGTGGCTGAGGCATGAGTGTGGTTTTCTTTTTGAGTAAAAAGTTAGACACAAGCAACGATGAGTAAGCAGGTGCAGTATCGTGATGCAAAATCCATGAATTCCGGACGTTTTCTTCGCATTGCTTCTTGCAAACGGCGCGTAATTTCAATGTAATACTCTTTATGGACCATACGACTTTGTGGTAAGATCTCTTGATGTACTACGCCATGGTAATAAAAAAAAACAGTAAGAAAAACCTTGACATTTGATCGAACTTGACGTGCTTTTTTCGGATTTGGCAATTCTAGGTCCTTCCATTTGGACGACTGGACTTTGGTTTCGACTCATGATTCGTCACCTTTTTGAGCATATCAGGATCATCATTGGCGTCGTTTAACAGTTGTTGAGCGATGCTCCTTCGACGGTCCTTTTGTTCAAATTTTGCTGCTACACGTTTCATGCATTTCAAACTTCGGAAATAATTGCATGGCACAAGCCAATAGAGATGCCGACGTCTTCAGCGACTTCTCCAATAGTGAGTCGACGATTTTTCAACACTATTTGTTTCACTTCTTCAACGCTTTCATGGGGCCTTCAGAGCGAGGTTCGTCATCGGCGTCTTCTCGGCCGTCTTGGAACAGCTTGTACCACTTATAAAGTCCCTCTGGGTCAGTACTGCACTGTGTTTCAGGCGGATATTTTCGCTTTATTGATGGCGGCCAGAGAGGTGCTTCGGCTCAACCACGGAAGCAGGAGAGTCTTCTTCTGCTCGGATAGTAGGGCTGCATTTATGGCGCTGAAGTCAGTGCGTACGCGCTCCTTGTTGATAAAGGAGTGCAAAGGGGTACTGAGGAGGGTGGCTGAGAAGAGGAAGGTCACGTTGGTCTGGGTCCCGGGTCAAACCGGTATCCGGTACAATGAGGCAGCGGACGCCTTAGCCAGAGAGGGCTCCTCGCATAGGCATATAGGGCCAGAGCCCCGCTTGGGGATCGCCCCGTGTGTGAGGCGGGGAGCTCTCGAAGCCTGGGCGAGAGACCGGGCCACGGGGGGTTGGAGAGTTGCTCCGGGAATGAGGCAGGAGCTGCTTAGACTGACCAGAAGGGAGTGTAGAGCACTAACAGGGGCCTACACAGGACATTGCAGGCTTAGGAGGCATCTTTGCTTGCTAGGCATTGGAGACGACCCGGAGTGTAGGTGGTGCATGGAAGGGGAGGAGACCCCGTATCATCTGCTCACCGAGTGCCCTGCCTTGACATGGGCAAGATTGGGAGTCTTCGGAACGGCCCTGATCGATCCGGACTCAGTGCACGGTAGTGGGCTAAAGGAGTTGCTGACCTTCTATAGGAGGGGCGGCATTCTGGACGCCCTCTAGAGCGGCCTGGGGGCACAACGGGCCCATCTGGTGGCCTAAGTGATTGGACGCCCGCGAGGGCGCCCCCTTTAATACCAATACCAATATCAATACCAATACCACTTATAAACATTTTTGCAGCAGTGTATTCCGTTTTTTACACAGAATATAATGCAAATTCTTTGTTCTATTTTTTTTAGAGTAGAACATCGCCATATAACGCTTCTGGTTCACAATAAAAACCGTGCAAATTTGATAGGGACATGTTGTTCCAACCTAACAAAAAAAATCGAAGATCGAATGAACGTAGCCCGCCCAATTACAAGAGTCGTCTTACTTTTTGAACACACCTCGTACATATTATAATTAGAGCAAACACCGGGCCCACGCATAGCTGGTCGCCAGTCCAGACGATAGATCCACGCCTTCCGCCGTACGTCTTGACAGTGCCACGCCCGCTGTCTCGCGCAGATACGAGCGAACGACGTGGGCGGCACCTACAGAATTTCGAGTGTAGTGATTGGTCCAAACAAATTCGTATTTCGCAGAGCGCCCCATAACTTTAGTTAGTTCCTTGTTTGTTTATTTTCACATCATCTGACATCAACGTCTCAAAGCATATTTACCGACGCTCCTTATCTCCCGAATCGGTCACATTTGTTTGAACTGAAGCGACTATAAGACGGCGTGCCGGATGCCGCGCAGCGAAGTTTACGAAAATGAAAGAGTTTTGCGCGATCGTCGTTCTCGCTGCCGTTTTGACGCCGCTGCGCGGACAAATTCACTACGTTCCCGCCCAAGTGCTCATCCCGACGATAAACGGGACGTATGTTCTGGCAAATTCGTCGGCGACAGGGACCGGTTACAGACCCCCAGCCAGCTACGTAGACAATCAGAGGTATAATAACAGCTTGAACACCAGGAACAACACCTCGGGAGGTGTCTACAACGGTACTCAGGATGGACATTTGTTCGTTGGGGATGTCCAGCTCTACGATAGATTGCTTTTCAGTCAGGTACCTAACGTACAAAAATATTACGAATCGGGATACAGTCTGGGAATCCGAATACCAAAACATGTGAAAATGAGGTACTCTATATGAGGTGCAAGTTGCAATATATTCGCACTGTAGATTTCCGTCAAAAAAGTGTCACGTCTTGCTGAAAAACAGGGAATCATCAAAATTTCATAGACGAAGTTTATTCATTATTATATAATGATATATATAATTCAATCCTTAAAATAAACTAAAAGTACTAATATCCAAACAGAAAACTTACCTTAAGAAATATATCACAAAAGCCCACAAACGCACAATGTCTTTTGCGGGAAGCTATTAGTGCCTCCAGTACGTATAAATAATTACATTATTAGAATGTTATGCTTCTTATTTAAATTATTTTTTCTACTCCCTACTCTAAAACACCCAATTATGCACGGATCAAGTTTCACTTTAAAACTTTCGTCATGGACCATTTTAAGATACTTCCGGCACTTTAGTCACGAGTTTGGAAGCGATCTAATGTTAGGTTTTAGACGCGAGTGATATTTTGACGTTTGTCCATTCTGAAAATTAAGCCACACGTCACTCAATGAAAGTGGTTGTGACATATTTCAAATAATTAATTTTTGTAATGGATATGGTTGCAAATTGCATTTAAGGCAAACGAACGTTTTTTTGAAATATTTATGCGTATTCCATATTACATGATCTGATTTTGTTTTATAAATAAATAATAACTCATTGATTTATTATATAAATATAAAACGTATTTATATAATAAATACATATAATTATATAAAACGTTTCGATGTGTAATAACGATAATTGTTAATTTGATTGTATCATTTGTATGTATATTTGTGCGTATTATTAAAAAAACGAGAGTTTCCCTTTTTTCGGAAAATAAAAATGTACATATTTACTCAAATTTATTTTAATTTTTTTTTAAACAACATTGGTAGTCAAATTAACGTTGTGGAATTGACGGGCCAATTTTTTTTTGACCAATCAATTGAAATAATTTTAAAAACACAAGGAAATTCATAATATTTTATTTATATTTATTTATATTGTGCGTTGCGTCGCCGTCGCGTCGTTCTAAGAACTAAATGGAGTGGAACATTTTATTGGGATTCCCCGAATCGTATTCGGGTATTCCTTGAAGAGGGTTATAAGTAAATTTGATATCACAAACGCATAATAATTTATTGTAAAATACATATTATTATTAAATAATAATAGGTAGGATAACACATCAAATTTGTCAATTAAGAAGTGGTCAATTGACGGTTAATTGACCAGCATCAACACTAACTGAAATATTTAGAATTTATAAGTACACCAACTTACATGCAATTATTATAAATGTTGTTTTTTAGAAATATCTATTTATAAATAATAAATAAATGATAACATAAATGATTTCAGTAAGAATTATATTGGTAAATAAAGTAATCAAACATCGAGAACACCCGATTCTCCCATAAATAAATGATCAACTGAAAGACAATAATTCAATTGGAATAGCGAATACATATCGGCATGTGATTTTTACCAATAAATATTTCCCATCAGGTGTTCCGCAAAGAGGGCCGATGGTGGGGCAACAGGGAGAAAACCATAGAATACCCGCAGGCATCTCCCGCGGGATACACGCGCCAGGAAAGAATTTCCTCGATTCGGATCTACAATCAGTTTTTGGATGGGAATTCCGCACGCGCCTCGATAATCAAGGGCGGCGTCGGCTTCCAGTACGTCAAAATCAGGTTGGAGTCTAAATGGGGCAAGGGGTTCCAGTATTTGGTCCAAATTTACGGACATTGAGTTGGAAACGTTAATGTGACTCGGGTTTAGAAATAAATAAAATAGCCCTGAACCAAAAAGAAACAGAAAAATTTCATTACCAAAAAGTGTTTTTTTTTAATGCAAATTTCCTAAAAACGCTCTATAAAACTGTAATAGATATCGATGTGCGGTTTTTGTCTTCAATTAAAATGGCAGCGACATTTGTTCCAATACTTATTCGTCTCAAAACTATACTACATTTCTAATTACGATAAACAACTTTTTTTTAATAATGAAAAGCAAAGTTACTGAACCTTTGAAGGTAACGTCGACAACACCAGAGTAAAACAGCATGCAAAAATTAAAAATATGGGGTTCCAAATAACGTCAAATGAAGTTATAACTCGTTTATAGCCAATGAAATTTCAACAGAGATGCAAAAGGACCCTTATCGTCTACAACGTCACTCTAAGGCGGTCGGTTATTAGGAAAGCGCAATTTGCTTTTGTACGCTAGGCGTCTTTTTTTTTTTCACAAAAATAGGTCCCGGCCTGCAAACGTTGGACCAAAGCCAGCAAAACGCTCAAAAATAATGATTTTTGCGCAAGCTTTTCGGTTTTTATAAACCCGGAATACGCATATTCGTGAATCACGTTTGGAAAAGGTGGCATCGACCTATTTGAATTTAAAACGTCGTTCGCTGGTCATTATTCGGTCGCGTCCGTTCTAATCGTCAGGCACAGTTTACTAACGGACGATTTCGATTTTGCACCCGTAAATTGAACAATCAATTCGGTGTCTGCTTCTACTTAAACGGCAAAGTTAATTAAACTAAGCGAAAACACACGTCACTGAACGTAAATGGTAACTGTTGTTCTTTACTTATTACTTATGAATAATTTATAACGTAGAGTGCAGGAAAAAAACGTTGCTATACGAGACACGCGGAAAATGCGACAAAATACAAATACCTTATTAATTAACGCGAGCAATTCCTAAAAAGGAAAAACACGTGTATTTGTATACCAATCTCTGATGTACAAATAAAAGTAAACACCTATTTTACGCTACTCCCCCCCCCCCCTTCAGGATTAAAAAACAAAAGACTTTCGTCAGCTAACCAAAAACGTAATCATCATCGGATTTCATCCCCACTCTCATTGCAAGGTCGATGCAGTGCACTAGCATTTTTTTTGCATGCTCGTTTGCGATAGAAAGGGAGGATAAAACCATTAATAATCGGCGAAAGCGAGCACACGGAGGGGGCGGTCATCCGTTATTAATCTTTCTCCCGCTTGGCAGACGTTTGCCGTAAAACGCCGGGGTGGTTGGCTCTTGTTTGACCACAAAAATAAATTCATAAAAAAATGGACAATGTGGTTTCGTTGCTCCCTTACGCGCTTGAGATTGATACCAAACTTACAACTCCTACCATTCAATCAAGCTTTCACAGTGAAAAAAAACGTCCTACTTTAATTTGATTACATTTTTTAATGACTGTCTAATAGCGTCAGTTACTTGTGTTGCGCTCGAAACGATCAAAATTTTTCTTATTAACAACGAAATCAATTGTGTAATTCTTGGTATAACAAAACAAATACCTGTTCATGAAATATCTTATTCGATTTTCAATTCGGGATCCACTAAATAACAATAATATAGCGCGATAAGGCAGACGTGGAATCTATATACGGCTGCAGCGTTGCAAGTCTACCCCGCCTACGGACCCGCTGTAGTCAGTTGCATTTTAAAAATGAGTTAAAATTAACTTGGCAAATCGTCTATTTATATTAAGAACCAGTTGATATGATACTGGAAGATGTGCATCGGACGGAGGTGTGCGTTGATAATTATACGCCACAATACTCTTAACTCAGTACTTAAGGTTGCTGTTTCAGGAACTAACCTTGGGAATTAATTGAGGGCTGATGCGGGGACGGGACACCTTGAGTGGCACGTATTTTTCCTAAATTTTGGCGGACCCACGAAACAAATCCTATTAATCCCGCAAAAAAACGCGCCACTACACACTCCTACAAAAGTCAAATCGCTACTGCTTGAATTTGACGTTTGTTTTCGATTTTTTGGATATTGCGCAACGTTGCCACGTTATTGAAAACTCTTGTGCCATCTGAATTTGGTCTTATTAAAATACAAATATATTGTAAACTAAAAAGAAACTCTTTTTTGCTAAAAAAAAGTTAATAGATATTACCCTCCTATATCCACCGTTTTCAAAACTGCAACTTTAAGTCGAAGATTAGTGTACCTTTCTTTCAATAAAGTAAGCTGATTTTATTCTAAACAAAGTTTAACCACCTATTTAAGCCCAAATAAAAAACTTTTCCGAATTTCGAAATTTATTAACGTTATATCTGTTTTCATTTTTGTGTTGGAATATATTTTCTTTTCGAATTGTGAGTAAATCTGGCAATGGAGTGTTAACATAATTTTAAAAAATTGTCATGTCAAAAGCCATCTTTTCAAATTGAGGTTACATTTTAATTGTGAGGTTATGTTTGACGAGTTAAATTTTTGTTTGTAATAATGGCCAATTTCCGATCAATATATAAAGTACAAGTATTCTTGACGATATTAATTCATCTAACAGTCGCCTTGTACGAAGACCAAGTGGGAAAGTTCGATTGGAAGCGGTCGTTCGTAGGTAAAGTGAAATACGTTAGTTTTGAAGCTAAGAAGATAATCGTTGCCACAGAGGAAAACGTCCTAGCGAGTTTAAATTTAAAAAACGGCAATATTCAGTGGAGACAACTGCTCGAAGATCCCAAAGAGTGCCAAATTGAGCTGTTACATGTCACCAGGGATGTAATTACTGTTTCTGGAACAAAAAACGCGTGGCTTGTAAGGTACTGGGACCTAAACACAGGCACTCTATTGAATGAGTGGTCCATAAATGTAGATAAAATTGTTTCATCGTCCTTTGCAATGGTTAATGATAGTCTTTTGCACATTGTCCCTGTTACTTCGTCTTATTTGGAGGTTACTAAATATGAGCTGAGAGGAATAGAGCCTGGCACCATAGGAAGTTTTAAAAAAATCGCAGCCCCTTGGATTGCGGAAAATACTGAATGTGTTACTGCTAGTTCATTTTATGTATGTTTATGGGGAAACCAAATTTATTATGTCAATTTGCTTGCAAAAGATGCTAGGTTTACTTCAAATTCAATAAATGACTTATTGGGAAACAATGTCAGACACCCAGTCCTTATCGAATACACAGATGAACAACCATCAGTCTTGTTGTCAAGCAATAATGTTGCAAAACTGCTCATTATTACAGATGAAACTCTCGAATTGAAGCCATTTGACTTAATGCCAAATGCTGTAAGTATTAGTAATGACGAAAATGTTATATATCAGCTGGAAGCAAATGACAATAAGTATAAACTTATTAGGGTCAAGTCCAAGAATAGAGAGACTGGCAGTGATCAGTTTTCGGTTGATTTGGAGTACCCTCTAGGTCTAGGTGCGCCAATCATATTAGGGGGTCAAAAAAAAGGGTCATTTGCAGATTTACTATTGAGTACTACAGACAATGCTCTTTTGCTTGTTCAACTTCCTGAAGGCAAGATTTCATGGACGAGGGAAGAAGCCTTGAGCAATATAGTAGCGACTGAGTTTTTTGAGTTACCAGTATCTGAATTGGATGCCTCGATAGAACACGAATTTGATTCCGCTAGCGATATTCTGACAATGTTCTGGCATCGGATTGCAACTCAATTTAATCAATTTTACAACTTGCTGTTTGGCAATAAACTGCTCACCAACAACAATTTAGTTCGAGATGAGTTTGGTTTGCACAAAATCATTGTTGTCGCTACAAGAGTTGGAAAACTATTTGCGCTTGACACATTGACCGGTTCCATAGCATGGAGTTATCGTTTACCCAACATAATCCCGTTCATTGACTTTGATAAAGACAAAATGGTTTTGTTTGTTCAAAGGACTGCCCAGCATGCCCCTTTGCCAGCTCAATGCACCTTGTTGGCCCGAGATTCTATTACTGGAAATGGGGTGTACTTTGAATTTGACCCTATTACTGGTTATTCATCTCAAAATATCCAGCATTTGAATTACCCCATTGCTCAAGCTCTTCTCTTGCCTCACGCAGATAGGAACTTAATTAAACCCCTAGTAATAGTGTCAGATAAAAACGAGGTTCACCTGTATCCAAATAAATCAATGGATTTTGTGAAAGATTTCATTTCTACTACATTTTTGTATACAACTGATAGCAGGTTGAGTATTCTGCAAGGATACTCCATAAAATACAGTAAGGAAGATCATTTGAAATTAATACCGACATGGAACTTGGATTTAGCGCCTTCAACATTAGTCGCGTTAAGTGCCAAACCAGCAAATGAACGAGTTCATTCGCAAGGTAAAGTGTTGTATGACCGGTCGGTGTATTACAAGTACGTAAATCCTAATCTATTAGCAGTGGCAACCGTGAGTGACGATTTAGTGCACCGCAGCGTACTTACTGTTTATCTCATAGATGGCGTTACGGGTTTGGTGCTATATTCAACTTCTCACAAAAAAGCCAAAGGTCCAGTATATCTGGTTCACTCGGAAAATTGGCTAGTGTACTCATTTTTCAACGAAAGATTTCGACGCACAGAACTTGCGGCCATAGAACTATATGAAGGTCATCTTCAGAGCAACAGCAGCATATTCAGTTCATTTGCAATTAGCCAGTTACCCGACGTTCAATCACAGTCCTACATATTACCGGCCCAACCTGTTAATATGGCTGTGACGTTAACAGAGAGGGGTATTACAAATAAGTTTCTTCTAGTTGCTCTATCCACAGGCGCTGTGGTAGAAATACCATGGCTGCTCGTTCAACCCAGGTTCGGGGACATGCCTTGTGGTCCGGAGGAAAGTTGTATACCTTATATGCCGCAAATTCCCTTACCATCGGAAGCTACACTGAATTATAATCAATCTTTAGCTAGAATACGAGGCATCGAAGTTGCTCCAGCCAGGTTGGAGAGCACTAGTCATATCTTGGTGCATGGGCTTGATATGTTTTATACAAGGGTAGCCCCGTCAAAAACTTTTGATGTGCTGAAAGATGATTTCGATCATCGGCTCATAGTATTAGTATTATCTGGACTAATTGTAGCGTCGCTTATTACCAAACACCTCGCGTCGCGCAAAGCGTTGAAACAGGCGTGGAAATAGTGTTTTTTAAATTATTTAGGTAATTGTTATTGTTTTTGTTTGTATATGTAGGGATGTACATTGAAAACATTTATTTATGACTTATTGCCATTATAAAATCGCACTTAGTGAATTCGTCACCTGTCCGCGCGGGTGGACTCGTCATTCTAAAACCAATTTTATAATCTGTAGTGGAGGTGACTGAATTTCTATTTTTTTTGTTTTTTTTTTGTATAGGGTAAGCCGAAGAATTCGGTGATGTACAAATAAATAAATTTAGGCTGCAACAGTCTCATTTGAGTTTTTACTTTTGTTTTCAATTAGTTTTGCTTAAGCTGAATTTCGTGCTGCTTATGGGTAATGCCGGCATTCGCAGTTCGTTTTTTTTTTTGTTCAGTTGTTTTGGCCATTCTAAAATTAGTAAACCGAATGTAACCTTTGTCGAACTTGCTCTTCAATTTGTAAATTTATGTATGAATGAGATGGAGCGATTTATAAATTTTGAGTAATATGAACAATGTAAAAGTGCCATAATAAATATAAACTAACCAAAATTTTCACACTGAAGTGAATTGTTAATTGTCAATTTCGCGCGGACTCCCATGCCAAGGCTCCACTTCACATTGTAAAGGTAAGTAAATAAGAGTAAAACTTGTAAAATTTGGTTCTTAATATAATTACATTACAAACTACAAAAAAATGATTAACAAAGTATAAAATAAAAATGCAAAAAACAAATATTGGAACGCATTTCGGAACCTAAGGTTGCATCCTTAAAGCCCCATCCAATCTGATTGTCTCGCCATTGAGCATGGGGTTTTGAATTACACTTTCGACCATCTGCGCGAATTCCGTGGGATCTCCCAGCCTCGACGGGAATGGCACGGAATTCTCCAAGAATGCTATTACCTTTTCAGGCAGAGCAGCCAACAAAGGTGTTCTAAATAATCCCGGAGCAATAGTCACTACCCGAATTCCTTGTGAAGCCAAATCTCTGGCTAAAGGTAAGGTCATGCTAACCACCGCGCCCTTACTCGCAGCGTAAGCCACCTGTCCCATTTGACCATCATAAGCTGCTATGCTCGCGGTATTAATAACAACACCCCTCTCGCCATTTTTGTCCGGCTCATTTTCTCCAATTAATCCTACGGATAACCGAATCACATTGAACGTCCCGATGGTGTTCACTTGCACTACTTTGGCGAAGTCATCCAATAAATGTGGCTGCTTCTTTTTAAAATTGTACAATTTGAACGCGCAGCCTATACCGGCGCAGTTTACAAGGTAGTTTAACTTTCCGAATTTTTCTTTGGCTAAGGTTAAAGCATTAGTCACGTCAGATTCGTTTACTATATTTACCGGGGCGAAAAGGACTTGGTCATCCGAGAAACTTTTTGCCACTTCGCTGCCTTTGGACGCGGGCAAATCGCACAGGATAACGCGCGAACCTTGCTGAACAAATCGTTCGACTGCAGCTTTACCTAAGCCCGAGCCGCCGCCCGTCACCAACGCCACAGCCCCTTTCAACATCTTAGCTTAAACTGTAACGGGTTCTTATGGAATTAAACTTTTTGATTTGATTTTTCACCCGTTGTTTACTATCGCTTTAAGATAAGAAAATGACATATAACCTTTTAAAGCTCCCACAAACGCATGATCGCTACATAATCAGTTTGTTTTTGAGGTTAATCATAGAAAATATTTTGAGGTTAACGTCGCGATGTGATTTTTGCGCATTCACCGATGTATCAAGAAAATCAATTTCTAAAGGAACAATCACTCATTGATACAATATGTTTAAAATAAAATGATATGTGATTTATCGCAAAGTTTCGTTAACTGTTACAACTTGTTAACTTTATCGTATCATTTTTCGTGACAGTCTAGCCTGGTTTATCTGTCGTGTGGAGGCAAGTAATTGATTTTAACAAGGAAGAAAGCATATAGCTACTATACATATAGAGGCCCTGTCTATGCTGACAGTACAGAAAGTACAGAAGCAAGTATGTAATTTTTTTTTGAAAAGGTCCATTCAACATGTGCACGCGCGCGATCTAAAATTTCGTTTTTAACCAATGACAGCTCTAATGACCAATTCTGACATAGGACCCATAAGACCTTGCGGCTTTCAACAAACAACATCGTCGCTGTTTGAATGCGGCATTTTCCGGCAGTATTTTCTCAAAATATGCCGAAAATTTTAAGGCAAAAAAGGAGTTAAGATCTGGACAAGCAGTGCAGTATTGCAACATCCAAGTCGGTGTCTGTATAATTCTGTAATTAATTTGGCGTTTTTGTTCTTCAAGCCCTGTAGATACGATGCAATTTCTACATGTGTTTTTTTCATATAAACTGTTTTTTTTTAAACAGCGCAAAGCGTTAGTTTTCATAAACTCATAGGTTTAACCTCCATCAAAATAACTTTAAGATGCTAGATATCGCACATGCAACATCTAAGTGAAAAAATGTCCAAGAAGCACTTCCTACAGACAGTAATTGTAATTATGCTTGTTCTAGTAAAAATTGAACTTGTAGCTTAATTTATTTTATTTACTGTAGTTCTTGTGCACTAAAACATATTACTCAAACATCCTTTGTAGCTATGTAAGTGCGCCTAAAAATCTACGGAATGTTGTTTAGTAAATTCACATGTAAACATTTATGCAAGACTATTTTCCAGCTTGTTAAGTGTCAAATATATTGGTATCACTCTTTCTTTAATATCCTATTAGGTTCTTATATTTGCCACATTTGCTGTAATTTCGTGAAAGAACAAAGTATTGAAATCACAAATTATACTAGTCTGTGAATACGGGTAGGATATATTAACACCAAAAATTAAAACACACAGGGCACAGACTGTTCTGCGATAATAGTAATTACTTAGCTCGGAGTTGCAATTATGTTCATATTTCAGAGATTGATGTTGTCTTCTTATAAAAATTAGTCAATTTTCCAGAAAAATTAACAGTGTAGCAACTCAGTCAGTTGGGGGGGTGACGCATGCGCAAAAAATCCATACCTTCTCTACGAAAATAGCATAGCCTCCTGCGGCACATCAATTTTTACCGTAGTAGGGTCACTATATTATCTTTGCTATATGGGAGAAAATAAAACCACTTTTTTTTTATTTAATATTTATGAAGAAAAATATAACTTATGCAAAAAATATCTATTTTTCAATCAAAACAATGGAATTTTTCTTATGTTTTCATTAATATTTTCATCGTCATAAATAAAAAAAGGTCATAAATTAAAAAAAAAACAAACAGCGAGCACTGCGTCGAAATATTACTGAAAACACAACCTATCGGCAAAATCACTATTTTTTTTTTCGTCACGAGAAATTACAACTTCCGTCGCCATGTTTTAAAACCGAAAAATTGAAAGTTCAAAAGGCAAAATAAAACCAAACATTGCCGCGACAATTGTGACCTGTGCGGCGTCAAAACTGTACCCTGACTTCGGAAAACTATGATTTCTCGGAAATATTACCGTACGCTTCGACTCTACAGCTTTTCTTCCAGGGTGGTCAGATCGCCGTGGAGCATGGATGCACTGGACACCTCCTGAAATGATTGTTCCAGGCAGTGTTTCAATTCGGCGTAGGACACCACCAGGATGCTCTGTTCGTCGCGGGACATCAAACAGATTTTCTCGGCCACGCCCACGTCCAACTTATTGAGACACTGGATAATGTGCGCCATATCGAGCCACGGTTGTCCGTCCTCGGACACTTGGTGGAACACGTAATCCCGAAACAGCTTCAGCATGTACCTGTCACCGGTCTCGGACCACGTGCTCTCCATGTTGAACTCGGGTCGTTCGTTGATGGTCGCCAATTTCGTCATCAGTCTGAAAAGGCGACCGTTTTGTACCTCCCTGCACAGTTCCGAGTCAAGAACGTCGACGTGATTATGCAGGTTGTCGAGCTGAGTGTAAAACCTATAATTGACGTACTGCAGAGGAGGCGGACCATCTTAGCGTGGCAGCTTTACCTGGCGCCGATCATTGGCATCAGGTCCGTGACGCTCCTTCGTTGACTCGTTAGAAGGTACATGATCAAGTTCCGCAGATCAAGCGTGTAACTGCGACTGACGATATCGAGGGCGGTGGATATGTTTTCGCGTTGTACTGCCATTGTGGACTTGCACGCCAGCGCCAGTACCAACTTGCCGAGAGCAGTCAGGTCTTCCTGCTGGTAATGGTGCACCAGGGCGAGATGGTTGATCGACGAGTTACTGTCGTGAAGCAGGACGTCCATCACGCCCAGACAACTCAGTCTTAACCTTGCGGGGGATAAAGGATGCGAATTTCTACACACGGTATGGTAAAATCGTGCTCTGTGAGAGCATTTTGATACCCAGTTTAGAATATGGGTGGTCGAAAATAATAAAATTAAACTGCGCTTCTCTGCCTACGTGTAACTATGATTTCGTTAAATTCTATATTTTTAAATAAGCAAGAAAACCTTTTAATTTTGGTATTTGATGTTCCATAAATAACTAGAAATCTGTCTCTGTTCGGATTGAAATAGGCAACTTGAAAAAAATTTTAAATTTAAAAATATTGATTATAAAATTAAGTTTATACTATTAAAAGAACCACAGTTCAAAAAAAAAATGTAGTAGTTCTATGTAGGCTGGGGAGGTCTCTACAGTTTTTCGTTTGACCCGTTGGATCGGCTTCAAAAGCGGATTCTTAAAATTATTAGAATAAAGGAACAAGATGCTGAGTATCAAACAAGCTTTTGTGGTGAATTCCATAGTGTATCAATATAGTGAATTAAAAAATGAAAATATACAAAATCAAATGAACACTCGTAATAAAAGTATTATTTTACCCCCACACCAACTGGCTATTGGACAAAGAAGCTATGTGTATTATGCAGTAAAATATTTTAATTCATTATCTAATGAACTGAAAAATCTCAATGTTGACAAAAAAGTACTTAAAAAAAAGTTATAGAAAACATTAGAAGTGTTACAATCGAATAAATAAAATGTAAAATAAAATTCTAAATATCTAAAAGTTTTTTTTCAATTTGTAAAATAATAAAAAGTAAAACATATTTGTGTATAATTGGCGAGGTGCAACTCACAACCAATATTAAGTAGTTATTAAGTTATAGAAAGTAGTTGTAGTTGTAAGTTATGTTAGAGTCAACCTTTGTACGGGCAGTATTTCCCTGCTATAGGTCCTTTACTATAAAAATATTTTTTATGTAAAAGGAATTTTTGGCAATAAATATTATTATTATTATATAACAAACATAAGCAATTAAAAATTGTAAAACTTAAATCCTCTTTGAAACGCGGTGTCATTGGCTGTGATGTCAATTCGCTCGCAAGACTATGCGCCAACCGAAAGATAGCATAAAGAAACCATTAGCGAAAGACAACCCGTTCGTCTTGGTGGTTTTAATTTTAATTTTAGTCTTGATCCTGTCGCGTGCTTTTGTGATATTGTGATTAGTTTCAAAAAGAAAGTTTTGATAATGACCGAAGCCGATTTTTTAAAAGGTCAATCTGTTTGTGGTGACATCTTACATAGAAAACACCGAAAGTTTTTCTTCTGTTGAGGTTCGCGGTGTTAAAGCTAAAAGGTATGTTCATAGAAACTTTAGCCACTAGTTTTAAATCAATGTAATACTTTAATCAGCTTAAAATTTTCTAATTTTTGAAATTCAAATGGTGTATCAAATAAAATGGAAATTATTCAACAAAAAAAAAAAAACAAAAAGGATTTTTTTAAATAGTAGAAACCTAAATACTGATTTTAAAGCATATTGGCAAGTCTGAAGAGTTAAAAACGTTTGCAGGGTCAAGGCTAAAGTGATACCTGAGTATAATGTTAACAAAAAAAAAACGGGTTTTATTTTCTTATAGACGAATAAGAAGTTTATCTGGCCTTTTACGGATTGAACTCAAACACCATGTCATGATTTATAACATTGATTTTGTGTTGTTTCCATTATTATCATGTAAAGCATACTAAACACAAATACAAACTGGCGTAGATTAATTACAAACACACCTTTACACGAGTCAAAAATAAATGTAAATAATATAACCTGAGAATAACACCATAACACGTCGTCGCATCAATTGAAAAGCAGCGGTATGACCTCACAATCATTCCCGCGGGTTTAATGTCGTTTAAAAGGAATAGCTAGATGTCACAACTGGAGTTATTTATTGCAACTTAAATATTGGGTTTTGAGTTTTGATATTTGCTATGCGTTATTTCTGTACATTAACAAATGTATTAAAGAAATAAAAAAAAATGGTCCCCATTAGACTTATAGCCCCCATACACATGCAGGCAAAATTCAAGGCGCGTTCAGTTCCAAGAGCGGCTCGAAGCGAATCAGATTGGGTCTGATTTTTAGAGCAAGTTCGAAGACCAACTTCATTTTTCGCACAGCAGCAGGCCCCACCAACTGGTGAACCTCGAGGTTTACCTGAATAGTGTGTGGCCGCAATTCGGTTCGCACTTGCTCGCGGTCTTACCTGGACACACTTGCGCGCGGACTTGTCTGCATGTGTATAGCCCCCATTAGACTAGGAGAGCTCCCAACAAAAAAAAAACGCTTAAAGTTTGTTTCCAATTTCGCTGCCAATTTTTTGTTTAAGATGCCTCATGACCTTGGTTGATTATTCTGTGATTTTTGAGTAAATGACATACTTATACTTATAAGACACACAGACTCACAAATGTTGTGAGTACATGGACCAAACTGCTGACATTTTTACGGATGGATGAGTTATGGCATACCTATTTTTCGAAGTAATAATAATCTTCGTTGGATCAAGGCTCCTGCAGGCCAACGCCGACGAATGGATCAGCCTGAGAGCAGACGTCAACTGGATAATATAATTCCAGATAAGCGGTTCGGGCAGTTTGTTGGTCTGCTGATGCCGCAAGATGTTGTTTTTCTGGTAGCTATAGGGGCGGGGCGTGGATACGTCGTTCGTGAATGGATCAGGCTGGTCTGGGGAGAAATGCTTCGTCAAAAGGGTCTCCGAGCCGGGATGGTAATAGTAGACAAAGATTAAGGAGGTGTCGCCAAACGCTTTTGTAGTGAACACCTCCTTCAGCTGTACGATACTGGAATGGCTGAGCTTTTTCCACATTTCCACCAAAGCCATGCATTTGGTGTTTTGCAAACGGAATCCGTGTATCCGCCTTAAGCAGTAATGGACGCCAGTTTTAGTGTGGGTTGCTTTGTACATTGATGTCTGGTAACCTAAGTGAGCTTTGTGCAGCGCCTGATTAGTGATAGGCTCCAATGGAAAGAGCTCGTGATAACTGTCCACTTCGGCGGGCAAATCCTGGTACTGCTGAGGATCAGGCTGAAGCAGAGTGAGCATATTGCGGTTAAGTATGTCGTTCCGGAGCTCTTCGCTAATAAAAAACGAGGGTTCCGGCTTGGTAGCAAATGTTGCATAATCATTACTGGTAGTACTACTGGCGCCAGTAGTCTCGGATGTCAAACAGCCATCTAAAACAGATTTTGGGCTATTTTCGTAGACACTCAGGAGAAGTTTACCTTCTCTAGAGGCCCTTGTCCTAGATGCTGAAAAGCAAAAACAAATTAAAAGCAATTTAAAATTATAAACAAGATTTCTCACAGAGGTTACTCTCTGGGGTGGTGGGGTAATGATAAAAATAAGTTGTCCCTCCCACATTCTCCTGGTACGCGGGGACCGTCACGGCGCCGTTCGAAGACACCAACTTATCCTGGAATTGAATGGGATTATGCCGAACTAGTTAGACTTCATTCTGTGTTACCTGCAATATTGGCGATGTGGTAATAGAATGACTGGGCGAGTGAGAATCGGGAGTCACACGTGAGGAGATACTTAGGTCCGAATCGTCATGCTTTTTCGGCAAAGGATGAAACGGCGACGAGCTTGATACCGAGCTGAACGAGTTCAAAAAGTTAGGAGACGCCGAAGCGCTGGCGCTAGAATTCAGCACCCGGGGGATGAACTCATTCGCGATTGCTGCAATCCGACAAGTAATGAGAACACAAGCGGTTCCGCGATAGCTTGTGATAGTTCCAGAAATTGACCAAAAGCTCGATTTTTTATTGCCCATCAGCTCATACCTAATTGCGGTAAAGCTGTGTGAGTGGGCCGACCGCTGCTCGACATCCAATCCATTATGGGACACAATGGAAATCGAGAACTACTGCAAATAAAATTAGTGGGGCTCCGCTACATATGTTACTAAAACTGTTGAGTTCACGTCGAGCGATTTTTTCCGAAACATTCGAGCAGCGAAATTCGCATCCGTGCTCTACATCCCCAATTTCTTTATGAAATCACGACCACCGTATGACAGCGATTGTGACAGAACAGCCGTAAACATAAAAAATCCGTATAAAAAATCGAAACTGCTTGCAGCTGCGGCGTTGCCACTGCGACAAAATTAATGACAATGGCACAGTTAAACTCAAAGACGTCCAAGGTGACGTGCATAGGATATTGTCTCTGGCCATAGCCAGTTGTCGAATTTAAATCATTCGCAAAGGAATTTGTCCCGACTAAATTGTGGTAAAATTTGTTCCTGGTGGTTTCAGAACCTCTCCGGATTGGATAGTTACGATTACATTAGGGCCATGAAAACTAAAAGAAGAATCACTGACATTTAGCCCTCATTTATTTATTATTTATCCATTGTGCTATGGGTGTCTGTCATAAATACGCGCACCTAATAGAAATATATTTTTTGCACCAAAAAGGTAGTGCTTTCCGATAGTTGCGTTGATTGAATTAAAAAAATGAGGCCGAGGGTGACCTAAGCCATGATACGGTTTTAAATCGTCTTAAGGTTTAAAATATTGGGCGTCATGAGCTCACGTATCAGGTAGGTGTGGGATTTTCTGATCCACTATGAACGGAAGTGATTTAGATTTTTAATTATGCACTAATTCTGCTTGTTGAAGGGAAAATGTACAGCATTTGTTCGAATGCTTCTGCGAAATTGTACCGCCTAGCGCAGGAAAGCAAGCCTGGATAATTCAGCAGTATCCAGATAAATATAAGGACCAGGAAGTGCTTAAATCTGTACCCAAATTTGCCTATCCCTACAAATTTGAAAAGTATTCTGGTTTTGTCAAGCCGCAATAATCTTTATTTTTAATGAATATCGTTTCAGCACTGTCATCCAACACTATTCTTTTGTATTGACTGATCTGGAATCCAAATGGACATTTGGGTTCTGCAGACACGACCCCAAAACAGAGACTGCAATCGTCGTCCTGAGTTACCTACCCTGGCATCAAACCTTTTACAAGTACTGTTAATATTCAAGGTTTAGAAAAGAAAATTATTGTTTTGTTTAGATTTTTAGACACCACAGCAGTATTAATGCATAGCTCACGCACTGAGGATCTGAGTCAGTTTTTGTCAGCTGTGTATGGTACAAAAATTGCGGAACCTGGCAAAAAAATTTTTGTTACGTTTAACAGGGGCCAAAGTGTAAGCATCCCCTCTTTAATTGCACTTTTAGTTAAAGTTTTCTCTGTTTTTTAGACTTTTGTAGCTGATATTCCTAGACCATTCCAATTGCCAAGCATACCTGAAAATGTATGTATCGCAAATCAGTACCAATTAAATATTAATATCCTGTTGAATATCTCATTGCACTTCCGGCAAACAAGTTTCGAATAATCCATTATAATTGCAGCGTAACCTGACCGAATACTACAATGCAGTAGACACAAACAATATGATGACGGTTTTTGCTTCCATGTTATATGAGCGGCGCATAATATTTACTTCAAAACAACTCAAGAGACTGAGCGCTTGTGTGCAATCTGCCAACGACATTATCTACCCAATGATCTGGCAGCACATCTTCATTCCAGTGCTACCAGAGAGCCTTATTGATTACTTACTGGCCCCCATGCCTTTCCTGATTGGAGTTCCCGAGGAGGTGTTAAAAGTAATAATTTCATGAGTCGGTTCATGCACCAATTTTGATGTTGTTTCTTTCAGAGGGTGCAAAAAAATGAAATTGGAGATGTAGTTGTGTTAGATGCCGATACAAACACTGTTAACACTCCCTTTGATGATTTAAGTAACCTACCGCAAGATGTTGTAAGTGGAAAAACCCAATATTATAAAATGTCTATTATGCAACATGAAATGAAATGACAATATATAATTTGTTGCATAAATGTCATGTTCAATGAAGATCTGCTTACAAATCCTATAAATTCAAACCTCAAAAATAATTTGTTTCAGTATTAGGTTTAACAAATTTCAGCTCCAAAAAAACTTTTAACCAACTGATTCCTGTTACTAAACAACAAATTTGAACACCACTATTTCAAGTTAAATCAATTCAAATTACAAAAGAAAGTGACTCACCAGTGCAACTATTTTTTCTTTCATCGCGGCAAAAGGTTTTTGCTTTAAATAAAATCACTAAACTCGCCTGAGAATTCGCTAATTTCAAAAAACGACATCATTAATCAACATTAATCAACAGGTAACCTTCCATTATTTAGTCATTTTGCGGTGTGTAATATCTCTAGTTTAATGTTTGGTCTTGTATTTCTTTACCACAGTAGCAAAAAAAACTTTTCTACTCCCGTCTGTAAAATACCTAATTACGCACCGATCTAGCGTGCGGAAAGCGTCGCTTTACCACGTCAGTTTCGTTTCCCACGAATCCGAACCCCTTCGGACATTTCCGGGATTTTACCGCACGGGTTTGGGAGCAATCGGATGTTTTCGGAGATATTTCCCACGCTTTGAATTTTGACGTTTGTCAATTCTGACAGTCATGTCAGTGAATGTATTCGTGTTTTGCGAAAATATACCCAAAAACTAACGGTCTTAGGAAAAGTATAGTATGCATCAGGTTCGATAAACTTTTTAAGTCACTCGTTTATCAAACACTCGCTCCGCTCGTGTCAAATAAACTCGTGAGTCAAATGCTGTTTACCGCACTTGTTGCATAATATACTATTTGATCAAAATAATAGTACATCCGATGGATTTATAAAATTTTTTATTTCTTGGGTCCCCACAAACTTTTATTTGGCACCAAAATTGTATTTTGTGGAACAAGTTTGATAAACGCCATTTGAGTTGGCACAAGTAACCGAAGAAGCTTGTCAACTTGTTGCATACTATACTCTTTTCTTTGATCCTTAATTTTTAGGTACAATGACGTCAGACCTGACAAACGTAAAGAATACCATGGTTATAATATATCGAAAACATCATACTCAAATCTGTGACTAAAGTACTGGAGTTGTCCGAAGTGACTGGCGACTCTGGCAAAGTTGATGTCCCGATTATGCACTCTTACCCCATACTTTGTAAACTATAATGGGTATTGAAACAAGTATTTCTAAGCCGGTGTGTTTCGCGGCTCGCCTGTATTTTAATTTTACTTCATGATGATTCGCACTTTGCAACTGTACTTATTCACGGACACACTGTTATTATCCATAAACTTAGCATAATCCAAGTCAGAATAACCCAAATAAACGGTATTATTGGTTAGTTTTCTACGGTAACATGTATCAGAAAAATAATATGTTTTGCACCTACTTTAACGATATTAATATTAAATAGTTTAGCAAACCTGCTCCCACTATTTGGTAACCTTGATTGGTATTGGGTCAGATAAAGTTAGAAATAACAGTTTTTTTTTCTGATTTTCCGTCAGGGAGGGGTCCATATTCACTTATTAGTTTATATAATGTCATTTCGAAAACACCCTTTATATTTATATTTTTTAAAAAATTTTCAGGTGCAATCGTTAAGGAAACAGTTGAGAAACAAATCCGCGGTTCTGGGGGACGGAGTGTCTCGAGCCTTCCTCAGGGCTCTGGTGCAGCTAATAGGCGGTTACAGGGACGCATTAAAGTTTCAACCGGGTCAAAGGGTGATTTTTGACGAAGAAAAATTTATCGAAACGCGGCCTTTATCGCTGCAACCGTTTCTGAAGGAGATGCTGCACTTGCAAATATTTCAGCAGGCGAGTTCGTTTCTTATTTTTGTTCCAAGCGTAAGCAATGGAGCAAATGAACCCTCGTGAACTGTTTTTCTTTTGTTTTGTGACTGTTTACCCACACGTTTAATTCTAAGGCCAATATTTGATTTGTTCTTTGTTTTTGTAAAAACGTGTCTTGTATTGTCCGCTCACAGTTTATTGAAGAGCGTCTGACGATGCTCAACACCGGCCGCGGCTTCTCAGACGAGTTTGAGTTCGAGTTGGAAAACTATTCGGCCAAGTCGGGTTCTAAACTGAAACAGCAATACAAAGAGTGGACGTCGACGATGAAAAAAGAGGGTTCCGCCTTTTTTAAAACCGTAAAGGAAAAGGTAGAGACGTTTTTTAGTAATTTGTCTCGCTTTGAACCTCGTTTTATTTTCTTTTAGGCCAATCCTGCGATGAAGTCGGCTGTGAAAACGGTAAGTTCTATTTTCTACTCGTATCTAGTTATGCTTGGTTAGAACAGATCTTTTTATAGGTGAAAGACGGCGGGAAAGGTATGAAAAGCGCCTACAAAGGTCTAAGGTCGAAGTTAAAAGAAGTGCCGCCGACGGGGAGCAGTCCGCACCCTCTTCAGAACGGCATGGGCGACCCAAAGCCTCGTTCAGCGCCTAACTCGCCCACCGGCAAGCGAAGACCGCTGACCGGCTTCAGCGTGCCCGTGGCCAGTTACAGAAAAGACGCCTCGCTTGCGTTCAAAAACGCTAACCTGCAAAGGTAATTGATTCAGCCTTGTTTTCTATGCCTATTTATTTATTTAGCAATTATTGAATTCATGTTTATATTATTTATTATTTTTATAAGTCATAAAATATCACCTAAACAAACTGTGAGTACATTAAGAAATAATAGTCACAATCTTCTTAATGTAATAAAAAATAATTTATCAGTAGTCAGTAGCATGAAATTCTTGATGTTAACTAATTAAATAATATTTGCCAACAGTTGCTCTAAGGTTAGAAGATCAATTTGAACCTTTTGTAGAATATTTGTGAAAACAGTACCTAAAAAAACTTTGTTCTGAATCCTTTTGACACAAGCAATGTTGACTCTAGACTATTGAGCGCCATTGCAGAATCGTTCCAAGAAGACGATACAATGTTTTTAAATTATACCTTTCAATATTCAATACTTTTGTGTCACAGCAGAAATACAGTTTTCACTGATGAGTCTACTATTTTATTTTTCACCCTGTTATCTTTATCTGTTTTTTTTTTTTTGTAAGGGCATTAGTGATAAAGTGTTTTCTTTGAAGAAGAGTGACTTTTTGTCTTTGTTATTTGGTTTAATGCTTCGTAATAATTAACATGCACCATATTAAATGGCCTAACGGGTTATTTTTTTTTCATAGCTTTGATGGTTTTCCTTAAATATGACTGATTTTGTTGACATAACCGTTTGACTTTAAATACCCAACCGCATTAAAGTAGGAAATCATTTTTAAATTTTAAATTTTTAGTATCCCTGGACTGGCAGCTTTTTTTATTGTGTTTATAACTTCTTATCTCTACCGTCTTTCAGGGAGATGGTAAATTGAATATTTTTAATCGATCGTAAATATTCATTCGAAGAAAAATTAGAATTAATAGCAAAAGGTAACGACCTAACCAGATATTACCTTTGAATGAGCTGGTGTAAGGAGAGGAAAAAGTTATACATGAAAATTTAATAAAGACATTTACTCAAGAAATTAATGGATTTGTGGATTTGACGAAAAAATGCTCTATATTGTTTTTCCTGGTCTTTTTTGGTGACGATAAAGCTTGGACATCAGATGAAAATTCTAAAAGCTACATTCATAATTGTACGGGAATTTACGTTGTTAGGGTCAATCAATATTAGGACTCAATTATATTCAATAAGCCGAGGGTAAATATACAGAAACCCAATAAAAATGTGTCAAAGAAAGGTTTTATCAAAAATTGTTAATTGTACTAAATTTTGCGGGGCTTTTGAATTGGCTCTCCGCGGACATGATGAGAACAAAACTTCTGAGAATCGCGCTATATTTCCTGGTCTTATTAATTTTTCGGCTGAATTATATGAGTGAGCGCCTAAAATTTTTTTCGATATTTAAGGCACTTCCAAAGAAATTCAGAAAGATCTTTTAAAGTTTGTTATGAACAAATAATCGAGGAAATTAATAATTCTCCGTTTTTGGTTAAAGTGAGTGTGGTTTTGCAAGAATAGCAACCCCAAGATTATGGCCTCGTATGGTTCAACTTAACTTTGTTAACCAGGTCTTACAGTCCCCTGAGTCCGGGATCGCAACCCGCGTCCCCAGACGTACTCGACACACCTAGGAGCGGCAGTCCCATCGAAATACCGCGCATCGACTTAATGGACGAGATGCAGGACTTGCTGAAGTTTCGGTTGGATACGCCTCCCGTCGACCGATCCGTAAGTTGATTATTCCTCTCGGGGTTGGTTTTTGTGTGTTCGGGCGGCGCTTACGGTGGTAGAACACTCCCCAATCGCGCCCACGATTCCGCTAACCCACGCTTGGCATTCGTATGTTGCCGCTTTTTTTGCAGCTTAAACCGGTCCGCAGCTTGGAAAATTTTAAGAACGCACCGAACCCGTTGACGAGTCCCGAACGGTGGCCACAGCCAGCGGCGGTGCCGCGGCCCTCGCTACCCCACTTCCTTTCCTCCCCTAACCGTTACTTCCCCTCGACGAAAGAGACCCAGAACCTGCTCCAGTCGCCTCTCGAGGAGGCGTTTCTTTCCCCGCCCCTCGTTCCGCCGAGACAAACGAAACCGAGTCGGGAGGGACCGTTCTTCTGCGGCGCTTCAACGTTCGTCGTTGGCGGCGGACAGAACGAAAACGGCGACCCTGTGTTTTTCGTCGCTGACCAGAATAACGTCGATATCGTTAAATTGTCGCCGCCAAAACAGTGTGCGCCTGGCAGGCGGAAGGTATACGCTTTTTTCTTGAGGTTACATGCAGCCTTTTCTTAATTCACTTCGATGAAAATTGATTTGAGACTTTGTGTATGTTGGTCACGTAGTAATAACAATTCTACATAAAGGGGTTCCGCTTGCCATTTCACATATTTACAAATTTACAAAAGTTACAAGCACAAGGAACAAAAATACACCGCTTGAGAATCTTTAATTTTGTTACCTCCGGAAGACGGAAGTTCTACAAATGACCACGATACTCTACTTGATTTCGATTAGAAGGCCAAATATCCAACATGAAAAATTAATGCCGTAATTAACCAAATTGGGCCGATATTTTTGTTGTAGGCGGATAAACAGGTAAAAATAATTACTATAAGTTCTCGTTATAGCCCATTGGATATAAAGTATTGCAATTTTTGTAATAAACGTTTGTCATAAATTCCAATTTAGTTCACCGCCAGTCGGTAGGGTATTTTGGTTACAAAGGGCAGAGGATGCAGAAGCAACAAAAGTAAAGTTGTCCAAACAATATACCGTTTTTACGACATAATCCAGTATTTAAATTTTTATGAAGGTCTCTCCGCAGGCCTACCTAGCTTGGGTTTCTCGTTGTGACCCTCCAATAAATAGATTCGATGCCGTTCGGTAGTTCGTTCTGGTTTTGTAATAAAAACCAAATCTTCGTATGAACGCACGCAAAGTCTCCTCTCCATATTTAAAATTACAATTTTGGCAGCAACCAGCAAATGTGTTCCAGTCTTTGATCCATTTGATTTTGACGAATGTTAATCATCAACGATTATTACAACTCGACCACAATAATGTAATAAAATGTATATTGTACCTCAATAAAAATGGTCTTGAAAAACAATTGAATACCAGTAAGTTATTAATTACTAATTACAAACACAAGACGGAATAGAAATAACTGCAATGCTTCAACGGCTACGAAAAGTATGCTGTCAATGAAATGAAAATGAAAGAGTTGTTTCATAAAATTGGCAGCATACTCCGATTTCACCAACCTCCACAAATGAACCAAAACTGCGAAAACATCCATTGTAAATCAATTATCTACATAAGATTTTGTATTGCTTTTCCAGACGTTATGTTAAATCCTTAAATTGGAAATCAGTTTAAGCTTTCTAATGTGTTTTTATATAGGAGATCAACCTATCTAATGGACAAATTCAATTTGAAATCGAGCTACCTCAAGTAGTGACTGTTTTAGGAGGATTTATAAAAAGGACAATAATATAATTCATGTAAGAGTTTAATCAAAGAAAATTTCCCTACTCTTAAAATACAACAGTCCGCACGGCGTAGTTATTGTCTGCTAACATCTTAAATACGGCCCTGGCTTGTTGTGCACGTGCCGAAAAGAATGGTCCCTTCCGCTTTACAACAGACGGGTCTTAAACTCATTCCGCAGTCAAACCCATAAAAGGTTGTAAAAAAACGGTATATCGTTCGGAGAACTCTACAACAATTACAAAGGTGTAATGTTGTTATCTAAGTATCACCTCGGGATGACGGACTTGTTAGAGAAAAAAGAAATTTATAATTTTTCATTTTTAATATTACCAGTTTCACTAAGTTTCAATACAAACAATATTTAAAAGAGTTTCTTTAAAATTATCTACCCTTCTTGCTCTTTAGTCGTGCGGTATTTTCAAGATTTTCGTTTTTAACGTTTCGAAATGTCCATTTCTTTAGAAACGTTTAGAACGACCGTTCATTAATTTGCATAAATTCCTTTTTTTGACGTTGACCTTAGGGGACCGACGATAGCGAGGACCTCATCCGGTTGGATTCTGCGTCGGACTTGGACGATTTCGATCCGTTGAAATCCTCGTCGTCGACATCATCGTATTCAACGCCGACGCACGGACAACCGCCACTAAGCGTGTCGAACCCGCTGTATAATTCCTCATACGAAGACCACGCCCTTCCGACCGCAGTCGCCGGCCTAAGAAGTGACTGTCGGCCGTTCAACAGGAACGATCAGGACCTGTTGCAGGAGTACGGCCTCGATTTTAACTTTTCCGATATGCAGGCTGGGTCGAAGAAGGTGAATACCCAAAGTCAGTGGACCAAGTTCGAATAGTGGCGGAAACCGAGTCCTTTGATTTTTTTGTTACGATAGAGTTTTATTTATACACGTTTTTTTAATTATTATTTTGTTATGAAAATTGTATCGTAATTTTTTTCGTACGCATCTTTCAAGTCGGCCACTCTTGGATAAATGAATAAGATCACTCAGAACCCGTGACGTAACTATTTTTAATATTAACGTTTTTAGAAGAATTTTTTATAGATAACAATCCCAGTTAAGCACAAGGTGTAAACAGAGAGGGCGTGATGGACAACAAAAAAGATCAAAGAGACGTATAAATTTATAAGTAAACGTGTTACTCGATTGTCGGATGTATAGCCTTAGCTGTGATATGAATATTATGAAATTTTTAATATGCATTTGTTTTGTTTTACAATATTTAATAAATCGATTGATATTAAGGTCGTTTTCTGTTTTTGTTCGAACCCCGACTACCACGATTAGGTCAAATGTCCCATACGATTCACAAATTGCATTATTATTGCCAAAAAATACCCAAATTAAAATCGGGAAACGGTTTAAAGCTAAAACACTTCGCTATTGCCCTGCAGGAAGTATTGCATGCAGCATAAATCTGTTGTGAAATGTTTAATGTTTAAAACATAACGTGAAATTTTGTTGTAAAGGGAAAACCAGTTAAATATAAAGTATTGTGAATTTTTTAATAATACAGTTGCCTCGCGTCAGTAGTGTATATTCCTGTAATTTCGTTATCTCAAGATCTCCGGAGGATGGAGCTGTTAGGAGTAACGAAAATACACCAGTTGAATTCGACGAGTAGGTCAAATAAATTACGATATCAACTAAATTGAAGCCACAACAAAGATTAATAAGTGTTGTTTTTATTTTAAATAAATTCCATTTCAGTTACCGCGCATTAGTAGCGTTTTTTGGCTACGGAGGACGCAGCACCCACAAAAACGCACTACTTGAGAATTTTGCTATCTCACGATCCCCTCTGGAGGGAGGAGGTTCTACAAGCAACCAAAATGTACTCAAATTGGAGGAGTAGATGTCCCACATAAAAAATGAATGACATTAACTAAATTGGAGCGAAATTAAATAAAATATCGTTAAATTTTGTTTTAGCGGGATAAACAGGTAAAAATGACGGTAACTGAGAAAGATTAATAAAGGAGAATCTTTTAAGCTTTGGTTCACCGCGGTAGGGTATTTTGACGAAGGAGGACAGAGGATGCGGAAGCAACAAAATACACTACTTACAACTTGACATTCTAGAAGTAACCAAAAACACAGTCTTCGAAGTCGACGAGTAGTTCAAACGTAACATAAGAAATAAACTGCTATATTGCCTTAACTGTTACAAGATGTAACAAAACTAAGCCAATGTAAATAAATTAAAATTGTAAAAATTTCTTTAAGTGGGCCGAGAACATTTGACTAAGTTCGCGCGTCAGCTACTTCATGAGCGTCAGTGTGCGCAGCGCAGATTCCAATCTTGAGAGCTCAATGTTCGTCTGCTTAAGCTTCTCGTCGTTCGCCTGCTGCACTTCGGTCGGCACTTTGCTAGCGTAATCGGCCACGTTAATTGCCTGTTCGAGCTTCTTTCTAGTCGCGTCCAAAAACTCAAGCTTCTTCTGAACTTTGCAAATCTCTTTGGTTGGATCGATCAGACCCTTCAGCAGCAAATGTACCTCGCACTTATCGGAAACGGTAATTATCGTGCATCCGTCGGGAGACGGCTCGTTTACGCTCGTTTTAGAGCAGTAAGCGAGCGTCTGAAGCGCCGCGGCATATTTCCAAACCATTTCCCTCGTAGCATCATCATTCGAATGCAAATACGCTGAAAAGTTTAAGGTTCCGCGTCACTTTCAACGGAAAAAATGATCCTTTACCTTCAGTTTTCGTTTTATTCGGCAAATTATAATCACTCCTTGTCGATCTAATCGCCCTCGCTACTTTTTGAACGAAATCCACCTCCTTTTCAATCTTCTCGTTCCTGAATCGTACCTCGATGTCGGGAAAAGATTCGACACAGATACTGGGTACTTTAGCCACCAATTCCGCGGGTCTGGGTAACCTCTGGTATAATTCCTCCGTTATGAAGGGCATCAGGGGAGACAGCAGCCGCAGACCGATGTGCAGGGCGCGGTACAGGGTCACCATGGACGCGTTTTTCGATTTTTCGTTGTCGCCCGCGAACACTGGTTTCAAATATTCCTAAAATTTTTTTTAATAAAAATTGGGTGCATAGAATAATTGCTTCTCGTGGATAAGTTATGTAATAACTTTTTTGAGACATACTTTCGGTGAAACTGAAAAGAACAATAGATTTTTTTTACAGTTACAGAACAAGTTATTTTTCATAATGTACACGGAAAGCGGAGTGTGATCATAGATGTTGCCTCTACAGAAAACTTGACCCTCATCGCGAGACGATGCTGCGTACTATACAGGTCAAGCGCAACTCCCTTGCAAGTCAGTCGGGAAACTGTACAGCAAAGAAATATAATAAATGAATGAATAGTGAATGTGTGTTGGTAAATAGTTGGACGAAATAAATTTCCAGTTTCGATAGGTTGTACGCGGAGTGACTCTCGTAGAATCAAATTGTCGGAAATTTGGGGTAGCATTTTTTTTTGCATCATTCAAATAGTTTTGGGAAAATCATTCTTTAATTTTATAGGTAAAAAAATAAAGAGGCTATATAAAGTTCTAAATTCTTCCACCACTATTTGAGCCAAACTTGTTTTTTGTCACACAAAAGTTTTATAGAGCACCAAACTTACCAAATAAACATCACACAAATCGTACAACCACAAGTTGTACACGGCGGTGGTGACCGAAACAAAGTCGTAACTCTCGAATCCGGTTATCACCTCTTTAACAGCCGAGCCGGCCCTGCTTAGCATCCATAGATCCATCGGGCTTTCGTCGCCAATAAGATCCTGACCGCGCGGTCCTTCAAAACTATCTGAGAAATAACTAAGAGCGAACTTTGTGGCGTTCCAAATCTTGTTGCAGAAAAACCGGTATCCCTGGATCCGCAAGATGTCCAGATTGATGTCTCGACCGGAACACATGGCGCACAGAGCGAATCTGAGGGCGTCGGTGCCACATTCCGGTATTCCCTCGGGATAGTCGCGTTTCTGTCCCGCGGTAGCTTTCTCTATCTCTTTTGGGTCCAGGTTTCCGTCGGCCAACTGCTTGTGGAGGTTCTCCAGGGAAATTCCAGATATCACATCCATGGGATCTATCACGTTGCCCAGCGATTTCGACATTTTGCGGCCGTGCGCGTCGCGAACAATCGGATGCAGATATATGTCCCTGAAAGAGAATCATCTTCGTTTTCAATGTCGTAATTTCACTCCGCCCCTGACGCAGTTTGTCAAAAAACAACAATATGTCTAGAGAAACAATTTTATTTACTCCGGAAAAAGGCCATTTCCACGAATTTTCGTTTTTTTTTTTTGGAGCTTGTTGCCCCAATTGTCGCGCGTCTTCTTGTTCAAAAATTTTTTTGTTCAGACAAACCAATTTCAAGCAAAAAAATTTTTGAAGGTACTTCGAGACTCTCGATCCCCGATAGTTTCAATAAATTTCATCTAGGGATGTAACTAACTCTCTATCAAATTTCAACTCCGCTGCTCAAGATTTTGAAGCTTACCATATGCATACTGATTTTTCAACTAGGGACATTTTTTCCAGAACGCGGACCAGTCTTTTTACAGACCACAGAAAAAAAAAAATTTCTACCTATTCTAAACTAATTTCTACTGTCATTTCGTGCTGTCCTGCAATTGGATGGTAGTATAATACTCTAAATAAAGAAACAAATAAATTATTGATATTAGTTGAAGTAAATATTTTAATTTTTTAACTTTCTTAACTTTTCAATTGGAAGTAATTTTAAAGTATTTTTTCTCAAGTTACAAATAAAGTTAATAATAATCTCACTTGAAGGGTAATTTTCCAAGCAACTTTTGCCCCATGAACACCATTCTGGCGACCCAAAAGAACAAAATATCGTGGCCTGTTTCGAGAAGGGAAGTGGGATAAAAGACGTTCAGCTCTTCGGTTTGATCGGGCCAGCCGAAAATCGAAAACGGGAACAAGGCGGACGAAAACCAAGTGTCCAGCACATCGTCGTCTTGTCTTACACTGATTTCTTCAGTTTTCAAGTTGAACTTCTTCCCCGCTTTGGCGATGGCTTCAGATTCGGAATGCGCCGAAACCCAATTGTCCTCTTCTACCTAAAATCAAGCAATGAACATGGATGGTGAGACACACTGCCAGATCTAATGAACTTACGTTCGAAATTGGAGCACCGGTACTTTTTAAACTAACAAAATAAGCAGGAATCCTGTGGCCCCACCACAACTGACGCGATATACACCAATCTCGTATGCCGTCCATCCAATGGTGCCAAGTTTTCACATGCTGTTCTGGTATGATCCTCAGTTCTTTATCCTCCACCGCTTTGCTTGCTTTCTGAGCCATTTCCGAACAATCGACATACCACTGAGGTTTGAGCATTGGTTCGATAATATCTTTGCTTCTGTTACAAATGGGTACTACCATAGGGTTGTCTTTGGTTTCCACATACAACCCGAGCTGTTTCAGGTCCTCCAGAATTTGCTTTCGGGCATTAAACCGCTTCATTCCCTGATTTGCAAATAAATTACTGCCGCTGTGGACGTAAATAAAAAAGGCACAAAGAACTTACCACGAATTTTGAGCAATTCCCGACTACATTGCCTTCGTCATCGAAAATGGTGATGAAATCAAGGTTGTGTCGTTTACCGACTTCATAATCATTGGGATCGTGGGCGGGGGTTATTTTTACCACGCCTGTACCAAAATCGAGTTCGACAAAGTCATCCACGATTATGGGAAGTTTACGGTCGCAAAACGGATGAATAACAAACTAAGACATATACATTTAATTATTAAAAATCATTCAAAAACCTACTCTATAGCGGTTACTTTTCCGTGCAAATGTTTATACCGATCGTCTTTGGGGTGAACTGCGACAGCAGTATCGCCAAGCATTGTTTCCACGCGGGTCGTCGCCACTACTAATTTTTCATTGGACCCCTCCACTTGGTATGCAAAATGTACCAAGACCCCAAACTCCACTTTCTCATTGTACCCGGGAACCGACAGCAAAGTTCTTCCAGGCAGTTCCACTTTATCAACCTAACATTTCTCTCATGTGATTCAATTACTACACAAAACAATATATTTTTTAACCTCAATGTCTGATATGGCCGACTTCAATGAGCAGGACCAATTAACCAGACGGTTTGATCTATAAATGGTTCCATTCTCATGTAACCTGATAAATGCCTCCATAACAGCCCTAGACATTTTAGGATCCATGGTAAAGGCAGCTCTATCCCAATCGTAGGAGGAGCCCATCATTTTCAGCTGATGATATATGCGAACACCCTTTCTACAAACAGAGATCAGAAAAAAATTGAAACTCAAACTTAAGTACTAACTCTTCCTTCCACTGCCACACTTTTTTAACAAATTGTTCCCGTCCTATGTCATGCCGAGTTTTTTTTTCTTCACGCCATAATTTCTTTTCTACAACTACTTGGGTCGCTATACCAGCATGGTCACATCCTGGGTTCCACAATGTCATATAACCGCTCATACGTCGCCTAATTATTAAAATTATTATTTATTTTTTAGTTGCTAATTATGCTCATCAAGTTTGAGCAAAAAACTAAAATATGTGAATTGGCCAGCTGGCGCAAGTCTACATCAAATGCACTTACCACCTAACAATTGCATCTTGAATAGCATTAGTTAGAGCATGACCCAAATGCAAAGATCCTGTTACATTTGGTGGTGGAATCACTATTACAAACTTTTTTGAAACATCTGAAATTGATTTCTTCTAAAAAGAAAACCATAATTCACTACATCACTATAAAATTTACACGTACATTATATTCCGGTTTAAAAAATCCCTGTTTTTCCCACCAAGAGTACCAAGCCTGTTCCACATATTTGGGGCTGTAAGAGTCTGGTAAAGAACAACTCACAACTTTCTTTTCACCTTCTGGGGTATCTTGTTCATATACAGCAGCTCCCTTTACTTCCTTTTTTTTCTCTTTCTTCTGTAAAAACAACGTCCATATATCGAACATCTGCTAGAACTATGCCTACCTCAACATCTTTTTTAGGAGCCGCGATTTGTTGTTTTTCCAATTTCTGCTTCAATTTGTCTAGTTTTGCCTGCTTTTTGGCTTCTTTTTCTAACTGCTTCGCAGTTTTTGGAGGTGCGACATCTCCGTTTTGAATATTCCCTGTTTCGTGTTCCATTATCTCTTTAACTTAAACTTTTTAAATGTGGCACACAAATATTGACGTTACAATAGGTTGCATCATTTGAATGTTAACCTCAAAAATTATCCTCTGTATTCTTCTTAAAGTTATGGGTTATTACTTCCTAAGTAGTACCACAATGGTGGCACTGACCACTAGCACAGTAGTGCTAGTGGTAAGTGCGTTTGGCAGTCAGATGCTAGCAATATGGGCTAATTGTTATGAAGAAGATGAGTAAGCTAAAAAAGTAAAGACGAAAAAGAACATGAGAAGATGGGAAAAGCATTGCAGTATCTCATATTCAGAGGATTGACGCATTGATAATAATTGATATGTTATAATCTCAGCTTTGTTCTTATTTTTAAAAAAAGAAGAGTATTCTCCGAAGTTAAGATTTTTATTCTTTTTTGAGTTGTTAAAGAAGAGAAGAGAGAGCAATACTCTCTAATGACTATTATTTGCGTATTTGAAAATATGTGTATGGGAAAATGAATACAACTCGGCAACAATGTACAACAGTCAAACATTTAACACCTTCCTAAAAACCGTGAAATGCAAAAAATGCAAAAATTGAAGTTACAAAAAAATGAACGCTAAATATTCACTATTTCCTTTTTTAAACAGCTCCGGTTGTATTAGAGGATCATTGACGGTTAATATTGTTGTGTGCAATTAAAATCAAGTCGAGACTAAGAAAGTTACACCCAGATTATGCTGACGAAACGTATATCCGCAGGGTTTTTCATAAAAGTTAGGCAATAAAAAAACATATTATGGATTTTCCCGCAAAAGTTTATTAACATTGCTTAATTTTATTGCAGCATTAAATAAATACTTTAAAAATCAAATAACTTACCACAGGTGTGCTATTTTAAAAAAATACCTACTTTGGCCAGTTGGTCCGTACCGACTAGTAAAGTCCTAATTTAAAATTTTTGCTAGTTATGGTTTATGTACAACAGATCGACGAAGTTCTCGATGAAATGCGCTGAATATTAAGTACTATAAATTAATTAGCACAGACTTAGCTAGATAGCTTTTAAATTTTTTTAATATTTTAAACAAAAAGCAATTTAAAATCAGATATCCTATAGAATAGAATAATTCTATAACATTAACCGGGGATAAAGTATTATATAGTTCAGTTATTAGCAATAATAATTATTAAATAAACAGTTCAAAAATTACAAATATTCATTTCAGTACTTAAATTTAAATGAAGTTTTCTTAAGTAACTTCAATACTCTCTAATGAGTATTATTTGCCACATTGGTTTGTAGTATTACTGGTCGAAAAATTGTGGGACACTCCGTGTTACAGTGGATAAACCATAGAAAACAGGAAATCAACAAGTGTCACTGAATTAAATCACGGAATACATATACTAATCAACAGTGTGCCAAAACTCAAAAGATTAATTAAAATTAAATATCAATATCAATATATTTATTAAGCCGCAGTAATCCTGCAATTTACGTAGATGAAGAAATTTTAATTGTGGTCACCAGTTGATTTCTACCTGCACAGTGTTGCCACACTACTATATTTATTCGATGTAAATATGAAATTGTCAAAATCGCAAACTTGAGGTTATATAAAATTGCCCATTTCATTTCAAATTCTTCTTCTTCAAAATCTTCAATCCAAATAAATTCGCATTTATTTCAAAATATACCGTAATAAAATTTACATCCTCTTTTTCACTTTGACCTTAACAAATGAATATTATGTGTCAAAAATAAGATCGAATTTTAATAAGTGTTAGCGGGATATTTTTACCCTAGCAAAAATTGAAGGGATTAAAAAACAGCTTTTTTTTTAGTGGTGATGTTTTATTTAATTATTGTAACAAGGTAACAGCAATGGCAATTTTATATTCCAAAACAATGTGTTTATAAAAAGTATAGCAAATTATCAGCAGAAATTCTATTATGACAGATTCAAAAATCAAATTCTTAAAAAAAAAATCGTAAATTCTAAATACTAAAATTTAATTTTTTTTATTTGTCAAAATCATAGAAAGCACGTTTTAATTCCAAAAATCAAAAATAAACTGAAGGAATACAAAAAATTACACCACAAAGAAATGAAAATACGTTGCTGTCAGCTTTATGTCTAATTCTTAGTTTCGTCAACTAACAATTTTAATATCCCTGACTCCCATCTATTACAAACTGCAGTATTACCAATCTTTGATTTTATGTTCGCTCCGTGCAGCAGTGTTTACAACGTCCGACCTTGGAATACTGAAATCTGCTGATTATTATTCTTTTTCTTCATTTTGTGTGCAAATCATAATGGTGCCAATAATTAATTCTTATATCGAAGTCATGATTTTCTAGGGAAAGGCGTAGGTAAATACATTGCGTTTTGGGTTGTTTTAATGTACTGGTAGGATTTCTTTCCTTTTAATTGGATTTTTTTACGTTTTATGTCGTCGCGTTCTGAAGGTTTTTATAAGGGCTTGGTTTTTGTAAAAAAAACTTTGTTTAAGCTAATTAACGCTCTGCAATTCGCTTTTCCGCACTGAAAAGCTTCTACTTCTGATAAAAATTTTATAACATGAAGGTTTATTTTTGGGGTTAACAATGCTGCATGCCAATAGGTATGTGGGCAGTATTTCTAACTAAAGACTTTATGGGGCCATTTCCGAATATTTTTAATTTTAAATTTTCGATCACACGTTGCTCTGTATTGAGACAAAAAGCATATTATGTCGTTCAATATAGGCATGCTTTGTTCCAGATTCAAGCAAAGCAAATTATGCTTGAAGTAGACGGGGATCCGCGAATCGCATTTAATTAGAATGGCAGAATCATGTCCTTTAAAAGGCAACCAGTTTGATGATTTGTGTTCCATCAGTCGTGATTTGGAACTTTCAAAGCAAGACTGTACCAGCCCAAGTCCCACAGAGACCGTATGTATCGTCGATGCTCTCTATTCAGAAAATACAGCAGGAACGTCGCAAAACCAGCTTGATCAACCGCTAGAACTGTTCAACAAAATTGTAATCCGTGATGAAAATTTGGACAAGAACATATTTCTAAATGAACTTGGCCTAGTGGAAGAGTGTGAAGATGACAACAGCATAGGCAAGGAAGAAGCTTGGGGAGATTGTGTTGAGGAAATACAAGATGACGTCGAGAATGTAAGGGTAAGCTGGGTTACTGTACTGTAAATCCTATTGGTATAATTTTAGGATGAGGACGAGAGCAGTTACGAGGATCTAATTCCAAACGTCAGCCATTCAACCACTCCCAAAAGCTCTTTGATAAAGCGAAATGATCCTGATTATATAGAAAGAAGTCTGGTAAGTCTTGCATTCACAATAGACCAAAGTGTTATTGTTGGGTGTTACATGATGACAAGTTATTTTTTGCGGACACAGTATCAGGCTTGCGGATGACGCATTGTCTAATCTTCTCGCTGAGTTTTCCTTTTGATCATATAAGTTAGACGTGATTGCGTTTTTTGGAGTAACCCCCTCCAAATTGTTACAGAGAAAGAGAAAGCTGGACATCCAGAATGGTTTTCCTAGCAAGAAGGCGACCTCAGAACGCAAGGCGGACGAAGGGTTTGCCACTAATACTCAAAGTGCCTCTGGAACGCCCCGCGGCGGTGCGGTAACACCCGGCGGCCGTTCCCGGTCCACAATACCGACCAAAGACAATCCCCCACCTGAAATGTCCAACTGGTTGGCCCAGTTCAGCGTGTGGTCCAACGCTGAAAGAATCATGGCTATAACTGAGCTTATTGCGAGGTAAATAAGACTTCCAATAGCTGTTAGATTAGTAAACCTGAACTTTTTCCCATTTGCTTTCTCAAAGGTGATCTCCATACAACTCGAAAATTGAATGGGGAAATCTTTAACTTGATACTAGCCATGTGGGTTGACACGGTGAGTCCAAAAGATGGATATACCTGTAAATTGACAGTTTCTCTATATGAATTATCCCTTTTTAATTTTCGCTCTCGATTTTTATTTAAAAAATAATATATTTTATTTATGTTAGACAGATTTTCACATATATCGTTGAAATTTGGTATCTAGTAGATAAAAACATCATATTTGCACAAAAAAGAGGTGCCCTGTACTCATTTCTTTCTCCCCAAATTCAACTACCTGTCCTCTAATTTTTTCATTGTACATCCATGGTATTGAAGTTTGTCTTCATTAATAAACTTGCATAATTTTTTGCCTCTCTTGTTTATTTTTACTAACAATTGCAGTTTTTGAGGTGTTTTCATCATGAAAATGAAATAATAAAGAAATACTCATACATATATGCATACTGTAATTAATAATATTAATAAATGCAACATTCGTAGCGATCCTATTGGACCAAAAAATGAAAACGAAACAAGGTTTTTTTTTGTAGATATTTTAAGTTCTCTTTGTTCTGGGTTTAGAATTTAATGAACCAATTTTAATACTTCAGGATTTTTTAATGGGTTAATTAATAATGGCAATGTTAAAATTTAGTAATCAATCAGTGTACAATATTTCCAAAAAGGATATTTTCTATTGAAAATAAAATAGAAAATACCGCTAAGAAATTTGGAGGGTATGCAGCAGTATGTATTTAATGCCGGTTTGACAGTCCTAAAAGTGTAACCAACAGGACAATTATACAGAGATTTATAAATAAAAATGTTTCAGACCCGAAGCGAAAATGAAAAGTACCATAACAAAAGTTCCATTATTTCAACACAAAGAATCTGTCATTAACGGGTCGGCCACCTTTTTGTCTCACCCTGTATATCAAGTACCTATATAAGAATTGCTTTGAAGGCCCACTGTGACTTTTCATGTTTGGCCATTTATTTTTGTTGCCAGATGTGAGCCAACCCAAGTGCGTCACATGATGCAGGTGATCGAGCCGCAGTTCCAAAGAGATTTCATATCGTTGTTACCGAAGGAGCTGGCGCTGAAGGTGTTGTCGTTCTTGGAACCAAAAGATCTGCTGCGGGCTGCTCAGACGTGCCAGAGTTGGCGGGTCCTTGCGGAAGACAACCTTCTGTGGAAGGAAAAATGCAAAAGGGCGGGCATGGAGGAGATACCGAAACGGCGGTCCAGTCCCAGGTCGCCCCGGACGCACCTGTCGCCGTGGAAGGCCGCTTACATGAGGCAGCATGCGATAGAGACCAACTGGCGTTCCAAACCCATACGGACGGCCAAGACGCTAAAGGGACACGACGATCATGTCATCACTTGCCTACAGTTTTCCGACAACAAAATAGTGAGCGGCTCCGATGATAATACCTTGAAGGTGTGGTCTGCAGTAACCGGAAAGGTCAGCAGCAGTTTTTTTTTTCAAGTTTATATCAGATGCAGAGACTTGTCGCCAACAATTTCAAATTTTAAAATTGTTTATATGGGCCCCTTTGCATGTTGTTTGTCCTTTGAGCGCCATTAAGCAGTCATTAGCGTAGAGCACCATCCTATTAACATTTTTCCCTGAAATTCCAATCTGCAGCAAATAGATAATTTTTTATGTGAATTTTGAATAATCAATCAATTTTTCTAATTTCCAGCTTTACCACATATATACAGGGTGTTTGAAAGTTGTAGGCAAGTCGTTAGAACTACTGGTATGGACTTCTATTGCCATGTTTCCATTAATGTGCATCTCCAACCATTATTAAGAGAGTCCATTGCTTGGAAAAATAGAAAATATTTTAAAAAAACATGCTTTCCTATTATCTCCTGTATTTATCCATGGGCAACCTTTATAACAATAACAATAATTTAAAATTTGTAATTAACCGCTTCGAGGTTTTCAGCCATTGCTTGAATTTGTTATCCTCTACCCCATGCTTATTGATTCCCGTATTTAATTTATTTATTATTAATTTACTGTAATCATCTACAAAAATACCTTAACCTATCCCTGTCCCGCCATAAAAAAGTAATACATTTACATTTTAAATCATCGATTTAATTCGTTGGTTGTCTAAAACTATTATTTGTTGAATAAGTGCAAACCTTCCCTATACAACAGGAAAAAATGAGAATAAAAAACTTTTTAATGATCTGGGTGAATACGAAATTTCACTGTGTATTAAAGAAGGTAGGATTATTAAAAATAATTTAGTCGGATTTTTGAAATAATTTTTTTTTAATATGTATCTTTACTTGATTAATGTATTAAATTTCCAGTTTTGGTTGACCAAAACTATTTAATAGTAACCAAAATATATTTTTAACTAAGCAGAGTATCAAATTGATTACGTAAATTTGAAACGTAAAATTTTAAATTCAAATTGCATATAAATTAACTTGTTTTTGTAAATGATTATTATAAACGAGTGTTACGGAAAAGCCTGAATTGATAAGAATAATAATGAAACCTTACCCAGAGTGATAGATAGTGATAGCAAAAATGATGAAGTAGTTAGATGATTCATTTTTAAAAAATCAGAAAAATTGGGATAAAATGCAAGGGGACAAGAGTTTGTTAAGTATGGTCAATCAATTATTTACGTGCTTTACTAAACTCTTTATAAAACATTTGACTTCCTTAAGTTCCATTTTTGATAGGGTGCGAATGGATAGAAATAGGATGTTTAAAACTGAGTCAGTGAGTTGGCAACATCGCAATAAAATTCAAAAATAATAATTACTGTGTCGTATAAAACTTTCTGGGAGTACTCAATATACATTTTTGTATTGTCATGCTTTGTCATGATTCAAAGTACTTTTAAAATGTCGGCTTTATGCAACACTCGTTAAAACATATGAACAAGTATAGCCGAGCAACACCAAAAATATACCTTTTTGTTAACGCAGTGTCTGAGGACATTGGTCGGTCACACGGGCGGCGTATGGTCGTCCCAAATGTCGGGCAACATCATCATTAGCGGCAGCACCGATCGCACCCTGAAGGTTTGGGATGCGGACACGGGTGTGTGTCGTCACACCCTGTATGGGCATACGTCCTGAAGGTTTGGGATGCGGACACGGGTGTGTGTCGTCACACCCTGTATGGGCATACGTCGACGGTCCGCTGCATGCACCTGCACGGTAACAAAGTGGTGAGCGGTTCCAGGGATGCGACGCTCCGGGTATGGAACATAGAGAACGGCGAATTTTTACATGTGCTCGTCGGACACATGGCTGCCGTCAGGTGCGTACAGTATGACGGTAAACTGGTCGTTTCGGGCGCCTACGACTGCATGGTCAAAGTTTGGAAACCTGAGACTGAAGAGTGCTTGCATACGCTTCAGGGCCACACCAATCGCGTGTACTCCCTCCAGGTATGTTATGTTGGTTTTGGTTAATGACGCGATGATGTGATGCACACAAGATCCAGATTTAAAGAGTGGATGGATAATATCAAAGTTCGCTGAATAATAAACGCATAAATATAGTTTGGATGATAAAATAAAATATTAACGTTTGACGGAAACGAATTGTTGACAGGATTACTTGGTTCGCTTTGTGTTCAATAAAATACAGGGTGCGGCAAAATGATAGTTACTATTTGGGATGTTAATAAAAATCAAACTCCATAAAGCAAACATTTTTTATTAATTATTTTTGAAATGTACATTTTATGCCATTTAGGAACGTTATTTTAGCATATCAAAATATCGATCTCCATTGACTGTTACCGTTATTCCATCTTCTTCGAAAAAGTGACGACCCCACACGCCGAACCCCGAGATTGCAGATCAGACGGTGACTTTTGGACTGTGAAGAGGTCGCTCATGAAGTACCATTTGCTAACCAATTACGAAAATTTTGCTTATTTACGGTACCCGAGAGGTGAAAGTGAGCTTCATCGCTAGACATGAATACGGCGCCTCTGGAAATGTTTTGAAGAATATCCCGGCATAAAATTGTACGGGTTTCAAAATCTCTTGCGCTTAATTCCTGCACTACAATCATTTTGTACGGATGCATTTGGAGTGAGTTGTGTAAAATTCTTCGAACACTTCTATCGGGAATTCCCAAAGCAGCTGCATGCTGACGAGTTGAACGCCTTGGAGACTGTTTGCATTCACAGGTCGGCCAGTAGATTTTCGGTTAAGCGCAGAACCTGTTTCCCTGAAGTGTAAAACCCACCGACGAATTGTTCTTCCATACTGATTACGAAAGGCGCGCTGCGTCGCTATTACAGATTCCCCATTTATAATAAACTAACGCGAGTGCTTACACAGTGTTGCCGGTTTTACAAACCGAACAACCACTATTTGAAATCCTAAATACCTTTTTGCCGCACCCTGTATGAACCATTTTCCTCTTGTAAACTGTAGCAGGTTCGGGTTGGTAGTCGCGATTGTAGCTTGGGGTTAAGCAACCTTCATATTATTCTGTAAACTTTGGTAATATGTACAAAGTGTCAGCATAGATCGTTTTTATAAAAATTTTAATATAAAGAGCCTTAAGTGCTTAACTTTAAAATACAGCTCGTCAAAATTTTACTATTAAACAGCGCAGCTATTTAAAATTACGTAACAGGGGAATTTTTTATGTGAGAAATGCAAATTCATTCGCATTTTGGATATCACTAGCCGAGGGGGCACATTTTTCAAATTTATTGCTTGAATGTGAATAATAAAAAAAAATATATCTTCCATCCTTTTTTATGTCAAACGTATTACATTGAAACAATAGAGAGCAAGATAATAAAAACGAATTCTTAAAACCAAGCAAAAAATTGGAAATTTTGTATCCAAGCAAACACTCCCGAGAAATTAAAAATAATAACATAACTTAATCTAAACAGGCTCGAATGTGCATCGGATTAGGCCTTACGTTATATAATGCGGATATTGTTGGCATTACCCTATGATTACTTAGTAAAAGGTTTGAGGTGATTGTCGAGTCCCGGTTCCTTAAGGAATTGGAGAATTCCGATCGCCAAGTGAGACGAACCGCACGATGAGGGTTACAAAATAACCATGAAACATACATCTTGGAGTTGTTATCGAAAACCTTGTAATTATCTAGTGAGTTTTTTTAACGAAGGTTAGGTTTGTCAAGACAATCTCAGACAATTTCCTAAAATTTTCAATACTCTAACCTTTTTGCCCTGATGGAGACATATTAATAACAGAAACAGTCCAAAAATAGTCGCAAATTCAAAATTATTTGCATATTGGCTGAAAAATTTAGAAGAAGAAACGTTAATATCTTAAAAGTTTAGTTGTCCAAACTATAGGAAGGAAATGTGTAAGCCCACCAACGTCGCTCAAACAACCGCCACAGCTTATATCATCGAAGAGTGCGAAAAAGTAAGGACAGAGATAGACTATGATTCGCCACGGGCGGAGAGTGTTCTTTTTTCTTTTTGTTAGGGTTTCGTTCCTTTAGGCGATTTGCTAAATATAAGGTATGATTTAAGTTGTCAACAATAATTTTAAGACGGCGTTACATAATGTGCGATCAAATTAGGCAGAGCAATTTAGCGGGTGGTTTGTGTTTCCTTTAAGTTCGACGGCGTGCACGTGGTCAGCGGTTCGCTGGACACGAGCATCCGAGTGTGGGACGTCGAGACCGGCGCCTGCAAACATACGCTTATGGGTCACCAGTCCCTCACCTCGGGCATGGAACTACGCAACAACATCCTGGTGTCGGGCAACGCCGATTCCACGGTCAAGGTGTGGGACATTGTGACCGGCCAGTGCCTCCAGACTCTTTCAGGTAGCTTTCGATTAGTTCATTCAAAAATCAGGTGGTTTTCATTAGCCGTTTTTAGGACCGTACAAGCACCAGTCAGCCGTAACTTGCCTCCAGTTCAACAACCGGTTTGTGATAACGTCATCGGATGACGGGACGGTAAAACTGTGGGACGTCCGTACGGGCGAGTTCATTAGGAACCTAGTGGCGTTGGCCAGTGGCGGTTCGGGCGGGGTCGTGTGGCGTATACGGGCAAACGAGACTAAACTGGTGTGCGCGGTGGGCAGCCGTAACGGCACAGAAGAAACCAAACTGTTAGTGCTGGACTTTGACGTGGACCAGTCGAATTGCGGCACCATCGCCTGTAGGTAATCGAAGTAAACGAAACTAAAGACTTAAACAATTTTTTATGTGTACAAGTGCGGGTGAATGTGTTTTTTTCTTTCTCTACTTTTCGTCATATAAACGCTGCAGTGGCGGGTATAAACTAGATCGAGTAAGGAATCAAGACATTTTTAGTAACGACAGAGGAATGTTCACGTTCCGCGGTTTTCACCATCTTGGTCTGGCGTAGCCCCTAAACTGCGCGATGTTAAAGTTTTCGTTGACAAAATTGTTTTAGCGAATTTTTCGTACGTTAAATTCTTTTTCGACCTCTCCCTCTTAAATAGTGCAATAAAGCAGGAGGTTTGTCCAGTGGGTGTATATATATATTTTTTTCATTTTTATCGTGGGAGCCCAAAGTTTCAGACCACACTTTTACGGTGTAAAGAGAAGCATAGTGCCATTTATGATTATATGAACGTTTTGTTCGTTAGGTTGGTGTATTAGGCGGAGTAACGCGACCCATATTTTCTTCATTTATTTATTTTTTTTTTTTGTAATTTAAAAAGTCAAATGTATTTTGATGTAAAAACTTACCGAATATACTCATCTTGTTTTATTTTACCTGCTCGTTTTATTTCGGAGGGGTGCGTAATTTGAATGGAGTTGGGTTTTGCGTGGGTAAAAAAATTCCATGTTTGCTTTTTTGCTTTTGCTCAACTTGGAACAGCTGGGAAGTCCAAAATGAAAAAAAATACTTTAACGCTATAATAAAGATAAAGTAACTGCCCTGTCACTATTACAGTACCTAAACAAGTACTAAAGACTTACAATACTACCACGCAAGTTGACTAGACTGTTCCTACTCCTATTCTATCTGCGCTGCATCCTTGTCCTTTATGGCCTAAGAGCTCTAAGAGTGTTTAACGAAAACTGGGTTAGACTAATATGACATAAATTCTTCGGTTGGACATAGTGCGCACGCCCGTCTTTGGATTAAAAACAATTCGTGTTTGCCTCCAGGAGAGTGGTATGCATGCCAGGCCCCGCGAAGGAAGGGTAGTTTGGTACAGCAGTCCCATTATGATATCTCCTGCCACCTAAAGCACTGGGAGAATGGAGGAGTCTACTACTACAGATTTTTCCCTTTTCTCTTTTTAATGAGGCTTTTGAACCTTCTTTGGGAATCTTTGCAGAGCTTCCAATCCCTCGGTTCGTTGGAGTTAAAAGTGCAGTTTAACTTGCTTCGAGTTTTCCGGCGTAACTCTTCCGGTTCACCATTCCACCATGGTATTGGGTTCTCCCGCTTGACAAAGTTAAGAAGACACTGCTCTCGATTGTTAGGCTTAAAGTCAGCAAGTTTTCTTGACCAGCTGCAATACTAAATAGTATTTCTTTCTAACGAGGATATGGCTCCTGAACTTTGCGAATGAGCCGAATATTTCCCTTATGCTCTCTTAGTGAGCGATTCTGGCTTGTGTTCGTTAAGATATTCAATATTACCCAAAATTCCTAGCTTAGAATATGAAAATGAGCTTGGGCAAGATGTATTTTTAGTAGCGACTGATTTGACGAGACCCAAGTTTCGCTTTACCCACCGCTTGTGAAAACCAGAAAACAGTTCTGACAAAAACGAAGTTGGTTAAGGCTTTCGCGGCCCGTTGATAAGCTATTATCTTCATTCGGGTTTAAAGGCCGTCGTCGATTGGAATTACTTCCTAACGTTTCGCTAGCACGAGTGGCGAGCTTCTTCAGAGGTCCTTCCATCTCCGATGTTGGACGTAGACACTACATCGGAGATGGAAGGACCTCTGAAGAAGCTCGCCACTCGTGCTAGCGAAACGTTAGGAAGTAATTCCAATCGACGACGGCCTTTAAACCCGAATGAAGATAATAGCTTAAAAACGAAGTTGCTCAGTGCACTTCTCAGATACTAGTTGTGCCATTTTTGATTCAACTTTCACACATTTTATGAGAACAGTCGCTTGAGAAGATAATTGTGTACCTTAGTAAAACCATAAAGTTAATAGAGCTAGCTAATCGGGTACATCACTCTCATCGTGAATCGTACTGAACACTGACAAATTCGGAATTCGTCACGCTTAAATACAATTGGATACAAATTTCTCTGTTAGGTGTCAATCCTAACATCAAAGAGTACAATTCTGATAATCTTGACCACAGACGTCTAATTAAAAGAGACCCTATAAACCATTCATAAAATTCTCTTTGTTGTGATGCCAATGTAGGAATTATGCCATAGAACGAGTGGGATGAGGAGTGTTGCCTAAAAACAATGGCAGCTATGGTAACCACGCAAGGTGGGAGAAAAAATGTATAGCATCACGTTAAAATAAAAATAATACCATTATTAGTATATTATGCAACAACTGCGGTGATAGTATATTATGCAACAAGTGAGGTAATAGTATATTATATAACAAGTGCGGTAAACGCCATTTGACTCAGGAGTTTTTAATAAACGAGTGAGTTAAAAAGTTTTTCTACTCCCGTCCGTAAAATACCTAATTACCCACCGATCTAGCGTGCGGGAAGCATCACTTGACCACGTTAATTTCGTTTTCTATGAATCGCAGCCACTTCGGACATTTCCGGGATTTTACCGCACGGATTTTGGAGCAATCGGATGTTTTCGAAGATATTTCCCACGCTTTGAATTTTGACGTTTGTCAATTCTGACGGTCATGTTAGTGAATGTATTCGTGTTTTTTTGCGAAAATGGACCCAAAAACTAACGGTCGTAGAAAAAATATAGTATGCAACACGTTCGGTAAACTTTTTAACTCACTCGTTTATTAAAACTCGCTCCGCTACGCTCCGCTCGTGTAAAAAACATCGAGAGTCAAATGCCGTTTAACGCACTTGTTGCATAATATACTATTACCGAACGTGTTGCATGCTATACTTTTTCTACGACCGTTAGTTTTTGGGTACATTTTCGCAAAACAACACGAATACATTCACTGTCAGAATTGACAAACGTCAAAATTCAAAGCGTGGGAAATATCTCCGAAAACATCCGGTTGCTCCCAAATCCGTGCGGTAAAATCCCTGAAATGTCCGAAGTGGCTCGGATTCATGCGAAATGAAACTGACGTGGTAAAGTGACGCTTCCCGCATGCTAGATCGGTGGGCAATTAGGTATTTTATAGACGGCAGTAGAAAAACGGCATTTGACTCACGAATTTATTTGACACGAACGGAGCGAGTGTTTAATAAACGAGTGACTTATAAAATTTACCGAACGTCTTGCATACTATACTTTTTCTATGACCGTTAGTTTTTGGAAACATTTTCGCAAAGCGACACGAATACATTCACTGACATGACCGTCAGAATTGACAAACGTCAAAATTCAAGGCGTGGGAAATATCTCCAAAAACATCCGATTACTCCCAAATCCGTGCGGTAAAATCCCGGAAATGTCCGAAGTGACTCGGATCCGTGGGAAACGAAGCAGACGTGCTACAGTGGACCCTAAATTTTACACACTAATCAGCACTTTGCGCAATCTTCTTTCTAAACATCGACCTCCACATGCTTAACTCGCTGACGTAAAAATGCCACTTCCAACTGAAAACTTTCAAATTGATTAGCGTGGGTTATTGAACACTACTAGGTCTTATTGGTTCAAAACAAGATTTGAAATGACAGATTGATGAAAAATAGATTTGAAATGAATGAATAGCCTTTATCACTTTTTTTCACAGTGCCTTCAAAACTTCCTATTTTGCATTTTACATATTACATATTATACGCTAACTATGATTGAACAATAATATTCTAGGGGCAGTTTGGCAGCCTGCTGTTTGTTGGTAGGTTTCTGATACCACAAACGATGTTGATCGATGGGGATACACGGAAACTGCCCATTTTAAGCGCGCTGGAACAGCGCCTTCTAGTTGCTACTAACTGAACTATGTGCCTCGTGCGAAAGGCCCCGAATTTGACCGCATCGCGCCGCGACGATGGCGGGAACCCGGATAACCGGATTGCCAAAGTCCCGGCGACCCGTCGTCTCCGTATTGATTCCGGGCCACGTTGCCAAACGGCCTCTCACGCAATACGCTTTGCCCGGCCATTAGAAACCAGGACAACAACAGTAACATCATTTGCGTTGCTCTACTGCCGCTCAATGTTATGAAACTTTCGGTGTTTTCACCCCAGAACATCTTATAAAAATTCGCACCATCTTAGGCTGCGACAACCAGGTAAAGCATGGTGCGAAAGCAACCCTCGTTGATGTGGCAACGTTGTTCGTGCGCGCTCCCGCGAGCCACAGCCCGTGGGATTGACAAGTAACCAGCCTACCGCTTGCTGCCTGCTTGGGCCCCGCTGCTCGTCGTGCTGCATGTGCGTCCATCACTTGGGGCGTCGCCACATCCGAGATCCTCCAAGTGCCAGTAAGGGGGTAGAGAATCGGTGTGACAAAGTGTGATGTGGTGCGCGAGAGAAATGACGATTGCCGTGTAACAATTATATCGCGGTGTGCCAGTTGTCGCAGTGTCACGGGCATTTAGAAATCCCTTTAATTATCCGCGTCGTACCTTCCGCGATACCGCGTCGGTTGCTTCGATATTTTTTTGCAGGTACGTAAATGATTGTACAGCCGAATACGCCGAATCGGAAATAAATTGTCTGATCCGAGTTCGTATTGCGGTCATTAAACAAAGCGACGAATTGTTTTCTCTTCAGGTATCACATAGTCAACGTAGTCTCTTTCCCATTTTTTTGTATAGTCGTTGCGCTGAGCCGAAAAATATCTTATTAGTTGGGATCGTTTTGGTTTTTGGTGAAGTAATACCTGACCTTATTTCCAGTGCCTCGCAGATTTAATTGCGTCAGGGTAGGAAGAAATTGTCGGATTTTTTTGTTGAGTTGTAACCGGAAGTTGATCGAAATTGTGCATGTGCATGTTTAGAATCACCAGTGAATTTATGGTAATTTAAAGCAATTTCATAAAAAAATACTCATTAGAGCCACTACTGCTTTGACCCAGAAATTTTTGACTACGGCAGTTGTTACATGAAAAAGCTGACTTTGGTCAAAATTTGGTTCAAAAGGTGCTGTTTCGCACTATTTCTTTGTGGTAATAATTTATTCGAATTGCAAACTAACCAAAAGCATACCTTGAAATTAGCTATAGAAAGTTTGAAACCGTTTTTATTACCAAAAATGAAGAGAAAAGTGATTACGAAAAAGGGAATGTTCCAGTAGGAAAATTCACTTTTTGTGGTGAATTTTACTGAAAGTACCCTTTTAGGGCTAGTGTTTGATCCAGAAAGTGAGATGTTAGCAGGATTGATGTTTGATTAAAAAAATGCTCACCGAGTTTTTTTCTTAACAATAAACCTGTTCATTGTTCTATTACTGTGAGTGATTAATTATATACCAGTTTCGTTGTATACAAGAAGCCGTTTATAATTAAAACTAATTACAGTATAAAAAATTTTTTTAATAAAAAAAATATACAACATTAATGGAATAAAATTGTAATCCTCTGTGTTAAAAAAATCAGAAAACTCATCCCTTTGTTCCGGTAGGGTTCATTAGGGCGTCCGCTTGTTTCTTATATTCGTTGAACATGTCCCTTATATTAACCATGGTCTCAGACCCAAACTTGCGCCCTCTATATTGTTGGGTATCTCCCGATTGCATATCTCTTCCATCTTCTCCATGTATGCTAGATATGGAATCCATTTCCATATTTTCCTTATTTGTTTCGCCATTCCAAGCTGAAAACAGAACCGATTAAACCCTATAGCCACATTAGCAAATACTAAAATCCTACCGACTGCACCATCTCTTGGCGCCATCGCCGTGGCGTTGCTGTTGACTTCTACCAGCAAATCATTGACCACTTCCTGAAGCTGGGTCATTTCGCTTCTGATTTCACCGATTTGCCGATTTCTGATGGTCAAAATAGCCGCGTACTTCTCCTTTTCCAAAGAGCACAGACGCAGCTGGTGCTTAACTTTCGTTATCTCTTGTTCCAAACACGTTTTAGACTGTTTCAGCCCTTCCAAGAGAGAAGTAGTTGATTTGACACCCTCTAACTCAGATCTAAGGGATGTTGCTTCAACCTGAAGCGTTCTTAACTCCTCGTCCCTCTTTGAGACTTTTTGCAGAAGGTTCCGCTAGGTTCCATTAATTTTTTTTAAATGAACTCAAAGTGAACTGCAATTTAACTTACGTTTAGATCCTCCAAGTCCTCAACCCTTTGTTTAAAAAATTCCAAGCTCGCACGTTCATTTTGCAGTTGAGTTTCCAAGTAAATCTTATCATTTTTCAGTTGGCAGCCAATTTGCTCCAAATGACGGCAGCTCGCTTCGAGTTTTATAGTGTTTTCTCTCATCAGTGTTCTATACAATTCCTCTTCTTCATGGTCGTACCAATCGGTTTGGACACTTTTTTCTATCATGGGTTTCGAAAGCTTCTCCTTTAAAATTGATGTCCAGTTTTGTAATGTTATTATATAGCCACCCCAACTTACTGGTATGTCACTTTCAAGTGTGTACAAACTGGCACTCTTTCTAACATTAGGAAGCAACTCAATGGTCTGTTGTAGATGTATTGTCGAGGCCACTTCAGGTGGCACTCTTTTCAAAGCACCTTGTATAGCTGTCACTATTTCTTGAACATTTCTTTCATCTAAAACTTATTTGGTTAGCCTGAATCGCACGTGGGTGGGCGAGCTTACTAGGTAGCAAAGCTTGCAAATGAATTTGAAGCTCTTTGGCCAAAAAGTGTAAAGTCCTCAAAGGATCAAAATTACTAAAAACAGACTGGTTGCCGCCTGTTTTTTGATTTTTTAACAGGTGCGCCCAAGGTTCACGTCCGCTCACCGTCGACTTTGAACGTTGTTTTGGCATATTTGAATGTTTAACCGTTACTTCCACAAGTGGCGAATCGTTGGACGCACTATATTGAATTACATCAATAGGACTGCCTGGAGAGGGAATATTTTGTTGCTTGGCAGTAGCGTTGCCTCTAATCAGATGGTTGTTAGAATATTCTGATTTCGCGCTTCCAGAAACATAACGCTCTCTATGTCTATGCTGGGAAGGTGTCGCTGTGGAAGGTACCGACAAATTTGGTTTGCCTCTTTTCGAATGCTTTGTAGCGTGCAATTCTGGTGTCAGGTTTGGCAAATTCATATTAGACCCTTTGGGTCTTTGAGTCATCGTTAACACAAAATTTATACTAAAAACAATTCCGTTTTTTTTTGAAATATAAGGTTAGGTTGTACAATACGGTCTCTACGTGATTTTGGCCCACTTTGTAACAGCTGTTCGACAATGATTGTTTAGAAAAATTGAAAAACGTGCCCTATGACGGCATCAATGTCATTTTATAATGACATAATCAATGTAATATTGTGAAGTCAAGACAGAGAATGATAGTGGAAATTCCTCTACTTTACATTTTTTTGGCTAGTTTGTAAGGTTGAGATGATCGAAAACAAATACATTTTTTTCTGCTTGGACACCACATCCTATTTCGTCGAAACACGTGTTTTTTAAACTTCTAAACTTCTCTTTAAGTCGATTGGCGTATGAAGTCGAAACGAACAGCAACAGCAGTTAGAGGCTGACGTACTACGTGACAACGTCGTTGCCATAGTGACCTCGTTTTAGATGACGTCAAAACGGCCCGGCGCGGCGTTTTTCCAGGCGACGTTGGGCGTCGGTGTGCTCGTTGACATCGTCGACGCGCCTTATAAATTTACCTAAGATGGAAATAAGTTTGTTGACTAAGCTTGTTCGAGAGGTCTTCGCGATAATTACGCACCGCTATATTTAGGACGGTTGCTCTTAAATTGCACACAAATTGCTTTTTCCAATGCATATGTTAATTTATAATTAATATATATACAATATATTAAGCTAAAACTTTGTATAATTAATTAAATATGAATTAAAGTTTATTATTTGAATTAAGTCGGAGCCCATTTTATTTCATTAGAAAAAAAGTGCCGCGCACGTATTCTGCTCCGAGAATTTTGATGTGTCAATCTGGGAAATGCAAAAGTGTCTTCTTAGGAAAACAAAAAGCGTAAGACAGGAATGCCGTAACACATTTCCACGACGCGACTCTATTCAAAGGTTGCTCGTTATTTAAAAGCAAAACATAGGCGCGATTCAATTCTTCTATCATTTTGTGGTATTCTCTCTTCCACTTCGCAAACGTCAACATATAGCTCTGAAATACGCATTGTGTCGAAGTTCACGAACCGCGCTAAAATAAATGAATACTTTTATACTTCGCTGTTGCAAAGGGAGTTGAAAAAAACACAATACAAGTCCTGCTGCACGTTGGACGAGATTACACTGGCAAAGTACAACGAAAATATATTTAGGTTAGGTACAAGTAGTCGCAAAATTTCCAAGAATCTGTACCGATCATAAATTTTTTCATTCGTTAATTATTACTTTCATTTGTTTCAGTATTACTCGGGCAGACGACTCTTCCAAATGCATACATAATTCATAGAAAGAGCGGCGATGAACGGCGAGTTATTACGGATTTAGATTTTTCCACTACACGTTTATTGTTAGTTTCAGGTGAGTTTGGCGCCGCAGCTACTAACGACCGCCCTGTATATCGGCGTGTGCGTAATTATTCCGTAAATAATTTTAAAATGGCGTACTTAATTATTTTTGCGATGAACGTTTTATAGTCCATACATCTTCGATGATAATACTTCGCGGCAACGTTAATCATTTGTTATTGTTGATTTTAACTTAATTGCAGTCGTAGCGTCCTAAAAATAAGTAAATATAGGACAAAGAAAATAAAATTTACATTGTTTTTCTTGAACTCGACAACTACGCTGATTGGAATTTTTCGAATACCTTTCGATAAGCAATGCGTTGGTCTGATTAAGCTATACCGGAGCTAAAATTAACAACGTTCTTGTGTAGGTACATATCGTGATTTGTTACGGTAAGAAATACAACTGCCGGATATTTTTCGTCTTTTTTTATAGAGCAAAATTGGCGGTGATGAATGTGATGAAATTAAAACTTTTATAAACACTAATCGAATAGACGATCACTTACGTGTGTTATCTAAATCTTTGAATGGAATTCAATTAGAATCTCGATTTAGATTTCATTGTTTTAAGAGAGTTCCAAGTCGTTTTTCGTGTTCGACACTCAACCGACTGCGTTTATTAAAATCCAAAATTAAACATTACAGGTTTATTTGTCAATGGAGCCGATGTATCATTTTATATTTATAATACGACCAAAAATATAGTGCACGTTTTAAATATCTTACAGTACCTTAACCGCAGATCTTCGCAGGACCGTGGTAAAACCCATCCCAGCAGATGTTTATTCTGCATTAGTAGGTCTTGCCTGAGATGAACCGTAACCAATATTTGTAGAAACTTGAAATTTTTATTTGAAACGTAAATCGACCATTTTAAATTTAATTAAGCATTGATGCTGCGGGATATTTTCGAATAAGTAGAACCGTTTATTTTAACATCAGGTTATATGTATCTTTCTTAAGAGTTTAATCTCAATTGCAATATGTTCGTATATATTACGGAGGTATTTGACTGTGATCCTTTCAGTAAGTGCGTATTTATGTATCTGATTCTCGAGCTTTGACCCTGCCAGGCTGTTTTCATTGGATAGTTCAAAGGGTAAGGGTAAATACCTGTACACAGGTAAGTATGAATATAATCATTTTTGTCCTGTGTGCCTGTCGATTAACAACATTCTTCCACTTTTATTTTTGTGTCTTCTACATAGTTCTTCGATTTGTAAATAACAACAGTCTTTTTTAAGACTATAGATTATATTTACCGTGGATAAAGATAAGTTATAAGAATGCAGATAAATATTTATTAGAATCTTACAATTAAACATTTTTTTAAGGTTCCTGTTTTTTAATTTATTTATATTTAAAATGTGTAGACCGTGGAATGAAGCAGAAGTTCCCCAGTTAGAAGAAGACATGAAAAACAACGCAGAATTTGAAGATGAAGTGAAGATGGTAGTCGAACCTAATGACAATTTAGAAGACGAACTTCGAAAATTATCGCCAAATACTGGTATTGTGTTGGGTAATGCCTCTTATCATTCAGCCCAAATTAGAAAAATTCCAAATACTTCTTCAAATAAAGAAGAAATTAAAGAAATTTGAAGAGATCTACACGAAAAAACAACTTCTGGAATTATTAAAAATAAAACATTTTAATAAAGACTACAAAATCGATTCGATACCACAACATAAGGGACATGAAATCTTGAGACTACCACCGTATCATTGTTTATTTAACCCGATTGACAATGGACCAAAAATTAGTGATAGTATCATAAACGTAATTCGGTAAGATATCGGTATAAAGCTGGTATAACTGTGAAAAACGAGTAATAAAAGAAGAAAATATTTATTGCGAACGATTAGTGACGAAGTTGATCATTGAACTAGCTGACGACAGTAGCGATAGTGACGATTTTTTAAGTGACTGATACATTATTATTAGTATATTTAATATTTTGTATATTAATAAATTGTTACTTTGTACTAATTTTTTTATGTACAGGTTTCAAGAATTGCTCAGTGAAAAAGATTGAAAACATACTTATATCCCGCTTGTTAGTGTAGGTAGGTAGATAAATTCGTAGGACGGTCCTGGAATAGTTACGGGAAGGGTCTGCTCGGCGGGGTGTTCTATAAGGGAATGCGGTTTTGGAGTAATAAACAGTGGGCAAAGAGATTCACGGGGTCAGTTGTAACAGGACTATATTTCTGGTCTAAGTATACGTATATACAGAACGACTGATTCATGTACGCATAATAATATATTGATAGTTGCTTCATACTCGTAAGTTCCTGTATTATCGGCGTAGGCAGGGTCTCTATATCTCTATTAGCTATATGGGTTGAGGACTAAAAAACAGCTGTTCTAACTTTTCACACAATGATAGTCAAAACGATTTCCGAATTTTTGCCCAGCAAGTTGTTGGCACAAGTGCAGTGGCATTTGTTTTTTTTAATTTTCCGTTTCTATAACGCAACCTGAGTCTAATCGTTTGTGTGTTATGTTCGATTTTACAATATTATTAATCGAGTTTTTATTTTTAGTTTTGGTTGAGCAGCTTTAAAATTTTACTGTAAATCTTCGCCAAAGGATTTTTAGAATAATGTTTGATAACGTTGATAATGTTGATTTCTTACTATGATATTTTATTTGAAGAAATACTTGTAGCGAGAGTGTAAAAATTATTTAGCAGAGTCCTCCAGTTTGAAACGAGTGCCCAAAAACATACATTTTTGTGGCTTGCTGGGCGCCAAACAGCAAGTTTGTGTGAAGTTGTAGCCATTATATAACTAAATAGCCCTTATAAGAAATATATGCATATACGCTGTGATTACACGAATAGGGAACTTGAACAAAATTTTAATTTGAAAATTATTGATTATAAAAGTAAGTTTATGCTATTAAAAGAATCACAGTTCACAAAAAAAATCGTAGTTGAAGTCGATTTTTTAAAAGATCAATCTGATAATTTACATACAAAACACCGAAAGTTTTTCTTTTTCTAAGGTTAGCGGTGTTGTAGCCACTAGTTTTAAACCAATATAATATTGTAATCAGCAAATTATTGAACAAAAAAAAACAAAAAGGATTTTTTTTTAAACCAGTGATTTTAAAGTATATTGGCAGTATATTGGCATTGATAACTTTCGTGCAAGTTCGAAGAGTTAAAAATGTGTGTGCACCGCTAAGACTAAAGTGACACCTGAACATAATCTTAATAAAACAACGACGGCTTTTATTTTCTAGTAGACGAATAAAAAGTTTATCTGGTGTTTGACGGGCCCGATTTGTAATATTGTTTTTCTGTTGCATCTATTATTATCAGGTAAAGCATCCTAAGTACAAATTCAAACTGGCGTAGATAAAAACACTCCTTTAGACGAGCCAAAAATAAACGTAAATATTATAAGTCTCTTGAGAATAACACGTATCGAACGAAAAGCAGCGGTATGACGTCATGATCATTCCCGCACGTTTAGTGTCGTTTGAGAAGGAATAGCCGTGTGTCACAACTTGGATTATTTATTGTAACTTAAATGTTGGCTTTTGAGTGTTGATATTTGCGTTATTTCTATATATAAACAAATGTATTAAAACAATTGCAAAAATTCTAATAATAAGTAAGTTTCTGCTCGATCATTTAGAAATTGTGCAGTAAAACTACTTGTGGTCTGTCTGGGACTAATCCGTGATTTCTTTGTGGGAACAAACCTATTAGAAACGTTTATTAAAGTCAATACCTACTATAGATTTGTCCCAACCTAATGATTTAGAACCGTTCCATCGGCATCGTAGTTTTAAAATCGGTTGAATTAGTTTTATGCGCTATCGCGAATTTTGCATCGCTTCCAAACTATTTATTGTTTCGATAATCTGTTGGAACTCTTTCAGATACAGTATCACTGTTTCGTGATGAAAACAAAGCAACCTCCACACTAACGTCATTCAGTTAAATAGAATCATTTTGGAATTGATAGCGATCACGGTTGGAACGCTTTTATTTATTTAGATAAAGATAGCTTTATTTCCATAACACTTGATTTACAAGTGTGGGATATTGTCAGCATAATACTAATATAAAAGTATAAAATTATGTTAGTATAATTAGTAAATTAATAATAGTAACACTGATAGGTAAATAAGAAATATATAAAGAATAACAAACAACGAATACGTATTTAAAGGTATCACAAGAAAGAAAATCCTTAATATTGTAATAGGCGGCGAGGCTTAGCAATTTGTCTTTAATAGTGCATTTGAATTTTGTTTGACTAGTTATCTCCTTCAGTTCGATAGGCAATTTATTATAAATTTTTACAGTCAAAACAAAGGGACTATTTGCTGTAAGAGACAGTCGATGTCTAGGTATTTTTATTTTAAGATTCGGTCTTAGACTGTACTGAATATCTGAGTTTCTTGAGGGCATATAAAGATTAGAGTTACTTTTTACATACGTGGCACAATTTAGTATGTACATACTAGGAAGTGTCAATAAAGAGTGTTGTGGAAATAGGTCCCGACATGAAAAATTCCGTGGCTTAAAAAAAAAGTATAGTCCGTAAAATGCGTTTCTGCATCCTGAAGACTTGCTCCGCACGTGGGGAACCTCAACAAACCAAGGCGTAGTTGAGACAGGAATAGACATACGAAAAATAGTACATTTTTAACAAGGGGAAAGAAACCTGATGGCGGAGCCTCCATATGACAAAGCAGTAAACAGAAAGTTTTTTTGAGAATGTGGTCCACTTGTTCGAACCAGGAGAGTCTCGAGTCTACATAAACTCCGAGGAATTTTACAACACTTTTCTGTTGTTTTGTGCTTTTCATTAAAGCGTGCTAATAAACTCTTATTTAAATCCCGTGTTGAAAAGGCAGTCTTCTCAGTTTTACTTTCATTCAATATCAATTTGTTAATTTGTGCCTAATGTTTCATTTGCTCAACAGTTGTCTGCAGAAAGGGTAGAAACTGCATCATCCGCAAAAAGGGAAAAGTAAGAATGGGGGAAAGATGAAAATATATCATTTATAAACACTATAAACAATAAACTGACCTGGAATCAGATACGTATTCAAATCCTAAGGTATTTTGACCAACTGCGTACGACCCCCAAGAAAAGATCTTAACCAACTTAAGCCGTTACCTCTAATACCATACGAACAAAGCTTGTCCACTAAAATATCAACATCGACCAAGTCAAATGCTCTTTGTAGATCGAACAAAACAAATGCTGTCTGCTGCCTTTCTCCTAACAAAGAAGATCCAGCAGACCATCAGGTCAGCGAAGGACAAGAGGGGCTCACTTTCAGCTGCAGGAGTCTACCGCATTCCGTGTTCATGCGGAAAGGTCTACATCGGGACTACCAAGAGATCAATGGGAACGAGACTTAAGGAGCATAAAGCAAGCTGCAGGCTAGGACATACAGAGAAGTCTGCAGTAGCTGAACACGCACTGGGCAGCGGGGAACACAGGATACACTTTGAGAGCTGTAAGTTACTAGCATCGGTCAACGGCTATCACAACAGACTAGTCAGGGAAGCCATTGAGATACAAAAACACCCACACAATTTCAACCGAAAGGAGGAGACCCTTAGACTCAACCAAATCTGGAACCGGATCCTTAGGAACGCCCGAGCAGTACCGATCGATATCCCGAGACCAACCGAAGCGGAACAAGCCCCGCCCACCACCAATCGGCATAAATACAACCTGCGCAGGAGAAATCGTCAGTCTACGTCCAACATCGGAGATGGAAGGACCTCTGAAGAAGCTCGCCACTCGTGCTAGCGAAACGTTAGGAAGTAATTCCAATCGACGACGGCCTTTAAACCCGAATCAAGATAATAGCTTATCAACGGGCCGCGAAAGCCTTAACCAATTTATCAGTTTAGGAACTGTTGTCGGATTTGTTGGAACAGACCAAGAACTAGACCGCTCAAATCTACCATCTGAACGGCCCTCGTATCTTTCGCGCGGTCGACAGCCTACTTTCTATTCCGGCGGAGCCGCAAATAATTATCAGAGGCGCACTTGATTTCGAAACCTTGAAAAACGTGCACGACAAATAAACTTTTTAAAAGGAATGTATCGAAATAATAGCCGAACGTGTATCGATAATGATGCGAAGAAATTTACCATAGGTGAATTCAGATAACGAAGCGATTGAGATGTTAATCTCTGTATCATTTGGATTCGAGCTTGCGGATCGCGAGGATGTCGACGATAGTGACGGATTTCGGTCGGTGATTGTTTCGGAATAGAATTTAGACGGGACGTTGTTCGTGTTGTGTTCTCGCGCGGGTGTGAACGGAACTATAGAACCATCCTAGCGGAATATAGACGCAATAACCAGAGGTTAGTGATGTTACCGAAATTTGCGGGTCCGACATCTGGGCATCGTTGCGTGTTAAAACTCGAAAATTCCTCGCCCGTATTCTATATACCGAGCTGTATATACAGTCGCCACCCTGAAATTTTGTCTGACGTTTTATAATAATTTTTTTATCTGGTTTTCATGATTTCCTTATCAGTTATGTTTTTCTTTAATTATTTTATAAAGTAACATTTTTGCGACTAGGCTCTATTATCCGGGAGTGAATCAAACTGGTGTTTTTTGTCTTAACTTTAATACACCCTGTAGGAAAATGGAGATAATTTTATTTACATTAGTGTCTTTTGTAATCTGTGATGCATTCTTTTCTTTTTTGTTTTATTCCATGATGCCATTTCTCTGACAGTCTTGACCTCTTCAGCTGTTCACTTTGTTCTCGCAGTAGAAATCAGATAAGTGTAACAGTATAACAGTGCAAGAATGGTATAATATTTAGGTTTATTTTTATGGGGGTACATAATAGTTGGCGCTTTTTAATTCACTAGTCAAAATGTTTTAAATAACATCTTGTAATTGTAGAGTGTTATCTATCGTTATTTAATAATACTTGTGATGTCCAATTTATCTGTAACCCCGTTCAATACAATAATACGATACTTGGCGATTCGGGGAATCCCAATAAAAATATCGATTCCATTTAGTTCTCAGAATGACGCAACAGCGACGTAACGCGCATTATAAATAGATATAAATAAATAAATATAAATTTCATTGTATTTTTAAAATTATTTCGGTTAATTGACTAGTCAACGACCGGGTTCTCTTAACACTGTATGAGCACCAATAAGCTCAAGTGTCTCGAATTAGACCGAAAATTTATTGTACATTCCCGTGTTTTTTCATTTTTATTTTACCTTTAGTTAATTTTCTTTAGACGGTTGGCTTTACAGCCTGATAATAAATTACTCTTCAAGTTTCATAAATTTTTTAAAAATCTTATACATTCTACTCAAATTATTTATACTTCCACTTACAATTATTTTGGTAGTGCAATCCAAAAATATTGTAATTTCTAATAGGTAGCTAAATAAAACAATACAACTTGGATACTTTCAATAATTTTGGGACAATCAGTTATTAACATAATAGGACTTCAATATTCCTTGGCTTATGGCGCGAATATCCCTGCCTTTACTGATAATATAGGAACTTTTGAAGCGACAATGAAAAAAAAATGTTGAGCAATTATATTGTCTAATAGCTATATGCTTTTAATCCTGACGAGATAAGCTTTACGGCGGTTGATGAATTGCGGAGGTAGTATATAGAGTGGTCACTTTTAACCATTTTTATTCCTTTATTTTACATCATTTTTTGTTCTTGGGGTTGTATTTGAATATGTATTTTTTGTTAGCGAAAATGTATTAAATACAAATTGAATTTGTACAGTTAAGCTTAACTTACTTATGTCGAGCCTTAATTGTAGGAGGTGACTTATTATAAATGACGTCGATTTTGTCGAACTTTGACTTTAAAAACGCTTTTAAACTAACTAAAAAATACTCATAAATTGTTTATTTCTTTCTTGTAGGTCCCAATATCGATATCGGAAGATGGCGTTAACAACATTTAAGGCAAGTATTTACTTATTAACTTATTCATTAGTCTTGCGTCGAAATCTAAACTAGGCAATCTGTCCTTTTATTAATACCAATTGTACTTTTGGTAAGAAGGACTGCGATGAATGTCGCGATGAAATATGCAAGTAGCAGTATGCAAACTAAGGGTCGAAACGGTATTTTTTCAAATGGAACGCCCTGTATGTTATTTAAAATTATATGAGAGTGGTATACCGATGGTATAATTTCCGATAATTCTAAGAAATAAAATTATCTAGATATATTTTTTTAGTTAACCATGGCACGTAAAATTGTATAACAGTTCTACCACTGTTGTTTTCACGTGGTGATTCACGGGGGTGTAGAAAAGTCAATTCAATTCAATTCATTTGCAACAAAATAATGATAGAAAGTTTGTGCAAATTAACGTTTTGGAATACTTCTTAGCATATCCCAATGATTTAGGCATCAAACTTTGAAATATGTCAAACACTTGAAACGAGAATTGAGGAACTATTGTTAAACAACACAGCGTTCCAATAAACTAAGTATACCACTATTCTAAGTCATTAAAAGGAAATTTAACTTTTGAAATTTTAACTAATGCACAGAGTGTCACATTTAAACAAATATTGTTTATCTATATACATCTTTGCAATTGTTAACTTGAAGTTTTAGTGATATCACATGGTGATGAAAAATAAAAATGAAAAATAATTAATATTTCGAATAGGAAGAAAATAATGTGGGGAAAGCAGTGAATAAAAATGTATTAAATTTTACGGAATGTCATTTACAGTGTTGCCATGTGTTATTGTTAGAATTGGCATCCATACATCAGCCGGTGTTTAAAAACTACACACGGCATGCTACAATATCAATAACAAGCGCTGATGCTAGATCCGCGTCACCATCCATATCCGTGCCCAACCGGTGAGGTCCGCTTTAATTTTGTGGTTAGTGACGTTTAGTAAATTGCGAACGTTATTTCGCAGCAAATCGCAGCAACTTTTTGCAACCTGAAAATCGATCGTTTCGATTTAGACGCAACTATTTCAAGCGAGTAAACCACGGACAATACAAATTGGTTAGTCTGTCGAACGGTGTTGCCAGCGCGACAACTCTTGCGCTGTTTCCGGCGGATTTAATGTTACCGAAATACCTACTTTTATAAAACGTGTTTCGTCAAGCGTATGATGCATTGAAATCGCGGGAAATTATATTTCCTCGTGATATCATTTTATTTGATGACGCATATGAAGGTCGAACTTGTTTTCGTGGCCAGCCGGGATCATACCGTATTCACTTTCCGCGAAAACTGATGCGGCGACGTTAATTTCGTGTTTGACCATAGAAAGTAGAGGTAGGTTAATTGCATTAAGAAGAACCCTCTTTTTACCAATCGAAGGAGTGATAAATCGAATTCGGTGTTAGAGAGTTGCGTAGTGCAGTGTCCTAAATGGCAAACAAAAAAAAAACGCGTATTGACGGCGTCGCTTTGGTCGCAGTTCCTCAGATCGACATTCGCCGATCGACTCTGGGGCGATGCTCGATTCCGATGAGACAGGGCAACACTCGCAAGTCGTCATCATCGGATCAGCAGCAGCTCGTCTCTTATCCTCCGCCATTCGCCAGTGATTCCGTCGACACTCTCAATACAGGCTCTCTACATACAGGTAAGACGTGTCGATGACATCATGACAGATTTCGCAGAAAGGTTTTACACCACCGGAAAGAGTGCTTTATTGCTGTTTTGAAAAAATGTTTGCGAAATATTTTGAATTATGCAGGATGCAATTAAATGGTACACCTCCCAATATTCCCATTAAAATTGGCAAGTTCGCATTAAATTTCAAATCAAATTGTCAAGACCTACTGGTAATCACCGGGTGCGTAGTTTACAGTAGTTTCAAAAAACTTTAGTTATCTACATCTCGACAACAATACTCGTAAGTGCAAACACTACCAGCATGACTGGCACTGGCCGAGACTCCAAAGACAAGTCGACTCGGGAGTCAAGTCAGGGTCAGAGACAAGCCGACTATGCAGGGTTAGCGTTGAATGCTCGAAGGCAAGCCAGTTTTAAAAGATGGGAGTCCTAAGAGACGCCGTCAGCCAAGTCATACCAGAGGATATCCGCCACTCTAGGTTGTTAATCAGAAGAAGGCTTGACTGCTTGAATGAATGTGGCATCTTTAAATACTCGAATTTTTGCTGACTAGGCGGTTGTTCGGCAAAGCCTAGTTAATCGCGATCCAATATGTAGATAAGGATATTTTACCGCACCCTAGGCTAATCCTTCTACGTTACAAGGATATTGGAATCCAAGAGAGGCACGGGAAATTTTACTCTGTTGTATGTTTTTAATTTAATTGAATTCATTTAAATTAATTTAATTTTTAATAATGGAATCATTTACAAAAAAAAATAAAAAGGGTAAGGCCACAGTGCGGCACTTTGGGAATCTTCTAGTTAAGTCACATGCTAGTCGACTGTATTCAGCTTAAAACGCATAGTAAAAAGTTTTGATTTAATGTAGAACGTGCTCTTTCCGGTGTGAAAAAGTGAAATCTGCGGGTCGTCTCATTTTCGTAACGCCCTGTACAGGAGAGGTCGCGTAGGCAGTTTTGAAACGCGCGATTTTCAGTTTCGACCGAATTAGTCGAGGTGGAGGAGCATGACACCGCCGGCGACGTTTCGGATGGCGAGTCCTCAACCTGGGACACCCTCAAGCTGACCTCCCGGGGCGGCCGGGGCACGCACACACCCCCGAAGCGAACGTCGGCAAGGGGCGGCGGCAGGGGTGCCCCACGTGATGAGACGCCGAAAGAAATACAAGAAGACGATGAAGCAACTCTCAGAGAGCTGCTTATTAGGTACCCCCGAAGCCCGCTGACGAACGGGGGTGCAATTTTTGCCCTTGTCGCGTGGATGGTTGCGCCCCCTGTCGGAGAGTTATATCTATATACTTATTCGATGCGAGATTTTTGCGCGAATTTCACCGCTTTCGTAGAAATTTCTTTAGTCCATGACTCTGTTCTTAATTTCGATTTTGTTCGTTTAACACGTTTGACTGCAACAAGAAACACGTGTGCTCCACCAACTTTTAAATATACCCAGGCGGTGTGAAGCATTGTTGCATCTCATACCATACCGTGGAATATATACAACGGTGTCGGCGCATGTTAACTGGGGCAAATTACAGTAACAAACGAGAAAAACTCGCCCTGTTTTGCCCGAATTTTCGCCCAATTTCAGAGGATAATCATCAATCAATCAATCAAGGTCTGACTGAACTCCTCTCTGTAGGAAAGGATAGACACTTTTTGCGGGGGGTGGGGGTGATCCGAAATATCTGCGAAACCTTTGCTTTTATGTAGTCAACATTCTCAGATGGATTTCGTACTATACCTCGTTTGGTATTTAGCATCAGCACATCTCATTTGTTTTTCTATCATATCAGTGTTACCTTCCTATTCAATTACCTTCATTTTTTAGTTTTACTTCTGTTATTTCTTTTGGATTATGCCTCCGGTACTGTGTGTCTTTTTTTTCCTGTTGTACTTTAAGATACCTCCCGCGACAGCACTGGACTTTACATTTTTATTCTAGTTAGTCGTTTCAAATTTCAACAATCTGGAAAAATGTTACACACACTGTGTTCCAAATACCCTGTATATTTATATTATACGCAAATCTTCCATTCAAAACAAATCGGATGACAAACTTGTTTTTTTTTTATTTTTTATGCACTGCATGAACGACAGACATCCTCTAGCTGGAGGGAACAAGAATCTCCGATGCACAAACTTACATCCGATAGTATCACTTTTTGCACTTTCTCCAAAAGTGTCCAGTTTCATCTTTTTATCACTGGTTTCGTTAACAGTCAAGTGTAAGTTCGCTAGTAATATATCAGCTATGCTGCGCGACATAAGACCAATAAACACTTAGCCTCGGTATGTTCTTTAGTCGCATCCGTATAAGTAAAGGAGATGTTGTTTAGATTGGTCCGCTTATTTATTCTTGTAATAAATAAGAACTAAAAGTTCAGATTTTCACGAAGATATATATTATGACATGACAATTGTTTCGACAACACCGTGTCTTTATCAAACATTGATAAAGACACGGTGTTGTCGAAACAATTGTCATGTCATAATATATAATTTCGTGAAAATCTGAACTTTTAGTTCTTATTTATTTTGATAAATGGATTTTCATCAAGTAAAAGCCACCTCAGTTCAATATTCTTGTCGTGTCCACCTTTACTAAATTTTTGATGTTTATTTATCGATTAATTTCGAAATTGAATCTTCGAAGCAGGAAAGAAATCGTCGCATCGAGCATGTCAAAATATTAATTTTTGAAAGCTGCATCTTGAATATTACAGGGAGGTCTCTGAACTCTTCTAAAATTGCGGCCTCGTCTATAATAGAACTGTTGACTGCATTTTTTGTCGGTGAGGACCTATCAGCTCCTGTGTCTCTTGTTGATAAATCAAATCTGCTGACGTTTCACCAATCATCCTGTTGGCTTCTTTAGAGCTTAACTGTAACATTTAGATTTATCCTCCAGGAGGAATCCAGAAGATTTGTAAATAGTAAGATATACCCTCCTCGTCAAAAAATGCGGTCTATTGGCTTCTCCGCAGAAGTTTTTACCCTGAATACTATCCTCACCTTCTAAATACTAAACACTAAAAAAATAGAAACCACGTGCTTCGCCTCTAAAAAAAAACAAAAAATAGTGTTTATCAAATTTAATGGTTGCAGTCATCGTGTAATTTTTGTAACGTTTTTGTTTTTAATTTTTAAGTTGGCCTTTGTTTTGTACTTATAAATTTTGTTTTTGTTTCCAAATAAACGTTTTTTTTTTTCATTTGATTCGTTTTCGTTCGTTGCCGATCTATTTTCGAAACTTTGGTCCAATCAAACTGCCGTCTGTTTGTCAGTTGTTTCGATACCCACACCCCTATGACGTGTATGGTCGAAACATCTCTTAAAGTGCCGATCACAAAGGATTTTTACAAGTCAAACCATTCCATTGTCTTTGTTTATTAGTAATTGCATCCGTCACCAGTAGGTCATCTTGTTAATAGTCATTTGCTTGCGCGCCGCCCGTTCCTGAAACAGGGCTGTTGTTGGTACGCTGTGCCTAAAACGGCGAGAAAAACAATTACAGTCTGTGATGAGTGTGAAGCAAAAATCTTGCGGTGCCTCAATTATGAGTAAAGGAACGGATATAGTAAATGTAAATTGGCACGTTTGGTTTTTGTAATGATTTGTGTCATTTTAAATAACAAAAAAATAAAGATACGAATTTTTGCATATCATGCCGCATGATCGACTAAAATCAACGTTGCCAGGTTAAAAAAGTAATTAAATCAGCTGACGCTTTAAAAATTGCAAGATTTTCCAAAAAAAATTAACCTCTAAAAACTAAAAAAGTTTTTTATAGTGAAAAAAAAATCCAGCCCTGGCACATGGTATTATGTGCTTATCAATAATATCTGTAGTTCTGGGATCATTGTGCAAAAGAAATATTGACTGTGGAAATTCCTCTAACCATCTTTGAAGCCTATTCTATGGCATTTGCGTTTTTGTTTTGTTTAAAGTAATCTCGAATGGTAAATTTATTCGGGAAAGTTATTTTATCCAAAGAAAAACCCTTGTTTGCAACATGTTATTATATTAATAAAGCCCCGTAGCTAAATTGCAGACTGTTTGTTTAAAAAAGTTACCAGATGTAGAAGTTTTCTAAAAAATCTGGTTAATTTTAACCAGACCCGGCAAAAGTGATGAAAATATATGTGCCAGGATTTTCGTTATTTTCAGGCAGTAAATTCAATCTAAAGTGGAATGACAAAGGTGATAGAAAAGTGAGGCGAGTTGTATAATAAAAAAGACGGGTAGTAATGGAGATTCTTCTTTTTCTCTTGCGCAATGGGCGTTCTCGTTGTTTAATTACTTTATTTTCCGATGTAGTTCTTACAGAAATCGTTTATTTGATGATCAAACAATATTTTCTTTAAATGTTTAAAAAAATTATAATCATCTAATTTGATTGATCCACTTAGAAATTAAAAGTAAATAAGTCAATTCTAGAATTTAGAAAAATGTTAGAAAGTTCAGGTGTGTATTTTTTCAGGAGCATTGTTTAAAAAACACTTTAAAATACTAAATATGTGCGTTTAACTATTTTTCCTTTTAAACTAAATGGTGTGAGAATGTCAAAATACCAATTTTCGTAATTACATGACATTACTTAATATTTATCATTCATTCATATTTATATATTTTATTTATACAAAAACTCAAACAGTTATTAGAAACAAACCACCATGTGGCGGATGTAATATGCTACTGCAACCTTTTAGTACACAAGAATTTACCATTTTGGAAAACGTTTAAGTATCCTACATATACAAGATTGTCAAAAATAGTCAAAATATATCACAACCACTTAGTTTAGAGTAGGATAAACGATTGAAATAATTTCACGAAGTACCTGTAAAACAATCTAACCAATAATCTATTCCAATGTATTATTATAGTTACTTGCCATTAGTATTAACTAAAATGAAGTTTGCCTCACATTTCAGGGGGCTGGTTTTAGTTGGTTTATCCCGCCCTGTCAATCTTAGTACGGTTAGTACGGTTCTGTTTTACACCGCAAGGTTTTTTATTTATACGAAATAAAGGCATTGGAATGCGGCAGGAGAAAAAAAGCGAGACACTTTCTTTGTGACTGGCGGCCTTTGTTAGTGCACACAAAAAAAAATTGAAACTAAATTAGTAGCACGCACCTTGACAGGCTGTGTTTCCAAACTATAGGAGGAAGACTGTCGAACAGTGCCGTCGATGCGGTGATGCCACACCGGAGCACCGCGTGTCCGCGCACGTTTTGAATACAGGGGGCCAAATAGAAGTCGCTAACAGGAAATCATACGTTACGTGCGGAAGGTTGAAGGATACCAGCGGATAGGTGTCCACTGTAGTTTGGAACACAGCCATGGTATCCTTGCCGCCTCCCAGGTATACGACTAGTCGGGCGCGTAGCTATACCGGACATGCTTCTCCGGTTTTGCGGTCCAGCTACGCTTCCGTGCTCATGCGCTTGCGCCAAGTAGAGATTTTTGCACGTAGACTCCGGTAGCGTTGATTGAGTGTTAGGTGTTCGTATATCGTTTTGAACGCGGAAGAAGCATGCCGATTTCACTACCAAATTACCCCAGCACGCCCGGCAGAACTAGAATGAGATTGTAGGCATCCTACGAGAAGTCTAGACGCCACTATGTAGCTCTGTGGTTCGGCCCCAAACTCAGTCTAGCAACCTCGAATGCATGATCCGACTCCCGCATGATTTTGTGTCGTCACGAATCGGCAACGTTTCATTAACCGTCCGCTCCTGCGCAGCTTGCAGAAGCAGGTGAGCGTGATGAGCATGAATCTGAGCGCCAAGCTGGACGAGTTGCAACGCGGCGACCGCCACTTGGAGACGACGGTGGCTCTCTGCGAGATACGTACGCAGCTCCAGGAGCTCACCAAGTCTGTGGAGTCGTGTCAGTCGGAGGTGTCGGAGGTCAAACGCGACATGGTTGCGATCAAGCACGAGCTAGACACCGTGCAACAGGTCAAAGAGGAGATCGAGGAGTTGAGGGAGTACGTCGATCGCCTGGAGGAACACACGCACCGTCGAAAGTTGCGTTTGCTCGAACAGGTGAGCGGGCGATGCGTTAAACACCGTACCCACCGTGATAACATCAAGCAGATATACAGTTTCGTTGGTAAAACGGAAGACTAAAGAATCGTAACGAGCGCGTCGGTGGTGGGGTTACGATCTAAGTTTTGCTTCAAGCGTAGGGGATCGTCATCATTGAACAAACCCCGCAAAAATAACCAAAGTTTTGGTTTACTTATCTAAGTGATTAAAAATTTATTATTATAATATGATCATAATAATATGGTATCTGACATATCTATGATATATGTGATAGTACAGGGACTTTTAAGGCCAGCATCAAAAAATGGTGAGAAGGGGCAGTCACACGCTCCCTTGTATTTTTTCATTAAAATATTGTAATGTTTATATTTCCAAGTTGCAAGAAATTTCACAGATCAAACTAACAGTTTTACTGCAAAATAATTGAGATGACTTTTGAAAATGTAATTATGTACTATAATAATAAGAACCACCTAGTTTCACTGTTTTCAAAACTATGTTATGATATTAAATAGTTGGAAGGAAAAAATTAAGTAGAAAAAATTCAACTGGCCCTTGCCATGAGGAAATCCAATTTCAATCTGATTTTGATTTTTGACTTATTGACTTTTTTTGAATTCGTGCAGAACTACACGTAGAAACCACGTCGTGTCTACCACAGCATATACAAAAACATTCAGCAAGCTTACACAGCTGTTGTTTTTGTATATGCTGTGGTGTTTACAGGCCTTTAAAACTCAATTAACATCCATCAATACAGCCTTGCGACGTCCAACAATGAACATGGTCGCTGACAGTTGGTCAAAATATGCCAGTAGTTTGTGAAATTTATGAGCATGCGCAACAAATCATTCCTTTCTTTACGAAAATGTAATAACGGTCTTTGCGGCCCCTATAATAGCTTATAGCTTTATGAGTATTAATAAAATATTAGCCACACAATTTTATGAATGGCGGTTGGGTGCAACTCCTGAGTTTCCGAGGAAGCATGTTATCTTCCAGTGGGTTATTTTAGTCTGGTTCGGATCTTTTATTTTTATTTTTATTTATTTTTTTTGGGTTGAAGAATGGCAAGTAGGCGCTTGCTCGAATTGAGGGCCGTGACTCGTTGAATTTACGTTATTATTATTGTTATTATTTTTTTATTTATTTATACGAAAACTTCGTTGACTTTTCTTTTGTGGGCGCCAGGTAGTTTGCTAAGGCCCGATGATACTACAAATTAAGCTACCTCCAGAATAAAACTACCAAACTCTAAAGATTGTCACTTACGTTTATTAATCAACAGTTACTACCCGCAAGATCGTTTCGACAACTACAAGTTTATTTGCTGGAAAAATGTAATTGAAAGGCGGTAGTATGGCAACAAAAAAAAACAATAACACTAAATAGTAGGCACCAGCGCTGGGCAACCAGTAAATAAATAAATAAATACAAGAAGGAGCAGAATATCACAAATTATTATCACTAGTGGATACAACCATAGTTATCGCGCTAGCCCAGTGTTGGCTAAATGAAGAGCAGTAACCCGGTAATCCGGTAGTAATAGCAAAACCACTACGTGGTACTTATCCGAAATCCTTCCGGCGTGGACGGGCGGTTTTAGTATGGATGCCGCGAATAGCGGACTTGCGTCGACGTGGAGGGACGACTAACCCAGTAACTCGGCCGACGGCAGGAATCAAACTTATTCCCCGAACTGGTGTACCCTAGTTGTGCTCAACCACTACTCCCTTACACTCAACCTAGGCGTCTAAGAGGAAGCAATAATCAGGAGGATCACGCACGGGCCTCCAGCTGGGCCCTATAATACAACAAGATGGTGCCTTACCTCCACAGCAGTTTCCCGAACGGATAGAGACGCCGCGAACCAGCAAGACAATGGCTAAACTAATGGCCAATTCTAGACGTTATTTACGCAACTAAAATTTCCGGACCAATTTAGATAACGTCTTTTAACCTCGAGAGGCACTAAGCCGGAATATACAAACGAAACATCGATTTGCCCACTAAATTATCAGCGAGGGTCTGTCTTGCTTGTGGAGTTGCTACTGAACCCTAAAACGATCAGCAGGAGATGCGCGCAGAAATATCGCGATCCTTTACACTCGTTGGCACTCTTCCGCGTGCGTATTTTGTCGAACGATATTTTATACCTACAGGTAGTCGACCCATTATACCCTATTAATAGTAAAGCTAATCCTATTCGAAGTATATATAAAAAAAATCGTAACAAGCAATAATTACGACTAAGTTCATTTCTATATATTGTAGGGTTTGACGGCTTTCCTCTCCTACGCCATATTCGCCGCAGTGCTGGGCATGTTCCAGTTCGGTTTCAACACTGGGGTGATAAACGCGCCTCAGAGCAACATCGAGTGGTTCATGAAGAATGTGTACAAGTCCCGATACGGCGACGACCTGGGCGACGAATGGGCCAAAACGTTGTACTCGGTGGTGGTATCGATTTTCGCTATTGGCGGTATGGTCGGTGGTTTCAGCGGCGGAATGGTCGCCGACAAATTCGGAAGGTGACCCATTCTATAGGCAGAGGTAGCGCACAACGCCACTGAATAATTGACTCGTTATTCCAGGAAAGGCGGTCTACTCCTCAACAACGTCCTCGGGATAACCGGGGGTAGTTTAATGTGGTGCGCCAAAGTGGCCAACTCATACGAAATGCTCTTCTTCGGGAGGTTTATCATTGGAGTCAATTGCGGTGAGCGCTACCAATATCCTTGCAGTCGGTTTTAAAAAAAAATCATTGCAAGTTCGCGATGATTCCTTCATCCAGAAACTGGAAAAAATTCCGAAATTCCACTCTCGCAGTCAAATAATGCAGGGCGGCACAAAAGTGTGGCAAAATGTTTTGCATAAACGTTTAAAAATATTTTCGATAAGAGAATTCCATAATAGTAATGCGCATTCCAGAGAAAATCATGCCTCCAACTCCCTGGCCAGGAGGGCTGCCTGACTAAACTTCACAGGTCGGTTTGGAAACAATAGGATGAAAAATAAAACTGTTGGCTAGCTAGGACGCTATTCAGCTATTCAAATTAAACAGTAGTCAAACAATACTTGTCTAAGAAAAAGCTACGCATGACCACGAGTATTCTTACAGGTCATTGCTTACCTAACAAACATCAATTCAGATTGGGTTTGCAGGGTGTGTGAATGGTAAAACGAGAACACATTCTGCGCGATTGTCCTAACCTCTCGAGTTTGTCGTATTTGTTAAATAGATGTAACTTCACTATTTGAAGGCGTATCTTTACTTCATTCCGAATAATATCGATCTTTAACGGCTTATTATCAACAAATTAAAGCAAGGATTAATCAAATTTCCTTTTTTGGTTTACCAAACCACTTCAGTAGTAACAAAAACGTATTTTAAGTAACCTATTATATAACGATAACATATAAATATAATTATTTTATATCCGGGGCTCACTAACTATAGCGATGGTGATAGAGTTATAAATGAAGTAGTTATATAGAGGGTGTTTTATTTAAAATATCATAAAAAAGTTAGCTTAAGGTTTCTTCAAGTTGGCTAAATATTGAAAATGCTTCGTGAAATAATGAAATAATAATTACTTAGACGCTTATTTGACTATATTAGGGTCCATTTTTAATAATATAAGGGTAGTAGGTTCACGTAGGTTCATAGGAAAACACTAAATATTTTTTATTTTTTGCCCATGGCAAAGTCTCATTAAAATTTGAAAACAATCACTATGTTATATAAGCATTCCTTGGAGGAATTGTATCATGCCTAAAATATACATATAGGATATTCCAATCAATTATTATTTCTGTATTGCAACGCCTTGTGAAACAACCTGTATAATTGAAAACAAATTTTTAAATGTTTATCTTTTGATTTTATGCAACATTTGTTAAAAAAAATCAAAACAGTGGTAAAAAAACTTGGTTGTGTACAAGGGTCAGTACCGGGGCCACTTCCTTTTCTAATATACGTTACCGTTACACACAACTGGAAAGTTAGCCTTATCGCGCTTACCAAGTTTTGTGTATGTGTTTGTGTGTCCGTATGTAGCGTTATTAAGGGCAATACATCTAAGCTCGTCTCGTGTATTTATAGGGCTGAACACATCCCTCGTTCCCATGTATATATCCGAAATATCCCCCCTGAACCTTCGCGGCGGATTGGGTACCGTGAACCAGCTCGCCGTCACTTTGGGTCTGTTACTGTCGCAAGTCCTCGGCATCGAGCAAATCCTGGGCACGAACGACGGCTGGCCACTGCTCCTCGGTCTGGCGGTCGTTCCCGCCTTGCTGCAGTTGGTACTGCTGCCCGTGTGCCCGGAGAGTCCCCGTTACCTACTGATCACTAAACAGTGGGAGGAAGAGGCGAGGAGAGCACTGAGCCGCCTAAGAGCCAGCAATCGGGTGGAGGAGGATATCGACGAGATGCGCGCTGAGCAGCATGCGCAGCAAGCGGAGGCCTCGATCAGCATGGTTGAGCTGATTTGCTCGCCCACGCTGCGCACGCCTCTGATCATCGGCATCGTGATGCAGCTCTCGCAGCAGTTGTCCGGGATCAACGCGGTAAGTTAGAGAGACACGAATGTTGTAGTCCGAAAATGCCACCTTCAGAACATACCGCTTTGTATAAGGAGCCTCAAAATTCAATTTCTTAAAAAAAAGATACCTCAATAGAACAAATATATGGACATTCATCCTACTTTGCTTCGTTTAATTCTTATTAATATTTATTTAAAAGTTTTCATGCTCTCGAACAAATAATTACTGACAATGAACGGTAAAGTCTATAATTGGTACCATTCCAGAGAGACAAGGCAAAAATATAAATAGCGCTACGAATTTCAACCCTCCACGTTTAAAAATAAGCGAGATATAAAATTTCAAAATTCATTATAAAATTTTGAGTTTTTTTATATTAGTTTTCAAGGTAATTTATCAACAACCCCCTAAAATTTGTTTTTGGAAATATCAACAAATTATTGACAATTAAGCCATATTTCATGCCCTACAAAATTTCCAATTAAAGAAATAACCATATCTTGAAGATACCTCCCTTGGCCCCTGCCTCCACGGTCAATTTTATGGTAGTCATTTTGCTCAAAAATTTACATTTTTATTTATTTTTTTAAATACCCACGTTGATCAGGAAGCCAATTAGGTCTGTAGATACCTAAGACTGTCTCTCTGCATTTCGGTATGTTTTCTGCCATTTTGAACTTTCCCTGACGACGAACCTAAAAATCGTTTTTTTAAATATTATAATTATTTAATATTATATTATTTCTGAAACTGTTTGAATCAAATTTAGAACATCAATTGATTGGGTGGTAAAATTTATTGGCGACTATATAATTTTTAAAAAACAGTGTAGTACGTAAATGAGTTTGAAAATGGGAGGCCTCATTCCATTAAACATTTTCAGGTGTTTTACTACTCAACCGACCTGTTTGAGTCGTCGGGCCTGACCCCGGAGAGTGCCAAGTTCGCGACGATCGGTATCGGGGTGATTATGACCGTGATGACGTTGTTCTCCATCCCGCTGATGGACCGGATGGGTCGGAGGACGCTCCACCTCTACGGATTGGGGGGGATGTTTATATTTTCGATATTTATCACCATTTCGTTTCTGATAAAGGTTCGTTGGTATTTTCCCGAGGCAACCAATCCCCTGTGTAGATAATACGGTATAGTGTATCTCAAAGTACATCTTGTTGCCCTTTGAAGGATCCTACCCCCATAATCTTTTAACGATGTTATTACTTATTGCTATTGGGCAAACCCAGCAATAAACAATCATTTCTAATTATACTAACCAAAACAGATTTAATTTAGTAGTTAATCAGCCTTATTAAACAAGAAGCTATAAGAGAAAGAGATAAGGGATATTATTTATAGTGAAGAACGAAATAATAGAAGGGAAGGTTGATTTATTAATCTCATCGTATAAGTAATGGGGAACAAGAAGTAATATATTGCATTTGTCAAAGCGAAATTCTTGCTTCCTTGGATCAACTAAAAAAAAATCTATTAGACGAAGATATATATTCAATTGTGTCCGTTCCCTAGCATTGTTTGGAAATGAGACTTGAATGCTTAAAAATACCGCGAATATTGGTCCGGAGTTTTATTGGTGTCGGCAGCCAACACAGTGTACTTTTGAGACAAACTATACACTAAAAATTTGGTGGGGGAAAGTCCACATGTGGTGATGGACAGTGAACCCAGTACGTTTTTTTTTAATATATTTATTTCAAATTACCGCCAATACAATACCATATAGCTACTAGATGTATGGCGGCCCTGACTATGCTGATAATACACTAATTTTTGAAGCGACGAAAAAAATGGTTGAAAAGAACCATTCAATATACGCACGCGCGATCATTTTAAATCTCGTTTTCAACTAATAGCATCTTTCATTTCAAACAACCAATACTTAGCGCCGTTTAAGAACCAACATAGACGTTGACAGTTCATCAATTCGGCAGGCTAAGGTTAAAAGGTTAAGAGTAAAGTTTGTAGAAATCGTGGTTTAGAAAGAAAATGGTACAAATTGTAGGTTAGTGTGTGAAATTTAGAGGCACGCGCGGAAAATCTAGTGTCATCTCTACGAAAATTTCATTAGCACATCAATTTTTACCATCCTCAATCCGCTATATTTTCTAATAGCTATGTGGTCAGTACGAACAGTTGGAACAAAAAAAAACAAAAGTTTAATTTCAAGCTTTTCTTCGATGTTGTATATATATATATATATATATATATATATATATATATATATATATATATATATATATATATATATATATATATATATATATATATATATATATATTTTAAACTGGAATTGTGCTTGCTATAAAATATTAAATCGTGCAAACGTCTTTACAAGAAAAAATGAATGAACTTTCACAAATTATATTTTCGCTTTGTAAAAATCCCAACAAAATTACTAAATTAAAAAATTTAAAACAATTTGTAATAGGAGTTGCTTGCAAATATTGTTTGGATCATTTTTGTTAAATAGTAGTTATTAAAGGGGTCTAATTTTTCGTTTAAAAACAACAACTACAACAAATTCTTAAATATTTGTGGCAATTTTCCCAGCAGCATTATTTTATAAACATGTAAATATTCTGTTGCTATATTTCGTTTTTCCATTGGAAACTGACAAATCTAATATTTTAGAATGACTTTATTTATACAAAAAACGTATCTTGAGAAACTATTAGGCGCATTTAAGGGAAATTATGAATGATGAGAAACCAATAATCAAATGTATTAATAAATTAGTGTCAGGTGTGGGATAAAACTGTAAGGCATGTCTTTATTTTAAGTTGCCTTCACATCGCAGCCTGCTTTTATGATTTTTCCTTGAAGTTGGCAATTAATTCATCTACTCGCATGTCCCTGTCGCCATTATATATATATATATATATATATATATATATATATATATATATATATATATATATATATATATATATATATATATATATATATATATATATATATATATATATATATATATATGTATATATATATATCAGCTTCACACTCATATCGCCCGCTTCTTAGCTGCACCCCTTGTTAGTGATCGACTTTCTTGACATGGTGGAGGAGAGACGCTGTATATATCCGTACGCCAAGTCCAAAGACATTTAACCACACATGGGACCACTTAATCTTTGCAACAAAAGAATCAAGAGAACAGAAAAAATATGCTTATTTTAACAAAATTAATTTTAAGTAAATGTAAAAAACAAATAACAGATAATATTTTACCGATCACGCACCCCGAGTATAGTTAAATATATAAATACGAAGGTTTGGGTCTCCTCCGTGGTTCAGTATCTCTGGCAATGATTCATTCACATATCTGCACGCATTTGATTCTCCGTCGTCGCTGCTCACTAAAAAGCTAACATATTGACCCCGCAGTATTCTTCATTGGAGGTTGTGGTGCTAATAACTTCGAAGGCGTTCGGAAATTGATGGTGATACCGAAAGGTTTAAGACACCCTTCAGTGAGACCTCTGGCGGAAAAATATTACTCCACTTGGGAAGTAAAAAGTGGCCTGTGTTTCCATGCGAGGTTGATGTTTGCGTTGTATGGTTTATGTTAGGAGAAAAATAGTTCGCGATTTAGTGACTTGGATTCATGATTTCATGCGAATCTTCAACATTAAAGAAAAGCTTACAACAAACGATTACAACAAATATTACCAATAACAAACCTACTTAGCTAGGAGCAATATACTTTCAACTTCCCCACAAGTCAACTGCAAGCGATGCGATATGCAAATCGGTATTCTAAAATATTTAGTTGGCCTTTAATTTCATGGAGAGTGCTTTTAATTGTGTTAATTTGAAGGCACAATGCAAAACTGTCCTTTGCATTATCTGTGCAGTAGACACAATTATTTTTTTTAACGAACCATACACCGCAAAAATGACTAACGGAGCCACGAATAATGCTTAATTGGTTGCTTCTGTAGGTGAAAAAAACGATGTTTAATGTCAGCAGCACCATCGTCGGAGAATAAATTCTCGAATATAATATTCACACTAAGCACATGGTAGCTATTTCGACACCATCGACATTATATCCAAGAGACCTGACAAGCCCTTAATATATTTGGGAAATATCCGAAGTGGCTCGCAGCCGTGGAAAACAAAATTGGCGGGGTAAAGTGACAGTTTCCGCACTCTAGATCGGTGTGTAATTGGGTATTTTACAGACGTCAAACGTCAAATGCTTTGACATTTTTGAGTTTCAATTGTTGAATTTTAAATATCAAATAAACAACTTTTTAAAATCATTTCGCACTATTTCATGTGTAAATTAACACACCATATCTTCATTTTTATGGGTAAGTCACACATTGAGCAGCATAAACTGATGAACGTTTTCACATTTCCAAGCGTTCTATTGCCACTACATAGGAACAAAATGAATGAGTTTCCTCGTGCCTCATTTGGATATAATGTTTTATGTCGACACACATACACACACACACATAAACACAAGCGCATGTTACACTTCCATAGTATTTACGTCACTCCTCTCCGGGGTCGGGAAAGGGACACGATCGCTACGCCCCTGATAGGAGTTTTTCGGGTATGTGCAGGAAATGATCGATTGGATGTCGTACTTGTCGGTCGTGTCGACGCTCTTCTTCGTGATGTTCTTCGCGATGGGCCCCGGCTCCATACCCTGGATGATCACTGCCGAATTATTCTCCCAAGGACCCAGACCCGCGGCCATGTCTATCGCCGTCCTCATCAACTGGCTAGCCAACTTCCTCGTCGGTATCGTTTTCCCTAGCATGAAGGTGAGTAAGCTTCGCTCTCTGTTTCCGTTTACCGTGGCCTTAGTAATTTGTACACGACGACTTTTACCGGGATGCATTTCGATATACTATGTGAAAACGAAATATTTAGATTGAAACTGCGGGAACATGAGATAGAAAATTCTGAAATATTGAAATATTTTCTTAAATTCACACAAAAAAATATAATTAAAAAATGTACATGCATTGCGCACTACTAATATTCCCTGAGTCTCTGAAATAGAGCTGGTTGATAACCGGGGACGCGATAAAAACCATATTGTATTAAATGGCTACGCTACCAGATTTAAGTAGCTTAAGAATAATATGATATGGACGTTTATTTTCAGCAAATTCAGACAAAATACGAATTTTATCTGTCCAGAATTCTTCAAACTATTGTCGATATGGGATCACATTTGCGCAATCCATAGCAGTCATAACGTATATTATTCATTATAGCTGTAGCTTAATTTGTTGCTGTAATATTTACTTTTTTCTACCAAAAAACGAAGCTTACGATATTTCAAAAAATGAAACGAATAAAAAATAAATATCTCGAATTAAATTCGGTTGACGGGTGTGAAACAAGTTTCAACGTCTTTCCAAGAATACACACGACGAAACATGATTTCTAGCCCTCCTTATATGGTCTATTTTTTCATTTTTAGGGATGATACGCATACAGTCCGAATGTTTGCATTTTTATATCTATTTTATTTATCAACAAAAAAACTAGCACTAAATACATAGTTTGAAAAAATCAGTCTTGTTCACCCAGACCGTTGGGTATTATAGTGACGACGGCTTGGAAACCCGTGTGCTTATCGGCCGTGTACTTCACCACTCGTTTGGACCCGTCCGGCTGGACGACTATATATTCCCCCTCCACTTTATCACCGTTACGCGTTTCCCACTGACTTTTGATGTCGTGAGTGTGAAGTTCGTTCACCGAGTAATCGTAGTGATACCTAGCCTTGTCCTGCTAAGTGAAAGAACTCAATCGATATGATAGTAGACTTACAATAATGGTGGATGGTGGAATAAATCAAACAAAAGAGGGGTGATTGAATATTATAAATTTTGTGTAGAAAGACTTCCTCTTTTGTTTCATTATGTCACTCAAAAACAACTCAAGAAATCTCTTAGGCTTTAAACTGAATGTTGATTATAAAAATAACAACTCGCGAAAAAACTAAACCATTTTTTTTCTTTTCAAAATTTTGCTTTGCCGTTAACTAATTTTCCTTTTTTTTTTCAAAATTTTAACAATCGGTATTTGGCGCCTATATAATAACGTGTTTGCAATGAATGTAATCCGAAGATTGTAGCCCCGATAAGATTTGCATATAATTATTATTTTTTGGTTGCACGGAGAAAGTGTTCATTACTTTTTACAAAACTTGTGGATTACTCCTGCGTTGATTTTTGCTGAGTCGAACCTGCTAACGTTTCGCCAATCATCCTTCTTCAGAGCTTGACTGAAACTGTTTCAGTTCGTAGCAGGAATAAAGATGTTTTGTAAAAAGTATTACAGTAGCCTGTGAAAGTTTCTTGGAAAAAAAAAGTGTTCATTGTTCTAAACTCCTAGCAACAACGCGTAAGAAATATAATTACTTCAATTAATTGGGAAGGCTAAACGATGAAATTTAATTTAGAAATTTAACTTCGCGCGATGCGTTGGGCCACGAGAAGTAAAAAGAAAAAGGTTAAGTTGGCGCCTCGCTTACGGAATAATCCATGACTTTTTCTTCGTTGTGGTCTTCGAACGCTGCGTCATCGTTGTGATCACCAAAATCATAATGGGCGTTCTGGAAATCGCCACGGTCATAATCTTGACCACTCTCTGGTCGACCCCGCGTTGCAGCGATGACCGTGGACGCAAATATCTTTTAAAAAAGGCTTAATTATCTTTTAATTTTGCCAGGGAAATTCTACTTTAATTTTTAGCAATAAAAATTTAATAACTTTTATAAACTTAGCAATTTACTTCCATATATTTCCATAATCGTCCATATATCTCCATAACTTCCATAATATCTCGAAAACTGATATTTGTTTTTTTCTTTTTTAGTTTAATGCGTAGACTTTAGCCATGTATCGAGTACCACGAGATGTAATTACCCCCTACTTTTTTCTACAGCTTCAAACATGTGGATTTAATTTTTTAGTATAGTGCCGGTTCATAAAAGTTATAAAAATAAAAAACGTCTCCGCATAGTCCGAAATACTTCTCCAAATAAGTTTTGAATTTTGAAGATTTGTGTCCCGTAGAAATGTTGGATCTAACATCATCAGAAAAAAAAAACCCAAGCGCTCGAAAAATAGCATTTGCCCACTTACTATGATCGCGATCTCCATCGTACCGTTGCGAGGGACGCACAACTCGACTACCGACAGAAGTCAATCGGTCAGTTTTATATCGGCGCGGCCTGGGAGGCCTCCCCCAATATTTCTGATCTCCAGTCGAGATTTGCATTTTTATATAGTCCGCCGGCGGATGTACTCGCATTCGTCTCTCGATTGGAAATATTAAAATACATGGGGTTATTGAAACGACGTCGTATAATGTAATAAGTGAACGTGGACCCCACCCTGATGCCGAATCGATATTTTGTTTCATCCGGTCCTTACGACTATGGGCGCAACCTTACATCTGACGATCAGACTGTCAGTCGCTATACCTATCAAAAACAGTTCAACTTTGCCAACATTGCGGCAAATACTGTCCTACTATTTTGATCGAAATTTCATATAATGTAATAATTCTACTTTTTTAATAAAACATATACCAAAATATTGGGAGTCATTTTTCTCGGGAATACCCGGCATCAACTGTTATAACGAGTATTTCTGTAGTTTATACATTATCTATAAGATCCACTTATTAAATTATATGATGTCATTTCAATAACACCCCGTATATAAGCGCGCGAAGATAATTACTTTGAATTATCGTCATCGAGGGAACAATTAAATCTTTGGGGTCATTTTTCTGGAATAAAAGGCAGTAATCGTTATAACGAATATTTTTGTAGTTTATACCTCAACTATAAGATCCACGTCTTAAATTATATGATGTTATTTCAGTAATACCCTGTATACAAAATAAATAAGAACTAAAAGTTCAGATTTTCACGACATTATATGTTTTCACAAGACAATTGTTTCGACAACAGCGTGTCTTTATCAATCAACATTTGATAAAAACACGGTGTTGTCGAAACAATTGTCTTGTGAAAATATATAATTTCTTGAAAATCTGAACTTTTAGTTCTTATTTATTTTGTTAAATGGATTTTCATCAAGTAAAACCCACCTCAGTTCAACCCTGTATACAAGCGCGTAGCGATAATTGCATTGAATTATCATTACTTGAGGCCGTCTAGCGTATAATTAAATTTTTATAATAAAACATATCGGCCAGATGGCTTACGGAAAAAAAAAGTACAATCATCGGAAGTGAGAATGTGGCGGAACTAATTATCGGGAGAGATATACTCGTGATTCCTTTTACGGGTTGTCAACTGTGCCATGTTAGGAAATGAACTGTTGCTTTGTCCGTTTGCAGAACTTCCTCGAAAACTACACGTTCCTGCCGTTTAGCTTCTTCCTGGCGCTGTTCTGGATATTCACGTACAAGAAGGTACCCGAAACCAAAAACAAGACCTTCGAAGAGATCCTCGCGCTGTTCCGACACGGAGACGTCGGGTAAGTTTTACGCCTTTTGCCGCTCATTTTCAAATTTTACCCTTATTGGTTAAGGAATTATTATAATTTTTGCTAGGTTATTTTCAGTTTCTTTGCTCTCCTTTCTTTATCTTTTTTTTGAAAAAAAGTAAATTTATAGCAATGAAATCGTAAATCATATAGTTCTAAGAAGCAGAGGAGCACTTGGCATAATTCACAACCAAGGGGGATTTCATTGTGGTAATTTAGTGTACACCGTGTGCAAATAAAACGATCCACTATACGATCTGGAAGCCCATAGAAAAAGTTTCGTACAAAGGTTTCTTTGACTCTCCTGAAGATTTAAAGTATTATAATTTTGTTGATACAGGGTGCCCCAAAAGTGTCCGCCCCTACATCAATTTTGTTATTTTAGATGAAACGCCCTATATATTACGGCATTTCTGGAATCCCTGCTTAAAATAAAGGTTACTTTCTTAAGAAATTCCTATTCGAATATTGCAATATGTATAGTTTAGTCAGGAATTGAGGTTATAAAATTGTGTTGTTACGCTACTGATCCAGGTATTGCAACCAAAATTTAACCACAGACTAAGGAGATGATGAATTACTGAATCAGTTTGACGTTCGCGTCTCCGCTTATACAGGGTGTCCCAAATAGGTGGTGTCGTTTTGGCGAATTCATTTAACAAAACCTCGAGATTTTTTGAAATGGAACACATTATATTTTTATTCAGATATCAATTCTAGAACAAGAAATAAGGTATGTTTGTAATTTATCTTATATTTAAATTTTATTTACTTTTTGGGATATTCAAGGTTTAAGATAACATCCGTATAAATTCCCGTTGAATTTAAAGCTGCCCACATTAGGTCACTCGTTAGCAATATTAGGTATTTTTTTGAATAGCAAAGGCAAAGGTATAATGCTCCAGCTAAGAATAGAGGGTGCCCATTAATACGTGGAAATTTTGAAAAAAATCGACTCTATACTACACACTTTACAGGTTTAAGAAATCTTTAAAATTCATATTTAAAGAAACATTTAATAGTTAATTATCTAGCTTCAATGAAAATGAAAAATGAAAAATGAAAAAACAAGGTAAGAAATTTGAATAAATAAATCTATAAAACAAAAAGTGAACTAAAAAGAGTTCGTTAATTCGATACATAAAGTTTAGTTAAAAATGTTCCTCTTAAAATGCTCCTTTAATCTGGCATCAAAACAACAAAAAAATATCAAAATATTTAAAAATGTAGTTGGCTATGATCTCACAATCTTTTTTTTTTGACGCATCAAGGTATAAACAAACTTTGACATTTCCGTTTGTTTTGTTAGTATCATGTCTTTGGTATTAAAAAATACATAATATTGCCAACAAGTGACCATCTTTAAATTCAACAAGAAATTATACGGGCCTTATCTTAAACCTCGAATATCACAAAAAGTATGTAAAATTCAAATATAAGATAAATTACAAACTTACCTTATTTTTTGTCCTAGAATTGATGTCTGAATAAAAATGTGTTCCATTTGAAAATCTTGAGATATTCTTTCGCCAAAACGGCACCACCTATTTGGGACGCCCTATATAATCTGAGGCGCAGCTGTCAAGAAACCTTTATTTTAACCAAGGATTCCAAAAATGCCGAAATATATAGGGTGTTTCCTTTAAAATAAAATTGTAATATTTTAAATTTTCAGGAGAATCCAGGAAACTTTTGTACGAAACTTTTTTTTTTGATATCCCTATGGGTTTCCAGATCGTATAATTTTTTTGGCACACGGCGTACATAGTCGTGGTAATTAGTAAAAAACTAACCAAATATTAATTTAGAATGCTGAATATGTCCCATGCTGTATAAAAAAAATGTTTTTAATTTTTGCATATTTTAATATTGCAACACAGAAATGATGTCAGTTTTATTACAATTGCACTTATTTTTAACGTGCTTAATCTTTGATATTGTTTTTTCTCTTGTTGATGTTATTTTTGTAATTTTCTTAATAAATAAAAATATTTAAATACATTTCTTTACTTACTGTCGTTATTTAATTAATAAAAGCAAGACTGAAATCCTTCTCGATCACAACTTTGAAAGAAACATTATTTTCCGAGATATTTTTAATGTTCAAGCAACTAATGAAGTTTCAGGCAGGCCTCCTTTTAATTAAAAATGAATGGGCCCATTGAATCTTCATTTTCTTGTTGCCAGACCAAGATATATTCAGAGGAATAAGAGTCGAAATATACAAATTAAGAACAAAAAATAATAATATTCAATTAAAAGCATCATTATGGAATTTGTCATGTAACAAGCCACTTTGCATTGTTGTTATATGCTCTTAAAACAAGTTTAACTCATTAAACAGGGTCACTCGTATAAAACAGCGTTTTCCGTAAATCCTAACCTCAGTTTTTCCACGTCTTAAAACATATCAGAGACTTTTTATCCTCCTTCGATATATCAACAGAGAATATGAGTGAGGAATGTTATATGTATTTTGCAAAAGATATTTTATATATCGCACAGTGCAGGTTTTATTTTTAAGTGTATATCCGCAACTTTTCAGTTACAGTTTTCGAGACAGTCGATTGTACGGGTAAGTTCCGGTCAGTTTTTTACGCACGCGCATGCAGATTCACCCCCGTTACCGCTTGTTTGGCGCGGCAAATGTCATTAATCGCTTTTTATATGAAAACGTGTGATTCAGTCGCACCTGTGAAGGCATTTCTTAGTTCTTTGGTTTAAACTATACCGTTTTTACGATAAGTTTAAAGTGACTTCGATATATCGTAATGCCCAAATGTTTAAGACTTCGTGAATAATAACATGTTGTGCTTGCTATAACTTAATATTTTGCCGATAAGAAACTGACGGCTACATTGTTTATCACGGTTTGCCTGTAGCATGCATTTTTCGCAAATCTTACGGGACCAACGGTCGCCTGTGGACTCTACCCAAAATGCATTCGGCGCAACCAAAATGTCGAATTCGGAAGGTTAGACGACGCCCTGTTGGTTCCACTTCTTGCTCCTTCCGAACCATTCTTATTATTCGATTATTAAGGTTCTTTTTCCTTTCTTGCTTCGAATTTTTTTTATTAAGGACTTTGTGTACAGGGTATCCCATAACTTATCCGTCATACAGGTGATACTGTAAATCGCAATTAAACAATTTGTTCAATAAATGTGGTGGCAGATGTAGGTTGTTAATTTTAAAACCCAGTTTCGTTGAACTATTTGATAATTCTTGAAAAATTTTGTAGCCTTGAGATTTTTCTAGCTGAGTAGAGTTCTGCATACCTGCAGCGCTCCTATTAAAATTTAATTTCGCCGACACAGAGCATATCTGTTAATAAACGTTTATTATTCATGAATATACGTTTTTATAAAAAAATTTGAATCTTTTTTAACTTAAGCGGTAAAACATAAAAAAATAAAAAAAAAACCTTTTCCCCAGTTTCCTTTCAGAGATAGAGCAAACGACATTAGACAAAAAAGATATAAATTTGTCTCAGCCTCAAAATGATACTCACATTGACTATGGTTAATAATGGAAATGTTTGTAGGGTTTTAAAAATCGAGATAGCAATACGCCACTGGTGGTCATTTGAGAAATTCTAATATGATTTGCAGTATTAGTTTGAAGTCGATTTATAAACCACCTTGAGTATTGGAAAGTTCTTCAGTATTCAGTGGAAACGTAGCCGAAATTTAATGTTCTCATAACATGTTATTTCCAAAACAAATTTTCCTCATAAATGTTTTAGACGTCGGTACACAATACGTGTATGCGTTGTTTATAAGTACTTGAAATCAGTATTGATAGAGGATCAGAAAAAGAATGACAGCAACATTCATGGCACACAAAGTACGTTGTAACACGCATAGAGAATACATTTTTTCTGGTATCGAATTAAAACAGTCTCAGCTTTACAGGGTAGAAAAAAATCATCATTGTCGGGTGTGAAAACGCCCCCAGATGTTAATCTGACACCCCGCTTATAAACAAATATTTCTATTTTGATTTATAGTATCTTGCTTTGGATATAAGTTCCGAGACATCCTGTATAGTCAGTTTCTTTTTTAAATTCACAGCCGCGTACCTATCGCTGGGCCGCCAACAAAAACATGTGAATTTAGATGAGAAGTTCAGTTGTTTTGAGCTCGTGGGCCGGGTCCACTTTACGTTCCCGCGATCCAGGCAGCGCGAGACTCGGTTGTTTTGTATCCGGTGTAGCAAATGCATGCTTTACACGGGGCGGCCATCTTGGCGATACGTCCTAACCGCGATTCGATTTTGACAACCGAAAAAAAAATTCCCCATTTTTTTCGCGATTCGGTAAAATTGCGTATTACGTCCTCTACATGTAACGGAAAAGGCAACGCGATCTGCCACGCGTTTCGCTTCGATCGCAAGATGTCGCCCGTGTAGACCATCGCTGACCGTTGCTCCAGGACAGTCTTCGGGCCAGCCATCATCAGTAAACAAAAAAAAATTACATAAAAATAAAATTGACGCTCATGGGCGACGCGCGTGTATTCGCGTGTGTGTGCCGCAGGGGCGCGGTCGGCGCTCCGGACGAGAGGGCGGCGTCGGTGTCGGGACGCGGGCAAGAGCAGCAAATGACGACGGCGCCCCTCAACTCTCTCAGCTGGACCTGGCCCAAGGACTCGCAACCCTGATGGTGGGTGGAAACTTACGTTGCGACCAATTTTTTTACTAGGGTCGCCGCGAAACACCCGCATCCAAATATACAGGGCGTCCCGACATAATTCGTATTTGAAAATAGGAAAATGTGGTTTACGCGATAACTTTTTGACACATTAGCTTATCGATAAGTAAGTTATCAAATCGACTGAAATTCCGTCCGCACCATCTTTCATTTCACAAAACGCTATAGCGAAAACCGCATGTTTCTATCTTTAAAGATAAGCGAGATACCCCGCCAGAACTACCTAAAATGGAATACCCCGTACAGGGTGACCACCATTCAAAAAACGCTTACTACGCCAGCTCTGTTCGAAAGCTGTTCAACGGCGTCTAAACATGAGAATCGCACTGATCGCTATAGATATTATCGAGCTTTTTAAAATATTATTTTGCTTTGCGTCACGTTTTTTGTTTTGCATTTTTTTGTTCGCAGCGCAACCACGAATTCGGAGACCACAAAGTCGAGCAATCGCGGCACGCCAGACTCATCGACCACCAATTTGTAATATTCCGTTCGCTTGTAAAAACACGCATACCTCTGATCGTTACGTCAACCAGATTCTTTTCGATTAAGAGACGACGTGTGATGATTTATTCGTCTAGGAAAGAGTGCCGTTGTATTTTTTAAACGTTCAACTGCATTTATTCGACGATATACCAAGTTTTATTGTTCGTATTTTCTTGCCTATTTTTGTCTGTTTTCTCTAATTTCTGTTCTGTGACCGAAAATATGCGCGAACTGGTCTGTACCATACCGTTAACCGTGAATTTTAAATAAATATTTTTAGTTTATTTTCGTTTTGTTTTATTTTCCCGATTTCGTTGCATGATGAAAAAAAAACACGTCGCCCAAATAGCGAGTAAACTGTGTGTTTCAGGAGTATGTTAAATTGCGTGAACGCCCTTGAGCAACACCTGCCCGTTACGGAACAGTCGGGACTTGTCGTGACCGAGGAAAAAACCCAGCAGGAATCATGTAAGTATCCGCTTGAAGTATACACGCAAAACTGACGCCGTAGGATAAAGAAGTTCTTCTTCTTTACTCGTCCGGCCTTTTGTCTCATGCAAATGCCAGCAACCCCACTGACAAATATTGTTTTAATACAGTTTATAATCCGTTTGAGAGACGCACACATAAAACAACATACAATCCCAGAAGACACTCGTCTTATTACGGCTCAATATCAGGTATATCAAAGACAAAAAAGCACCAACATGCACCGTTGTAAAAACAGCACCCAAAACGGCAACACCGCGAATAAATTAACCGAAAAATGTCTGTTTTCCACAATCGTTTGCAAAATTGTTTAAAACTGTGGTCGCATTGATCAAGTGCGGTAAAAAGAATGATAAAATAGCTTTTCCTAAAAAATAATTTATTTTGTTGTTAAATGGTGTAAGGAAACATGTATATAGTTTCATCATACTCGCAGTTCGCAAACCAACGCTTGCGTAATTGGCTCACAAATTAAGTACTCCGGTTCAACCTCACCTTTGATTAAAGGGACCGCTTTGCACAGTATGTGTAATTTTAATCCATTTTGCTAACGACTGCGGGAGGAGAAAGTATTACATTTGATAAGTGATGTTAAATCACGGATGTTATTAGTCCCCCGCCCTGCCGTCTCTTCCTTAGATTCCGTAATAAAAAATTTAAATAAATTCTATTGCGAAAAATAAACCAACATGGCTGCTTTGTGAAGAACAATCCCTGATCCCTAAGGTAATTCTACAAACCAGACTCCTAGGCCGAGATTTTGAAAACAAATAATGTCGACATATAGTAGGAATAATAAAATGTAAGCAGTGAGTCACTCGAACCACGCGAAAGAAGTTTCTTGCGTTATACGAGGATATCATAATCTCATTTTGACGTTGATGTTTTGACAAGAAGTTCCCGAAAAGTAACCATCCGTCTCACCGTCTTCGATATAACATAAATCAAGCGATATACGGCAATTAGTAGATAAGCAAAGCTGGATCCAGGTCACAAAACCATGCGCGGTGGTCATCTGCGAGTGTTTTCTCAACATTTGCATTACAAATAGTACGAGGGCGAGGGGCTTAACAACTTCCGTGGTCGCCTAGTATATTCCACATTTCCGTAGGCAAAGGCTTTTATCGAGACGCTTCCGCAGCTTTTCGAGTATTTCCATATTGCGCCGCTTCAAAACTTAACGTTTTTTTTTTTTCAAAATTTTGCAGCGGGTTCGGAGCGGTCTTCCCGCGCGGGGGACACGACGACGTCGTCGCAGCCCCCGCCGCCCCTGCCACCGCCACGGTTCCCGAACAGCGCCGTTTGACAATGGGAAAGTCTCAACATCGCCTCGTTCAGCTTGTTACCCCTTCCGACACCCCTGTTAGCCATCGAAGACCACCTAGTGGAGATCATCTTGGAACGGAGCAAGGCGTGCGCCACCTATCTCCGTCACAGTTTTAAAAGACCGCAGAGACACTGATAACGGGATACGCGGCGTGGCCGCACCCTTCGGTCCGAGTGCGTTTAGATAGACCTTTCGACCCGAGGTTTCGTATGGCCTTAATATGCTCAGTTTACTTTATAAAAAAATACGATGTTAATACGCCACTAGTGCCGTAGTTACCGTTTGAAGAGTTAACGCACTGACTTTACACACGTTAAGACGCTAATTAAACAAAAGTGGCCCGAAGTATGCCTAAAAACGACGGATTATCAATAAACTGCATCGTCCGCTCGTATTCCGGACGTATTTATTACGGTTCGCTTACTTTTTTTATTCCTATAAGCTCTTGCATGCATGCACCCGAAACTGTCGCCGTAGTAGCTATTTTGGTTTTTTCTTAAATGAGAGGCGGAAGACCCAATAAGATTCAGTATTTCCCATCTCACTATGTTACCGTTTACGAAGCACTCAGCTACCTATACTTACGCTACGTCTTTTCGTTGTTCTACCACACTAACTTGTGTTTGAACGCGTGTCATTATAAACAGTAAATCTAAAAGAAAATACTTTTTTAAGAAAAGTCGCAAGTTTTACGCGCCTCTAGTTTTGCAATGTCACTATCAAGTTATCTTGCGTATTGTATATGTTATCTTAGGTTAGGTACCTAATAGACTGACAAGTACATATTTATTTTCGTTTACAAGGCAGCAATTCATTTTTATTTGGTCTTTAATTTCCTGTTGGGAAGGAATAAACTCTAGTCCGTATATACAATTTGATAACCAGTTTTACCGGAAATTCTACACAAAGTTGCTGACAATTTGTATACAATACTTGAAAATAAAAATTATGTTGGCAAATTGCAACATAAAAAATAAAATTTACATTTCCATAACTTTTTAAACTGGTATTAAAATATACATATGAATGATCGTCCACATTTTTGGATAGAGAGCTGATTGTTTGGTAAGCTTTCAAATTTTCTAATCGAATCTAGGGTGTTTCCTAGCAGCCTCTCTGTATGCGTGGATCTACGGTGCATGTATACCCGAAAATTTATTAATTCGTTTCGCTAATCCAGCTTGCCCTTCAGTCCGTTTAATTTACGAACTATGGACATTTGAAAAGATAAACGCAAAATATAATATTTGTTCGTTGCTTCCTTTTTTTCACGTATAAAATTACCACGAACCAACTCACAAATGTTCCATGGGCATTATTTTTCTTTTCGTATCTAAGCTTTGGACAGAACGGTGTCTAAAGTTTCGTTCGTAAATTAAACTGGCCTTGGACCATGTCTGTTCGTATGCCGTGGTTTATATTCTAAAAATGACACTGCCAACCCGATTTACCATGCGGACAGACATGCGCGAAGATTCCGTATAAATATATGTATTTAGTAATTAAAAAAAACCTTTGGAAGAACGTTTCTTCGAACGAACACTCGTAACAAATGTTCGCTTTGATTCAGAAGCCAAACACGGACTGTTAAACGGATTTTGTTAGATACTAGGTATAACGATTATGATTGTTAATTTTTAAAACGCTCAATTTTGATATATTTTAAATCACGCACGATCACGAATTCGCCTGGTGTAGGAATTGAGCAAAGAATCGCGGATCCTTAAAATTTGACGCGTCCATGTTTAAAATCAAATGACGTGTGGTTTTGTTTTCGGACGTTTTGATGTAGTTCTGCCAGGCCCGTCGTAAGTGAAACATGGAAGTTACCCCGCGAGACATCTTTAATTAATATGGACTCGTTTAGGTAGTGTTTTTTTCAGTTTTTATGAAAAATCGCTATTCGACTTATTGTATTTATTATTATATACACTGAGGACGGAGGTATGTAAATAACATGCGAAAAAAAATCGGATTGGGATTTGCGAAGTTGCCTATAACGAGAAAGCGACAATATCATTGTTAAAAATTCACTGCCATGCGTTGGATAACACACTTGTATTCCGTCTTCAAAGCTTCTACGCTTTTTTCCGGCATAAATTAAGGTCGTCCGTTTATAACTATTCCAAATTATTTCTTTTTTCCTTGTGATGATCACAACAGGGGTCTGGAAAATTAGGGTATTTTTGGACAGTTAGACGTAAACTACCGGTAAATATTTGAGGTTATAATCTTGGTTGTTCTTTACGACTCCAAACTAAACTAAAACCACCACGGGAACAATTAACTTTGATGCATTATTTTTGCTGTCTAAGAATTTTTATAAAGATCCCACTGTTAAAATAAACTTTCCAATTAAATTGAAGCACTTACCTGATTGACATTTATAAGTCCGCAAAGAACGGTTTATCGTCGGAAAGGGTCTTTTAATAACCGGTAGTTCGCATTTAATCTCTTAATTAATTAGGGTGACCAAATGTACTCCTTCTAGAAGTATACGGTGCGTGTTCTTTGTAAATTCAAGCTCAAAAACTGGCTACGTCGTCTTATTTACCATAAGTTAAAATTACAATATTGATTTTAATTTCTATTTCAAGTTTTATGTTATGGTTTTAGTTTAACGCGTTCTCACTTCTGGAGAATATCAAAAAGAAGCCTGATAATTTAACCTGTTGTGTTGTGATCGTTATCATTATTTCATCGAAATTTTAAAACCTGGTTGTAAGCTGTAAGCAAAACTTCGAGTTTAGGGAAACATTGCATATGGCGTACGTTTGTTCCTGCCCGGTTCCATTAAAGTTAATTTTGGTTAGTTCGGTTAAAATATTGATTAGTATATTGGTTAATTGAATTGCGAAATGCTTTGAAATTGATTTCACTGTATATGTTAACATATTCCGATGATGATATGGATTAGGCCAGTCTCTTTCATTACGAAGGTATCCTTCAGGAATTTTGGATTATAGTGTTTGTATATTTGCAAGATATTTAGCAGTCGTGGCCATTAGAAGGAAAAGTAACCAAAACTTTGCCAATAGCAGTAAAAAAACCTACAAAACTTTATCATTGCGCGTTTTATGCTTAGACCTTTATTGGATTTATGGTTTCAGTTTATCCAATCTTTGTGGTATAAAATTAACAACCATATATTATAGTCGTAATTATACCCATTTGTAATGTCATGCTGGTTGGGAAAAACGTATGTTGGGCAAAAATATCATGTTACCTTGAGAATATTAATTTCATTTTTAAAGTTAGTAATACATTTAAAATTCTATCTCATCTCATTATACGTCTTGTTATCCTTCTCTCGGCGTTATTCAAAACTCTTTGAAAAATTGTCATGGATATTTCACATAAACTTCAATAAATGTATATAAAAAATGAATAACATTTCGACATTCATTTTTTTCACCGCTATTTGGATTATATTAAAAAAGATAAACAAAAATGACGTCATTACAAATGGGAATAATACCGTCTTTAATTACATACATATTTACGTTTCGTTTTAGATTTTTGTTGTGCTATGGACAGAAGTTGTGTTCAAGCAAACCAAGTTTTGCAACAGGAGTTGTTGTCCAACACTATTTCCTAAAAAAAGTTGTATAGTTTCTAGAGTTCTACTTTATATAAGACATTTGGTCACCCTATATTAATTCCAAATATGAAAAACGATGTCGGTTGGCTTTAAAAATATGGCTGTACATATAAGCTATATATTTACTAATAATAATTATCTACTGATGTGCATGGCATTTTCGCAAACGCCCGCGGATCCACGATTATTCTAAAATGTAATGGGTACAACTATTTGTTTCGATTAGGTAATGAAAGCTCAAAGTATTTTGGGTGATGTCTCTATATAAAGTTAACCTAAGTATAGTTAACGGTTATTATTACTCCCACGTATTTTGTAATGATACAAAATGTAAATAACACAATATGTTGCTTATAATGACGATTTTCAAGTTTCGTTCGTTATGTAGTTTCCGTTGACAAAGTGTTTAGAGGCATATTTATCCCCTTTTGCATATTTGTCCGCGTCGGTGCACCAAAAAAGCATATGCATAATAAACAAATCTTCAAATTAAAAAAGGCTTTCTGACGCACCAAGACGTTTAATTTTACACCAACGTGCTAACAAATGGCGCCATTGAAACCGTTTTCTGTTCAACCAGATTCGTCAAACACTTTTCTGCTTGCGCTTCAGCGACAATAAATAGTTGGTTTACTGACGTACTCAACGATGAAAAATACAATGGTCTGTGGCGGTCGCCAACGAGCAAAACTTGAAGCTTCTGTGAGAGGGATTCGAAATTATTTACGGTGTGATTGTATGTGATCCGATAAATATGCCTTATGATTGACTGTTTTTATAATTAAATCTTTATTGTTAAGTTACGACATGAATTATTAATACTGTGTTTAAAAAAAAAAAAACTTAACCGTAAGTGAATCAACATAGGAGCAGTAGAGCGGTATACATATTATATGTTTACGACAATTACTAAAGAAAACTAAACAGTATCGAATAAATTAAATGAGAAACTACTAGCACCAATTGAGGTTGGGCCCTGTTGGTGTGGCGTTTCATAGAAAAAGTTATCGTTAGTGTTCGTTTCTCGGATTGTTTTAACGTTCCGTTATGTAATTTCACCCTAGATTCGCTACGGTCGGCACACGTGTAAGATATATAGCGTAATACGTTATTTTGTGTTTTAGACTTCGAAATAAATAATAAAATTCGTAGTTCAATATTAGTGGAAAACTAACCACATAAAGGAATAACCCCATCGAATTTTAGTTGTATACCATATATGTATGACACGTTTTCACAATTGAAGCACTTTTATTATCCTCATGTTGAAATCCCCGTGCACTCAAATACCTAGAACCATTATTATCGGCTCGAAGGGCGTTAATAATAAGTACTAAGTTGTTTTTTTTTGTTTGGACTTCTTATAATTAGGCGTCACAAATCGATAATAGTATGTATCAGCAAAAACTTTATAGTCAATTAGATATGTCGTAGACAGTAAAGATTATAGCTGTAATTTTGCGAACTGTACGATTATAGTAATAATGGGCCTAAAGATGGCGCCACGTACTAAACAGGGCGAACTTCAAAGCAAACGGAGCAAAAATGATTATTCTAAATGTACATATTGTTAAATAATTTAAACTACAAAGTAAGCGTACTAAATAATTCTAAGTTGATTTCGTTCGAAAATCGTTTATTTGTGTAAAAATATTATGAATCGCGAATATGTATGTTTATAATTTTGGGATAAAAATTTATGTGACATTCTCTGTAGATATATTGTTTCGGGTTATTCAAAATTATTGAGAGTACGGGGTTACGTTCCTCTCTAGCAAATGAAAATTTGGCATGTATTTTGCGTCAAATGGTCAATAATTTCTTATGTTTAAGGTCCTGTTTGCACTCTGATTATTGCGTCACCACAATTGCATAAACGAATATATAGTGACAGTCAATTCTTAACTTCTACCGGCTTTCAATTTTTCGTTTAAATTTCCGCGTTTTTTTTAATTCTAATATAGGGTTTTCTAAAGCGCCAACAGGACTGGTGTAGGTACTTTTTATTTGGTAAAAGTGATGAAAACACGAGCGACTCGAGATGTAAGAACCTGTTTGAAAGTTTTATTGATTAGTTAGGTTTAGAACTATGTTAATTAATGACTATGAAAAATTACGAAACATGTAAAGTTTCCTGAATGCAATAAAATTCTATCTCTATGCGAATTGACATTATTTAACCCATTACGTGCGTGTGTACCTGAAAATTAAATTCAGATACAAAAACGGTTGCCGACGAATATTTGTTTAATTCTATTAATTTTTGTTATTTCGCTCGTTGAGTTGAGAGGCTAGAGTACGTACAATATGAGCATATCAGAAATTAACCTTAACCAACCAAATATTTGCCAACAAATAGAACCGGCAACATCGGAACACTGTCAAACATTTAATGCCTTCACGCTATGTCGTTTCTTGTCATATGTAACCAAAAATACAAACGCAAACGTCACTTTTTGACAAGGGTTTCGCCAAAACGAATTTCAGGGCTATTTGCCTTGAAATCTCACGTTCGAAGCCTTTGTTGTACGCCGACATGAAGTCGAACGGCTTTTAGAACAGTTTCGGCGAATATATACCTAGATATTATGATTTCAAAAGAGAGAAAATAAAATAGTTATGACAGAAATGTCGCCATCAGAGGTAAGGATTGTTTACTTGTTTTTTCTGCTTGCATTTTAGACACAAAAACTTGATATTTTTTCGCAATAAATCGATGTTTTAGAGACGTTTGCAAAAAGAGTTAATGTCTCTTATAAAAGATCCACCGCCGGGGGTTTCGGTAGATGCTGATCAAGCTGGACAAAATTTGTTGCAGTGAGTACAACAAGAATGTGTCGTTGATTTATAATACAAAATTGCCATATTTACTTTGGTATTAGATGGATTATTCGTATGGAGGGAGCCACAGGTACTTTATATGAGGGCGAGAGTTTCCAGTTGCAATTTAAGTTCAGTTACAAGTACCCATTTGATTCGCCTGAAGTTATTTTTGTGGGTAACAACATTCCCGTGCACCCTCATGTGTACAGTAACGGCCACATATGCCTATCAATTTTGACTGACGATTGGTCCCCTGCGCTTAGTGTTCAGTCAGTATGCCTTTCAATTATATCTATGCTCAGTAGCTGCAAAGAGAAGCAAAGGCCGCCAGATAATGCCTTTTATGTTAAAACTTGTAATAAAAATCCAAAGAAAACCAAATGGTGGTATCATGGTAAGACAGTATTGGGCCTACCAAGTGTAAAAAGTAACTTTGTTTTTTGCAGATGATTCAGTCTAGTTCATTCGGAGATCAAAATTTAAAGTACTTTCATTTATTTTTGCTCTTAGTTCTTTATGTTATTATATTTTATAAAATTAATATTATATTGGATTGGATAATTAAATCAGTTATAATGATGTCTGTAGCTTCCTAGTAAGTAAGAAAAATGTTTACTTTTTAATTACGGGATTTTATTTCCAATCCACCATCTCCTTGGGAATAGAATTTGATTTGAATTATTATTTTTGAGTTCATATTGTTAAACCTGATTACCGGACTGACTTCTGTGGTCTTCCTTTTTACCACTATGTAAATTGCTTATAAATAATAGTCTTTAAGTGGAACGTCACTCATTATCCTTCATTCCTTGCCTTTCCACAATTATTACCTTGTGTTTTGATCATATTGGCCGATTAATCCTTGCGGTGTTTTACTAGAAATGGTAGGAAGAGACAGATTTCATATCAATTTACATGTTTTTAATAGTCTGTGTAACAGATGACAGATTTCAGATACGTCGCGTCAAAATGATGTCAAATGTCAATAATTCGATGATGGCAGTAATATACTTTTGATGTTTAAATGTAGGATTTTCTAAAGACAAATTTAAATTAACTGCATTTTACTCGTGAACACTACAATCCAGCACCCTAAACGGCTCCCCGCACCTAAAGGCGCTTATTCATTGTAGAAATTGCGATTGCCGACTGTTGCAAAATCTACACGTCACAAAAATGAAATCCAATTCGAAAAATTCGTCTGGTTAAGGTGCATAACCGAAAGATGCAATCGAATACGAAAACGAAGGAGATGTTCATTTTAAGGGCTTTGGAGAAAATTTTAAACGACAAGGAAATTAAGCGATCTAATCACTCTCAGCTCAAAAGGGCATGTGAAGCTGCCTTGGGTGGGTAACTTGCTTTATTTAATTTTCTGAATTTGTTAACAATAGTTACTGATAATCTTCGGAATGTGCTCCAAAAGCACTACAAACCTGTATTTTTTCATTGATCACAACTTAATTTTTCCTAGTTCAGTATAATTTTTGCATTAAAATATGACTGCAATATTAGTAATTTTTATGGGCATTAATTAAACTAAAACTCTGCAGAATGGGATTAATTTTCTATTGTCTTTTTTGGTAGCATTTATCTTATCAATTTTTTGGAATCCTGTATGGATTACGCAGATCTAAAAAATTTACAAAGTAGTTGTAAAATAAAGTTTGCAATGTGTTTTTCTCCAAGATAATGAAGAAAATATTTGCAAATTTAAGAAGAAATAGTTGGTTTGTTAGTAATGGTGAGGTGTTTTTTCCACATTTTTGAATGTAACTTATCCAAGTGTAATGTTTTAGATGGTATTTCAATTATTAACTTCTTAAAATTCCAGTTACTTACTCTTTTAGTGGTGCCATTTGTCACAAATTATTAGATAAAATTGAACATTTTATCAAATCCCTTGTGTGTAGCAGATTCTTAATTAAACAGTTCTGTTACAGACAAGGTCATTTTGGTATTTTTTTGCATTTAAGCTTATGCAATCATTATTAATCCCCTTTTTCTCTGATCCATTTACAAAATTTTTTTGTTCCAGAGGAGCTCCGAAAGGAAACTCAGCTCCAAACTATCTCTAGTGAGGATGAAAAAGAAAAAATATCAGACGCTTTGCCTTTACCAAAAAGCGGCGATGCCAATTCTTTGACAACCGAAAAATACTTTCTACCATTTGAATTAGCGTGCCAAAGCAAATCTGCCAGAATTGTAACAACTGCCCTTGACTGTTTGCAGAAGCTCATAGCTTATGGACACTTGACAGCTAACATTGTCGACTCTACCACACCGGGCAAGTTACTGATTGACAGAATTGTGGAGACTATTTGCGCCTGTTTTACGGGTACCCAAACCGACGAAGGTGTGCAGTTGCAGATAATCAAAGCACTTCTCACTGTGGTGACAAGCCAGCATGTGGAGGTGCATGAAGGTACTATACTGCTCGCCGTTCGGACATGCTACAATATTTTTTTGGCTAGTAAAAATTTGATTAACCAAACCACAGCTCGAGCAACCTTGACCCAAATGCTTAATGTCATATTCACTCGTATGGAGAACCAAGCATTGGAGGCTGAAATTAATTTGGAATTGCATACTGCTTCTACACCTAATGATGTCAAAGTTATCACAATTCCTACTGACGGAGAGGTTAACTATTCAGACGAGGAAACAAAACAAAAAGCAGTAGGAACTGAAAATGAATGTGGGGTTGATGATATTTTGGACGCCATTCTCGACGGAGTCATGGCCGATGTGGAGGCGAGGCTTAGTATGTCAGGGTCTTTGAATTCCATTGAAGACCCCGAAACTAAAAGTCTGTCTTCTATCACGAGGTAGGCAGCATGCATTACTGATGTATTGATCACTTTAAAGTGACTGCAGTTTTCACGCCACATGATTGTTTCTTTTGATCTAGCTATTAGTTTTTAAAAACAATATTCTAGCTATCAGTTTTTAAAAACAATACCTTTAATATGTATTTACACTTATAGCATAGAACATAGTTAGCTATTATGGTATAAGATCCAAAGGAGATTTGAGCAATAATAGGAAACTCCATTTTTATTTTGCATCTGTGATAGCATTTAGTTAGAAATAAAAATAATATTCTACAAGTAATATTTTCTAAATGTAAAAAATAATTGTGCTTCAGCATTCTGAAAACTTCTTTGAGGGATCTTCAAAGTGAGCCAAATTTGGTAACTTATGACGATTTCCATCAGGACTACTTTGCGTTGTTTTTTCAAGGTTTTATTACCGAATAGTTCAACAGTTTGCAAAAGAATGACGACGAAAGCACATAATAAAATAATTATAAGAATAATGACAATCATCATTCTTTTTATTTTGTACAGCACAGGGGTATTTATGCAGATAATGAAAAACAAAAAAAAAACAAAAGCAAGTAACATAAAAAAGGAACGAGGTATAATTGTCAAAGATTTTTGTATTGATTACGAAAATAAGACCTTGACAAATAGTTATACAATCTATTGATTGTTTTACGGCGTTCCTCCCTTATTGATAGAGCTTCCACGGCCCAAGGCTGCTGTTTTACTAAATGAAACGCACCAACAGATATAATCAATCATCAATTATGTCAAGAAATCTCAACGCATTCGCCTCACTGGTTGATGATGCATCTCGGGTAAACCTTTTAGGAGTTATCGAAATTTATTTTGAAAATGTTCAAACGCTCCCCACTACTGCTTTCCCTTCAGTGATAGAGCAAAGAAAATGAAACAGAAACATCTAAATTTAGATTTAAATTATATCCCCCGATGGTAATTTCAGTAACTCGCAAAAACGTTGCCCTTACTAGGACACAGTACTTAACGACATGCAGTAATTTTTTTGTCAAGATTAGTATGGATAAACGTCCTGAATGCCGTCATAAACGGAGACGTCGACTCGCAATTACCCAATTTCTTAATCAAAATCGTAATATCGAGACAGCTGGCCAGTAGTATTTTTATTGTAGGGTACCGTCGCAAGAAAGTATGGACGCTCACAGCGAAAACGACACGGCTGTGACAGCAAAATTCACCCACGTCCTCCAGAAGGATGCTTTCCTAGTGTTCCGCGCCTTATGCAAACTGTCAATGAAACCTCTTCCCGAAGGCACTCCAGATCCCAAGTGGCACGAGTTGCGTTCCAAAATCCTCTCCCTTCAGTTACTGCTTTCGATACTTCAGAACGCGGGTCCCGTGTTTCGTTCGAACGACATGTTCATCACGGCAATCAAGCAGTACCTCTGTGTCGCGCTGTCTAAAAATGGCGTCAGCTCGATACCGAAAGTGTTTGAGTTGTCTCTGGCGATATTCTTAGCGCTGCTGACAAATTTCAAACTTCACCTGAAGATGCAGGTCGAGGTATTCTTCAAAGAGATATTTCTCAATATTTTGGAGACTTCCAACTCTTCGTTCGAACACAAATGGATGGTGATGCAGGCTTTGACCAAGATATGCGGCGACGCCCAGTCTGTCGTCGACATTTACGTTAATTACGACTGCGATTTGACCGCGGCAAACCTCTTCGAACGTCTGGTTAGTGATTTGTTCAAGGTAGCGCAACGTAAGCACTCGCAGGAGATGGGCGTGTCGCCCAACCAGGAAAAAACCATGAGGCTTAAAGGGTTGGAGTGTTTGGTGTCTATTTTGAAGTGCATGGTGGAGTGGAGCAAGGATTTGTATGTCAACCCGAATCTGCAGAGCACTGTGGGCGAACAGGAACTTAAAGAGAAGGACAGTGTTTCATTGAAGAGTCACGGAGGAAGCACCAATAGTCTTAACTCGAGCGATAGCGGGAATAAGGAGGTTCTTGATTCGCCCGAACAATTGGAAGTTCTTAAGCAACAAAAGGAGGTTAGTTTGATATGTGTGTTAATGTAGCAAATAGTCTCCTTAGGAAATATTAATTATTGATATGTCGCGCTCGTCCCTTGAAGTAACCGGATTAGGTGTTCTGTTATTCTTTCCTCTTGAATCCTTTAGTTAACATTTTTTTAAGGCAACCTCTTTACTTGCGCAAAGTAACGTAACAACAACACTGTGTAATATTTTTCTTCTTTTTATTTATAACAAATTGCATATATAAAAATTCTGAAGGCTTTGATTAGAGAAGACAACACTTGGGTTGCACTCCGCAGGTTTGGGAAACGGGTATCGACATGTTTAACCGCAAACCCAAAAAGGGCCTGACCTACCTCCAGGACCACGGGTTGCTGGGCGGAACCGTGGAAGAGGTGGCCAAATTCCTACATGCCGACGAGCGCCTAGATAAAACCAACATCGGTGACTTTTTGGGCGACAACGACGACTTCAGCAAGGAAATCATGTACACGTATGTTGACCAATTGGACTTTGTCAACATGGATTTTGTGGCCGCCTTGAGAACGTTCCTCGATGGCTTTAGGCTGCCGGGGGAAGCACAGAAAATCGACAGGTGAGAGGTACTCTTGTTTATTGTCCAAGTTAAATAATTTTCTATATACACCTTAGAGGCTTGCCCCTAGCTAGAGTTGCGCTTTTTCCTTTCTTCAGTTTTTAGCAATGTCTTCTCAGAATACCGCTCTCGATATGGTTTTTTTTTGTTACTCTTTTTGCATAGTAAACATTCTACACACCTGGCATAACTGTTTAACAACTTTATGGGATTTAGACGTGAACGATTTCTGCCAAATATATGTCTGAGTGTTTCCTTCTGTATTCTAGGTTTTTGTTGCTACAAGGTTTACCATCGTTGAGGTATAGTGGTTGTTCTTAATAAGATTACACACTTCTCTCCAAAGGAGAGTTCACCTCCCCTTTTTTAATATTTTTTTTACTTCCTAAACTGAGTTGATAAATTTCTTCAGTCACTTGTTTATTAAGCAATCGCTCCCCTCGTTCCAAATGAAACTCGTGACAAAAATGTGCGTTTGTTGCGTAAATATTCTATTATCTGTGACAGCTTTTGCAATAGTGAATGTGGAAAATTTTCAGATAAGTTGAAATTTTTAAGACAGTGTTAGAGGTCAAGTAACTCCTTATCTACATTTTTCAGATTGCTTACTTTAACTTTTTGTTTTGGCTTAGAGACAGGTTTATTAAAAATACTACTCGTATATATCAAAGCATAATGCGAGATATCTGATCCAAAATGAAATGTACCACACATAAAACTTTTCTAGAATATTTGGAATTAGAATATGGTCAATAAGAGCAGAAGTTTTGTTATTAATATGTGGCAGAAAATACTTGTAAGTTCAATGCAATCACCGTAACTATCAGAGTAATAAGTAGCAACCATTAAACTGATATAAAAGTCACCTCCTCACACAATATTAACACAAGAAAAGTCGGACCGTCTAGTTTTAAAAAGTTCTAAGATATTTTTGAACTTGGAATATACGGGTTGATACTTGCAAAGTAAGGCGTTAATGATCTTATATTTAAAAAAATATAAAAAAAATATAATCATACTAAAAAAAATGCTTGGTAGAAATCATTTCCGCATCCGGTAACTAAATTTTTTGACTCGTCCAGACCATATTGTTGCCAAACTTTTCCTTAGCAAGTGAAAGTAACTCATGCCTAGATTTCGTAAAGTCTTCCAACAAAAACACTTTAGCCCCTTTTTAAATCATTTTTACTGAAGTAAATATTGTTCCGCTCTTTGATCGTCTCAAATGAAGCTACAATTGGTCTTGGGTATTTTTTATCTTGAACTCTGCAGACACGAAAACAGGTTGCCATAGAAACGTTTCCTATGTCCATTTTGTTAGCAAATAATTCTCTCACTGACTTTTGCGTATCTTCATCTTTGTTCCGTCAATCCAAAAATTCTAATAAGCTGTTTCAGTTTCTCAAGTTGTTCCAAGTTGTCCAACCTCCTTTGTAACTCACTATTTTCTTTCTGAAGTAATATTATCTTCCTTCAGCTGATCTGCTCATTGTTGCATTTTATCAAGAATTTTTTCGGCAAAAAAATCTTAGTTTGAGATAAATTCGTTTAATACCTCATTTGCCACATCCTTAGCGATGTTTTTTAACTCAAGTTTTTGTGCCTCAGTAAAAACCATCATCAATAGGCACTCGATGTAGGTTTTAAAAAGAATTACTTACTTATTAGGTTAACTATTTGAGGCGTAACTTCTAAAACTTGTGTCTAGATCGCTTGCAATTGGCTTTGGTAACAGCAAATTTTCACACAGGGAAACACTTCACACCACTAAAAACGGAGCATTTTAATTAAAAGCTACCGAGGACCACTTTTTTGCTCTTGTAGTTGGTTTTTGCAACCACAAGGAAGGGATATCACTTCTGCTGTCTGTTTTTTACGCCACATATTTTATTTTCCAGACTGATGGAGAAATTTGCGAGCCGTTACTGTGAGTGCAACCCGAACAACGCGTTATTCTCGAGCGCGGACAGCGCGTACGTCTTGGCGTTCTCCATAATAATGCTGACCACGGACCTCCATTCGCCCCAGGTGAAAAACAAAATGACCAAAGAGCAGTACATTCGATTGAATCGCGGCAACACCGAGTGCAAGGAGGTGCCCGAAGAGTACCTGTCCCAGATTTACGACGAGATCGCCGGCCACGAGATTAAAATGAAGAACACGGTGAACAAGCCGGGCAAACAGCAGCAAATCAACAACGAGAAACGCAGGAAGACGCTGTTCAATATGGAAATGGAAGCGATGTCGACCGCGGCGAAAAACCTGATGGAGTCGGTGTCGCACGTCCAGGCGCCGTTCACCACCGCGAAGCATCTCGAACACGTGAGGCCGATGTTCAAGATGGCGTGGACGTCGTTCTTGGCCGCGTTCAGCGTCGGTTTGCAGGACTGCGACGACCCGGAAGTCGCGACCCTTTGCCTGGAAGGGATCAGATGCGCGATCAGGATCGCTTGCATATTCCACATGACGCTCGAACGGGACGCGTATGTCCAGGCGTTGGCGAGGTTCACCTTGTTGACCGCCAATTCGCCCATCATGGACATGAAGTCCAAAAATATCGAAACGATCAAAACGCTGATCACCGTCGCGCACACCGACGGCAACTACTTGGGCACCTCGTGGCTGGATATACTCAAGTGCATTTCGCAACTGGAACTGGCACAGCTGATCGGTACGGGTGTGCGACCGGAATTTCTCTCCGGTCCCGGACACAAACCGCCCGATCCCAGTAACAAAGAACAGATCATCCAGACCAATTCGCAGAGCGTTGTCGTCGCGGTCGATCGTATTTTCACCGGGTCCGTCCGCTTGGACGGCGACGCCATCGTCGACTTCGTCAAAGCGCTGTGTCAGATTTCGTCAGATGAATTGGCGCATCCCGGCCACCCGCGCATGTTCTCCCTGCAGAAGATCGTCGAAATCTCGTACTACAACATGGGCAGGATCAGGCTGCAGTGGTCGCGCATTTGGCAAGTGCTCGGCGAACATTTTAACGCGGTCGGGTGCAGCAGGAACGAGGAGGTGTCCTTCTTCGCGGTCGACAGTCTGCGCCAGCTCTCCATGAAGTTCATCGAGAAGGGCGAGTTCTCGAATTTCCGCTTCCAGAAGGATTTCCTGCGACCGTTCGAGCACATAATGAAGAAAAACGTGTCGCCGACGATACGGGACATGGTCGTGCGGTGCGTCGCGCAAATGGTCAACTCGCAAGCTAGCAACGTCAAGTCGGGCTGGAAGAATATATTTTCGGTCTTCCATTTGGCCGCGGGCGATCAGGAGGAGGCGATAGTCGAGCTGGCGTTTCAGACCACCGGGAAAATCATCACCGAACTGTACGATCGGCAGTTTCCGGCGATGATCGACTCGTTCCAAGACGCCGTGAGGTGTTTGTCGGAGTTCGCGTGCAACGCCCGTTTTCCCGACACCTCTATGGAAGCGATCAGGTTGATTAGGTCGTGCGCGCACAGCGTCAGCACCGCCCCGAACTTGTTCGTCGAGCACGGCGGCATGGAGACGGACGTCGCGATCACGGAAGAAGACCGGGTGTGGGTAAGGGGCTGGTTCCCTTTGCTGTTCTCGCTCACCTGCGTCGTCAATCGGTGCAAGCTCGACGTGAGGACCAGGGCGTTGACCGTGTTGTTCGAAATTATCAAGACGTACGGCGACACCTATCGGCCGCACTGGTGGAAGGATCTGTTCAAGGTCCTGTTCCGTATCTTCGACAATATGAAGCTGCCCGAAAAGCACGCGGAGAAGGCCGAATGGATGACGACGACGTGCAACCACGCGTTGTACGCGATCATCGACGTGTTCACGCAGTACTTTGACGTGCTCGGACCGTTGCTGCTCGAAGAGTTGTACGCGCAGCTGCACTGGTGCGTGCAGCAGGACAACGAGCAGCTCGCGAAATCGGGTACCAACTGTCTAGAGAACCTGGTGAATTCAAACGGGCACAAGTTTACAGAAGCGACGTGGGAGAAAACGTGTCAGTGCATGGTGGACATATTCAATTCGACGTTTCCGGCGGCGCTGCTCACGTGGAAGCCCGAATCGATGAAGACGACGGCGGTGATCGAGAACAACGGCGACGTGAACACGAAACTGAAAGGGATCTTGAAGAGGCCGAGCGGTGATAGCGCGCAGGTGAACGCAGACGCCGCCCTGTTCGCGAGTCTCGAGATCAAGAGCGTCGTTCAGCTGGAACTGATTCAGACGATCGATAATATAGTTTTTTACCCGGCGACGTCGCGGAAAGAGGACGCGGAAACGTTGGCGCTGGCCGCGGCCGACATGACGGGAAACGGCAACCTGACAGAATTTCAACGCGAGGAGCAGGGCATGTACAGGTTGCTCAGTTCGCCGCACTTGCTGCTGCTGACGGAATGTTTGCTGCAATCTCACAGGTGAGCGGACGTGCGAATAAGATGGGTTGCGTTGATCTGACATCGGTAATGGACCGGTTACTGTCGCACTTCAAAATAAACAAGACTGCTTTCGAAAAAACGTCGGTGGGCGGGACAACATCGTAGCGCGTAGCGCGGACCAGGTTTTTATTTCAAAAATAAGCCGCTTTGGGTTTTTTTGTCCTAGAGGGACGCATTGTTTTTCTATCGTACTCCTGCGAACCACTATGAAACTTCAAAGTTACGGGAACTTATGGTAAATATTAAAATTTGTACTGGCAATTGCGATTTAAACGTATATATTTTTTAAATATCTCGCGCACCCTGTATTATAGACGAAAACTGAAACTCTCTCGACACAGTTTACGATACTGTTCAAATCAAATTTACTCACAAAAACGGCAGTTTCGAGGATCTTACATTTTTTTTGCCCATAAACGACACACCCTTTATATAATTCAAACAACGTTCGAAATAGAGGTTAAAGCCCTGAATCTCCCACGTTTCCTGGTATATGAATTTTTCCAATAGAGTAAATGGTTTTCGAGAAAATACTTGTTTTCTGAAACCATGCAGTATGTCATAATAGTCGATGACGTCATCACGTGAAGATTGAGGGCAAAAAATGCTGATTTTTATTTGGTTTTTGTCAAATATCTCGAACAGTGTACTGTTTAAACTATTTAGCCACATTTTTTACGAATTTGGAGTTACGGCTAATAATTTAAACTGGAAAGGGGATTTTTCTTTGTCTTTTAGATTTTTGACCATAATTGAAAAACCCCGTATATAATCGAAAAAATGCTTGAAATAAAAGTTATATTACTGGATCCTCCGCGTCTGTTTAAAGAATTTTGCTGATCGGGTTAATAGAAAATATTTTTTTTCTAAAAACCAAAGTAACGCCCACATTAATGGTTTAAATGTGGGACTTCTATTTCTCTGCGGAATCTGAAGTCCACAGCTGCAAATTTAGGGCACCTACAACATTTTTTAATATTACACGGTATATCGCGAACACCTTGTACCATAGGTAAAAACCTTAAAACAAATTGACTTCTGAATCGCTCTCTTCTAGTTATGGTAAATTTTAATTAAAAGAGGAACCTCTCAGTTTTTTGCTAATACTGGCCACATCCTGTACATTTTTAAAAAATTTCAGAAATAAAAGTTTGTAGCATTGGGCCTGGCGTATCTTTTGATACACGATTTTTTTCGATCTCGTCAACCGCTTTCGAAAAATGATTTTTTTTTAGATCCATGCAAACGCGGTTTTTAAATTTTGAAAAAATACTTCCTGACCCCCCATAAGTCGATAGCTTCGAATTTCGGACACTTAACGTGTTTCATAGCGATGTTCAAAAAAAGAGCCGAAAGTTGAAAAAAAAATGGCCGCCGATATACGATTGCCGCCATTTTTACAACTCGCGGACGGTTTAAAAGGAGCAAAATTTGAATCATCTCTATCAAACCGTTCGTAAGTTATCGACGTAAAAGTCAAAAATAGAGAACGGAAACCGAACAACAAACAAAAAATTTTTTTTTGACGCTGATTCGTTCTGTACCGATGGCGATCCCGTTGGAGCTACTCTTACCGAGATCTCGAGTTTAATGAGGAGCGCGAATACTTTCTCGCAAGTAACAACTATTGAAATTTGGTCCCGAAAATATACTGGGGTTAACCGTTGCAGCCTCATAGGTGTGGTAAGTAAATCACTTCGCATTTTATAGTTTATGATGTCACTAAATTATTCCTTTACTGCTTCACCGCGAAATCATTTGAAATGCAATTTTCACTAGTACCTAAACTCTAACTCTCGAAAAAACTTTAAATTCGTGTGTGAACAAGTGGGGCGATCGGCCTTGTTTGCATGTATGCAAGCGCAATTCGTGGAAAAGAATTTCGAGCAGACCAATTTTAGGGTATTTACATGGCAATGAAGGAAGCACAGCTAAAGTACGGATTATGCTGGTTACTGTATTGAACTGAACTTGAACCTGTGATGAAAGATACACATATACATATAGATACAATGTCAAGTTCCCAACAGTGTCTTTAGCAGCTTTGTTTAAATTATTTTTTGATGTTTGATTAGTGGAGAGCGCGTTATATCAGTTGTGGTCTATCTATGATTGTCGTGTCAGTTGATTTTGCGGCGAGAAAGACATCAAATAGGTTTGGTACACAATGTGAAACGGAAACACCAAAAAATAGTCTACTCTTTTAATAAGGCTTAATTAATGAGTATAAAATTCATTAGCGTTATACTCCCAACAGTACAAAAGATACTCGTTTTTTTTTAAACTCTCTCTTATCGGGATGTAAAACATTTCCCTTTCCTTCCGTCGATACCAGATGCGTCCGCCATTACGATCAAACGCGCTTTTTCTTATGGACTTACAGGCTGGCCAAGTCGTTCAATTTGGATCACGAGCAGCGACACCTGCTATGGAAAGCGGGATACCGCGGCTCGGTGAAACCCAACCTCCTTAAACAGGAGACCCAAAGCTTGGCTTGTCTGCTGCGCATCCTGTTTAAAGTGTATTGCGACGAGGGACGGCGTGAACACTGGGGCGCCGTCGAAAACGTCTTGATCGGAGTGTGCCAGGAGGCGTTCGACTACTTTCTGCGACTACGCAGCGAGGCGCACCGCGAGGCCTGGACGTCGTTGCTGCTGCTGGTCCTAACCAAATTGCTTAAGATGCCCGACAGCAGGGTACGGCGTCGTGAACGAAATTCGATATTATGGCGACGTCATCGCTTTGATTTTAGTTTGCGGTGCACGTGTCAAAGTATTACCTCCACTTCTGCGACATCGTGTGCTTAGATCTCAAGGCAGAGTTGAGGTCCATCCTGCGCAGGGTTTTTCTCAGGATAGGACCGGTGTTTCACATAACCACCTAGCCGATTGGTGGGTGGTCGATCAGTTTTGAATGGCAGTAGGGATGGAGATGAGCAAAGAAAATAATTTGTTTCGAGATACAACATGTGGAGTCGACTCGGCTGAAGATAGCTGCGAAATTGGATATACTAAATCGTTTAGGGATTAGTTCCTTCTAGAAAGTAAAAGGTTGAATTTGCCAGAAGATGTAAGTGGCGACATCGATAAGCAAGGATGCTGCGTACCTATACCGTGTTTAACAAATTTTGTTTAAATATTAGCTATTTATATTCTACATAGCACGCAAATTTTAATACGTTGAATTTTTTAGTCGAAATTCCCTGTAAATAAAGGTATGTTCTCAGAGCGAGAGGGAGAGTGTGAAAGAAAGATCATTCCGCGTTAGGTGATAATAAGAATAAGTTGTGCCTTCATAGCCCCCTGTACATTTATTGTTTGAAAGGATCGATGGCGATGTATAAATAACAAAAAAAAAAAATATATTGGTAATTTATTTTGTCGTTTTAGGTTTGTTATTGTTTTATTCTAATATCAAAATGTTTTACAAAAAAAATAAATATACAGTTGCTTAGTAATATTACACGCGAGTCGTTTTATTTCAAATTTCGTAAATAATTTTATTTATAAATTTTTTAAGGTAAAAAAATTCAGTCGGAGTACAGCCAAAAGTAGTGCGACAATGTTTTTTAAAATGCTTTGCATCGAAAATATTCTTAACCATCTCTAACTGATTTCAAAACTCACCCAAGAGAAATAGCACCTGATTTGTAGCCTTATTGGACTCTATACTTTAGTAGCGCTTTGCGACATCGAAATGGTGTGTTTCGACGCAGGCAGATCGATCGAGCCTTGTGAACCCAATGAACGTGTAGTACTTTTAGCTGACGAAGGTCTCTTGGCGGACAAAGTTCTTTTTAGCCTATCGATTTTACGCTGCCTGTCGTTGGCGATTATCTGCATCTGATCACGTATAGAGAGATCGAAAAATATGTCGTGGAAGGCGTAACATGCAGCGGAAATCTAAAAGTAATCATTAATCTGAATCGTTTTGACATAGCTCGATTCTCTGCCCAACCCATCAATGAAACTAGTCATTAATTCAATTTTTAGTCCTCCGCTTTTATTAAGGATTTGAAAAAACCGAAGAATTTGTAGAAAATTACTGCATACAACAGAATTTGAGTCGTACAAGTATTAGTTTGTAAAACTTCAAAGTAAAAACACAGACAACGCTACCATCGATGTTAATAAAAGGCATATATAAAAAGCTAACAAGATTGCAAGTTAATATGTATATGTAGGTCGCAGATAGTATGCACATTAAGAAAAGTGAAATTATCCATTTTATTAAAGTGGTTCTCCGGTAAATCATTCCATTGTATAGTAAGTTATTAATTCTAAATACTCGTCTCTCCGTATTTATCTTAGAACACTTGCAAGCAAAAAGCTCTTTTTTTTATCAAACATTTTTGAGGTTTGAGTTAGGTTGCCGAAATTGTTCTTCTAAATTTGGGTATCAACTAGAACGATTTAGACACGTTTGGTAATACAGCAACCGATAAATATAGACAACATAATTGTAGATGTCGCCTAGCTCTATTTATACCCTAAAAATATTCGTTGGAAGGGCGGTTACACCATATATAATTTAAGTCGTATTCAAGTTAAAGGATATAAATAACTAATCTTAAATGTACCTGTTGTATCAACCTTCTGTGTAATTCGACGTCTTTCGCGTCGATATGGTCAGACCGATGCAATTCTAAGGCACACATCAGCACATCTCTTATTGTTTCAATTAGCTTTTGAACCCTTTCGGTGCGAAGCAACCTCCGCGTCAGGTAACCCTTGACGTGGGCCCCAATTATACTGGCGGCCCATGCCTGAAATTTGACATGCAAAACATTTTGTCCAAATATATACCTATATATTGGAACCCATTCATGATTTATTTTAAATTAATTAATTCCTTTCCTATTTCTATTCCCTGGCAAGGACTAACCAAAATAATAGGAGTGCTGTGATATATTATCAGTCGACATGGAGTAGAGAGTATTTAAGAAAAATAAAGGTTGGAGCTCTGTTTAGATGCAAAGGACTTTGCAGGAGTCTTAAACCACCAAAGGAAAAAAATGTCATTTTGGAAATACAAGATGTTCTATTGGGTTTTGCATTGTTCTGGGCCTTACCTCTCGGTTTTGAGTCGCGGGAAATAGTTCTCTGCTGATCTCAAGATGTTTCAAATTATCTTTCCAAGTGGATTTTCTGCTCGGTGAAGATGTATTTAACACTTCACATCTATTTTCCAAGTCAATCAGTTTTAGGGGCGGAGTATTTGGGGCAGTTAAAGTGTCAGACTCGCTAAGACTGTAGTGAATCGACTGACTAGGTGACATTGAAAAAGTGCTGCTGCGTCTTATCCTACTTCTTGGTTTTGTTTTCTCGGTAGCTGACAGAGGTGACATATTTGATTCGTCAGGAGAATAATTACAGTCATATCGATCAAGTCGTTGTTGTTGTTCTGATTGTTGTTTTCGGACTAACTCCATAATTTGATCTGCATAATTTTCTGGTATTTCTTTTAGTACCTTCATAAACTCACAGTCGGCATCAAGAACGTCAAACGGATCTTTCATAAAGAATGTTGCTCGCTTTTGTTCCTTGGTCGTATTAGCCTCTTCAGGTTTATTTGTGTTAACCATAATTTGCTGAACTGATATATCAGTTTGAAATACTTCTATTGTGGGAGATTTAATTTCCTCCAGTTTGCTGTTGTCATTTTGATAGACAGTATTTATACTGCTGTAGCCACCACTTTCAGACGAGCTTCTAAGGCGGTCCGTAGAACCTTGGCTACAGTCCGAAATTTTGCGCAAATGAGCTAGAAGCAATGGGCTAGGAGCCTCTAAAGTATAAGAATTGCTTCTGATAAGACGTGGTTTATTAAGCAGTTCTGGTTCAACTTTTGACTCATTTTTACACATTACATTACTTACTAAACTGGTTTCAGGATTCTCACAATTATCACAGTTACTTTTCAATTCGGATCTGTCAACAATCACTTTCACGGTATCACCAACATATTCGGTCACTTCGACAATATCTTTGTTTAAATGGACGAGCTTTTTAGCTCCCTTATCGAAATTTGGAATTTCGAGTGCCTCAATGTGGCTATCTCCAAAACTACCGTCTAAATTAGGACTCTCTATTAAACATCGAGTTGTAAGGAGATCATTCAAGTGTTTGCGTAAAGCCCTGCAGTTTTTTAAACGTTGCTCCAGTTTGATGGCTTGCTGTTTGTGCATGTTGATTTCCTTTCGCCTTTCTGAAGTGATCTGACAAAAGAGGTTGGTTCGTTCCCGCTTCCATAATAATAATAATACTTACAAGCGGTGGTAATATTGGCTTTCCATTTAGCTTTATACAAGACACGTACGGATGCTTAATCATTATAATTAATTCGTTAAAGTAAAAATCTGTTATAGACAAAAAGTTTGTTTATATTCATGCCACTAGTTGAGAGATGACGTTTCGTCACTTTGCACCGGCTTTTTTCAACAAGGATCAACAAAAAATAAAAGAGTACCTAACACGATGTAACTTTACATAATTATTAATTACCGTAACACGTGAAACCTAAAATTTGCAAACAACAAAATATGGCATATCCTGCGTCCTTTGTTTAATTTATTATTAGGTCACAGAATAGATGAAGAACTTGTCATTTGTCTTTTCTGTGATTAGGTTTCAGTCTAACCACTCGTGAAAAAGAAACGCATAGATCGAAAATGGATGTTACTCTTTCGCAACTTGCGAGGGCTTGATTTGTACAGTAAATGACTTTGCGAGGTTTCAGTGACGTCAGATTAGTATTGCTGAAAACACACAAAAAATCTCCTCAGGAAGCCTGTACCAGAATAAAGCGTCCGCTCGCATCGTTTACTCCCGATCGTAAAACTGTGATTAGCCGCTCTTACAAGGAGATGCGATAAATCGAACAATACGCGTCCATCGCAGACGTCATCAGCGACCATTTACTCCTATGCTTAGAGCGAAAAATAGCATGTTATGGATACACCATAAGATACTAAATGGGAAAAGTTAAGGTTTTTGCGCATACTGCTCCATTTTGAAAAAAATTAACCGTGAGCATTTGCTGCATCTGACCATGAAAATTGTTGTCGGTTGCAGTTTCGCTGATACGGATGTTTAACACAAAGCCGAAGTAAGATTGCGTTACATGCGTCTGCGGGCGTTCGCTTAGCAACAATCGTAGAACACAGTTGGTGGCGAAATATTAATTGGGAGAAGTTAAGGTAGTAATAATTTTACAAATACATTCATAAAGTTGAAACAATATCTATCTTTTAATGGTTTTGCTCCGTATATCACTTGCGATCTGAAGAGAGGACTTTGCATTTTTGTTGGTGCGAAACAAAAGAAGTGGAGGTAGGTGACGCATCGTAAATGGAGAAAACGAATTTACCCCCTCCTTATTCCCCAACAGCACCTAGTCCTGGGTTCGTCCATAACGTGCCGCCAGCTATTGCTTGTAATTATACTTTTCTCGTAATTAAATAATTAAATAGCGTTAAATAAACCCGTTTATCAACAAAATATACTGTGGGCTTAAAAAAAGATTTTATGTATAATTAAATTGTTTCAATATTATTGTATGGCAAATTTAGTTAGGTATAATTATTCTTTTTAGATTCAGAGCAGCACCACCCGCCTGGACCTCCACGTAAGTTTTATCTTCTTACACGTTTATTGGACTTTAATTGTGGGTATAATTTGTGCAAATCCTATACAAACAATGTCACATGTAATACTTACCGGATACCAACGCGAATGATAACGCGATAATTTGCATTTAATTTTGCTTTAAAAATAGTTCCGGAAGCTATGACTATTTATAATAATCATTATTGTGATAATATAATTTTTTTTAGAGAATACCAACACCAACACTCGTAGAATTTCGTTCAAATTTTTTTGTTGATATTTTGGCCGTCGTCAAAATTTTTCTGTGGAGAATGCCAAGGATATTGTGGCGCCATATATATATATATATATATATATATATATATATATATATATATATATATATATATATATATATGGCGCCATTTTGCCATAGAGAATATCGTCGCCGCCCTATATATATATATATATATATATATATATATATATATATATATATATATATATATATATATATATATATATATATATATATATATACACTACATAGAGACATAATTGCCTTGTCTATGCCGATAATACAGGAACTTACGAAGCAACTATGAAATTTTGTTCGAGAATCTGGCTTATAACCTTGCGGTATTCAACAACCAACATTTCTTCTGACAGATCGTTAATAAGTTTGAATGAGGCATTTTTAAGGCAGGATTTTCTCAAAATATGCCTGTATTTCGTTAAATGTGGTGGGAAAACGAGTGAAGTGGTGGTGGTTGATGAGTGAAATGCGTGAGTGGCTATATCAGGGCCACTATATTATATTAATAGCTATATGCTTTGGCCAGTGCGTGGAAAACTTGCAACAGACAATTAATGATGGTGTTGGGTACTCACCCCTATCCTTGTGTAGGGATGGTAAATACCTCCTCAGGCGCGGATGACATTTTTGTACATGTTCTTTTTCAACAGTAATCTCCACACACTTAACTCGTGTTGTCGCTGAATTTTTAATTGGAATTCAGTACTGCCAAAAAATGGCAGATCCAAACTTATGTTGCCTGGTAGTTATGAGCATAGGCAATATAATATCAACATAATAGCATAGATAATATAATATCCCGCCCGCCATAAAACATTTCAAAATGTCAATATGACAGCAGAACACCATTTTAAATATTTTTTTTAAATGGTAAGGGGGGTCATTGATAGGTCTTTTGATGTGCTATTTGCATAGCAATTTGGAATATATTTGCTTGGTCAGTTTTTGCAAGATAAAAAATGATTTTTAAACACTTTAATTAATTTATTCAGTTGTGATGAAACTATTTTTTTAATTTTTGCTACGGTTAAGTAATAGAACATTTGCAAGCATTCGTTTTCCCTATATACAAGGGTACAAAAAAATAAAAGTAGAGTACCGTCATATACGCGGGCACTGTATAATATATAATGCCGAAGAATGTAAATATGTCAATATGTAAATTAAAATGTTTTAAATCCAACATGTGATCTTATACACCAGGTCCGGGTTTAACCAAGGCAGTTGATTTAAGGCAGCGAAGGTCAGCGGTATACAATTTAAGCAAAACTCTACCAAGAACGCGTTAACCTCAATAACCACTGAACCAGCACGCCTTTGTTACCGTTAAATCCCTGCGATATTAAAATTGATTGGATACCGTCGATTCCAAACTACAGAAAATATACGAGGTTAATCACGGTTTATCATACAGGTGCGTACATATGTTGCCAAACGTCTCGAACTCTGGAGCTATTTTCGAATTGTCCCGATTCGGGAATTATTAGGCGTATTCGGATTTGTTTACTTGGACTATCTTTGAACTGTTTGTCCTCCGACTGCGCAGAACTAGGTGCGCCTTGGCTTCATCCTACAACTGTTTTCGAACTGTCAACGATTTGGTAAAACTCCATATGCCCTTTTAGGATCTCTTCGTCGACTTTGTGTCATAATCTAAATTATATGAATTTTTTGATTATTTTGATGTTCAATTAGTTCAACCTAACTTTTCAATACATTTATTATCAATGTTTGTGCTATACAATAGTTAAGTGTGAGTTTTCAAAGATTCAGTTAAAATAACGTCTAAAAGAGCGTCTATAAAATCTTCATTTTTTTATGATGACGTAGAACTTGAACTTGATGACTCAGTCATATTACTTAAATCCATTATATTTCTCACAATAGGACTATGAAAACAATCAAACAAAAAGGAACACAAAGAAAAATCCTATAGCATGAACAGGATATGTCCGGCAAAAATAATCCTAGAATAGTACTTTTGCTATGACAGTCCCAAGACCGTTCGCACAGAGTTTGGAATTTAACCCGAACGTCACTGACCAATAGAAAGAGTACCAAAAAACAGCTCCACCCGGCATACACCTTTTTAGGCTAAGCTAACCAAAACTAACGCCCAACGGCCAGAAAAATTGTTGGTTGCCTACCTTCAAACGTTTAGGTCTTTTTGACCATTATATCATAATTTTAAATATTTTCTTTCCAGTAATAGGGACTAGTTTTTTTTTTGCTTTGTTCACGTATGTTTCAATGATATAACAAAGCGGCGCAACACTTAATTTATTCGCTTATTTAAAAACTACGAGGAAATTAAAAAGTACCGTTTCAGTTCTCGTTGGTAAGCCTGGTTCGTACTTAGTTTTGTTTATGTCAGTTTTTTAATTTTGTTATTAAGTTTGTTTCATTTAATTTAATGCCGTAAATAAATAGCTATATCAAGTACCGAGTAAGTTGTGAGTATATTATAAAATCAACCCCTTTTACAGAAATGGCGCCGACCCAAACAACTACAGTGGTTCACGTTTCCGCCCCTGCAACTGGTCCAGGATCTTGTCCAGTGTGTAAAAACAAGAGCTGGACCGGAACCTATCCTTGTTGCGCCTGGTTACTCTGCTTTTTCTGTTTTCCATGCGGGATAATTTGTTGCTGCTGCATGCGCAAGAAGAAATGCAGCAAATGCGGGTTTACCGTGGGTTAATACTGGCAAAGCTTTCAACTTAACTTTCAAAATACTGTTCGATGTATTTTATTATTAGACGTACGAAGGCTTCAACTATTTCGTTTCAATTGCTATCTATGCTATATGGCTCCAGGTTTACAATACGGACTTCGGAGTGTGAAAAATATCTCCTTAATATGTACGTATGTAGGTTGAACATTAAATACCAAATATTATTATTCTGTTTACATGCAATTTTTGTTCTAAATATATTCCATTTGCTCCTGATCAGTCTTAAAAATATTCGAATGGTTATTGGTCTCATAACTAAAGTATTTATTTGTTTTTTACATTTTTTGGTTTGGTTTTAGTTACACCAAATTTCTTGGAATGTAATTCTTTTTAGTATTATACAGGGTTAAATCGTCAAACGTGTAAGACCGGTTTTCAGGTAAAAAAATACTTTTTTTTCATAAACATATGTTATAACTTGATTTGTTTTCGCGATACAGGGCGTCAAAGTTTTTATACAAAATTGTTTTTTATTAATTTTTCAAACAATCTTTTTTTTGATTTTGATAAAATTTGACATTCATTTACGGTACGCCAATACTTTTCAGATTAGGCAATTAAAAATTCATTTTTTTGTCTCTTGAAGTTCTTTCCTAACCTGATTTGTTTTTGAGAAGAAGAATAAAAACAAATAAATCGTCGGCTGCCCTGTTCATGTAAGACGAAAAAATAAAAATCAGGTCAAACATATATCTGTACCATAATTTTCCAGAAAGATGGAAGAGTTGTGGTCAAGATGGCCTCTTGCCTTGTCTTGCGCGCTGTCTGAATTTAACTCCTTTATCACGAGCTCGTTAATGATGAAGGTACTATACGGAAAATGATTGTTAAAGTACATCAAGAGATTACACCAGCGGAGTGTCCGCTGCACGACACAATCAATCCGTCAAGAGGAATGTTTTTCAATGTTAAATGTTGATGTTGCGATATCACAAAATTATTTTAACGTAGTGTTTCATTTCAGAAAAGATTGAATATTTTTTGCTTGGATTTTTAGTTATTGTTTTAATTGGTGTAGCAACATGTACTGTTTTTATTTAGTTTTTTCAAAAACAAAACGTGTTACGAAAAACTGACAATGCAAAAAAAGTGTATTTTAAATAGTTTTAATTCAAAACAATATTAAACATACGAAGGAACAGTAGCACACAATAAATTTTCCTATAAATATCAATTTGATTACACTCTGTGATGCCACTGCGATTAACAATTTTATTCTAAAAAAAAAAAACGATTTGTATTTATATCTTGAAAACGAATCAAGTTAGTTTTGATTAGTCAAGTTAGTAAAACCGATCTTAGACGTTTGACGGTTTAGGGTCACTCTTTGTATATCTTGATCGACAATCCATTTAGTTCCATCAATAATCATTTTGCAAACTGTTTTTAAGAACTTCAAATTGAATTTACACTGGGTCCAATTTTAATATCGATCGTAAAGCGATCCTAGAATGCGGTGTTAATCATATTTACTGGAACTGATAGGTAAGTAGGTACTTACAATTATGATTCTTTGCATACTATAAAATTGAAACAGTATCGTAATTAACACAATTTGCAGTAAATTATTGATTTAAATAATTTTTATTAAGAAATTTTTTATACACCTGCTTTGAAAAGTACCTATGTCAAATAAAAAAATGTTAAAAGCAGACCACATTGCATATCATCGATAAAATTACTACAACGCATGCATTCAGTTCATAACCCTAACCTAACTAATTGCAAAAAAAATGGTACGCCAGAGGAACTACTTATCTTGTTTTGTTTTTGAAATATTGTTTTGGATATTTTTTAAAAGTTGGTTAGGTTTGGTTTCTATAGTTTCCTCAAAGTACCAAAAAAGTTATAAACCACCATATCGTTTTGCGATAGTCTCGTGTATTGCGACGCTTATTCAGCGGTGCATATTAGCAATAAGAAATGAACAGAAACGAAACTCAGATTACTATTTATTTCAAAAAAATGAAAAAACAGGAGCCCTGTTAAAAAATTAAAACCCCGTCACTGAATACTGGCTAAAAACACCTTGGAAACAGCTCAATAACCTACTCGTATCTCGATGATAAGCAAAGCGATCGTCTTTCCAAAGTAAAAAAAAAGTCCGTTTTAATACCCAACGATATAGATGGGATCATATTCCATCATTTTCCGATGTGCTACGTCTATGTGTCTTGTATGGGATAGAATGCTCGTTGAAATTGCTGGCCGATATCGTCGAAAGGGGGATATCTTGAACATCTTCCAGACAATTGTTCTACGTTGTCGAATTTTGCTTAAACGTTATAATACCGGCATCTAATCAGGCGAGATAAGCAGATAATAATGTTATTCTGAACTGGAAGGTTTTGTATAGAACGCACTTGGATTACTGAACAAAATGGCACGAGGCGATGCGGGTCAACAAGGTAAGTTTCAACCGTGTCGTAGGATTTGTCCCAAATGGGAAATTTACATTTTCAGGAACGCAATCTTATCCGATTAAACAAGTAGCGGTGGATCCGCCGACCAGTTCAGGTGAGTTTTAGTCCTGCAGGTGTTTGTGGGCGCTAAAAATAATGTGTTATAGTCTGCGCTATGTGTTTATTATTATTAATTTACAGCAAAACAACATACAAGTTCAAGTCGGGCAAGTTCGAGCACCCAAACAAACATAACAGGTAACTCCAGATATACTTCAGTATTTCATAAAATACACTGACCAAAATTGTAAATTTTTAAAATATTGAATTAAATTGATTTATGTAGGTGTTTTTTTTTTTAATTTATTTCAGATGGATCGACCCCAGTTTATCAACCGTCGCGGTCAGACATCGGAAGTAAGGATTGATTTTTTTCTAATTGTTAGTCCTAGTTTACATGAAAATGACGCAAGAGGGCGGTAATTTACTTTTCGCTCTTTTGTTAATTACAATTATCATTAAAATGGCATTTTCGAGCCTTGGTACTATGCAATAAAACATGTTTACCCAAGTTTATTAGATTTGGTACGTATTCTACCTTGAAAGTGTAAGATAAACTAAATCGGTTGGTTAGTTTTGGTTTTTGTTTCTAGTAAGTATTGGTAGACTGCATAACCAAACGAAAACTAACCAAATCTAAGCGGAAATACTATTAGGTCAAGTCTGGTAGACGGAATACTAAACCGGTACTGGTTTTTTATGTAAAACTCATATGTTTTTGTGTTTATATTATTTTCTTTATTAATTTTTTCTTTCCCGGAGATGAACCGCCGCCCGCCTACGAACCGCCAGAACTGGAACAACGTAAGTGCAAAACTCAATTTGTTTTACTAAACGCAGGGAAAAATTGACATTTATTTTAAATTGTTTCATACTATTTATTATGTCCGGCGGTTAAATTCCACCCTGTATATTTTTCGGGTTAAGAATATTCTTCTTTTCAGCGATGTACCGCAAGTAGATATTTGATTTCAAAATCGCGGCGCAGGTGTCATCCGTTAACTTTAATATTTTTTTTTATACACACATAATTATTTTTTTTACAAAATTGCGTTTTAAAATCTTTCTTGTTTCTTTTTGTAATGATAAATAAGGAGTGAAATATTTAATTTGGATTGAACACTATATTATTATACTTGCTGCCAAATTATTTCAAAACAGATTTTTAATAGTGTTGGAGTGTCGAAGAGAAATAATTTTTTTTTCTGCACTCCGTATTCTACAATACGCTATTGTACAGCAATCACGCCTGACTTTCGCTAACATTATAACAAAATTATTCAAAATTTCCAAATTCAAAAAAATGCGGCTTCGCTAGCGGTTTTAAAGGTTAAGCCGAAAATTATTAATAACAACAGGGTTATCCCTAGACCAACAAATATTTGACTGGAAGATGTTTTTAAGCCTTTGGCAACAACTTAATGATTTTTAATTTTTGGGATCAATTATCACACATCAGAAGAATTGTGTCCATGATTTCGTAAGAGAGAAAAAATTTATATTCAAAAATGCAATAATATATTAATATATTAATCAGATCTCACCAAAAAAAAAAAATGGGCAGAACGTTAGTTATATACCAAGTATCTGGTTATAATTTGATACACCACCATAAACTACATCAAATAGTTCTAGGGATTGCTCTTAATATATTTTTTTTGAATGAAATTTTTGATGAAAGCTCCTAAATTTTCTGAAAATAGTATTATATCATCTTACATTTTTCCGTAGAAATTTTAAAAGGGTTAAATTAAAGGGACCGTCTGCCGTTATAGGCATTAAGATTAATTTTGAATGAAATTTCAAATAATACCTCTGTGTCGGTATACATGTCAAAATATACAAATAAAGGTTGAACTGAGGTGGCTTTTAGTCGATGAAAATCCAATTAACAAAATAAATATGAACTAAAAGTTCAGATTTTCACGAAATTATATGTATTTACATGTTTTATTTTGTAGACATTTTGTTAAAAAACCAAATGTTTTGGGAACATATTCGACGACGTAGAAGGAATTTGAAATACCAAATAGCCAAGAAACCAATTTCAGCTTCTTTCAAAAATTGAACTGAGGTGGCTTTTACATGATGAAAATCCATTTATCAAAATAAATAAGAACTAAAAGTTCAGATTTTTACAAAATTATATATATTCACAAGTGTTGTCACGGTGTTGTCGAAACAAGTGTCATGTAAATATCTATAATTTCTTGAAAATCTGAACTTTTAGTTCTTATTTATTTTGTCAAATAAAGGTTCTTTAATTTGTTAATTTTATTCTCTTTATTTTATATTTTATGGCGATTTTCTGTTTTAAAGTAAAAACAGTTCAAAATAGTAACACTTCCAAAGAAAGGATGAATCTAGATCACCATAACATACAGCGTATACTGTAGTCGGTAGATCGTAATATGGCAACGACACAATAAATATATTTTCAAAATTGGCCACAACCAATAAGTTATCACGTGGGCGCAATAAGACCAGTAGTTTGTTTATAGAATTAATTTATAATAATTTACTTAAGCTTGCAATATCTTCACCCCAGAGAAAACCTCTAACTGAATCCTCAATGGTTCCCTGTAATTGAAGTAGGATTTAACGTAGTCATGGACTGGTCGTACATAGAACCTTCAAATGATATAATATTGATGAAAATTGGCAACTAGTGAGCTGATCATTTCTATTTTATTCAATCCATAGGAGAAAGTATCATAGCGACGACATATTTGCTAAAAGAAAATTGTACCTTCGAATTTTTGTTCCGTTTTGACTGAAGCCCATGGTAAGTTTTAATACATACTTAACTTTTTTTCTGTCAATAAATCTTTGAATGCATAATTGAGTCACAAGTACCCATATGTATTAATTTAAATCGCGAAGTTTTCTTTGTGCAACTTTCTCAAAAAACTAACATCAGAAGACAAGAGATCCATAATTTACATTGGTGAAACATGATTCGATACACACGACACCGTATTCAAAGGATGGGTTGATTCCACTCAAAACTGTCAATAAAGGAGAATGCATCAGCATAATATACGCTGGGTCAGAAGACGGATTTGTCCGAACTGCTTGCTGTTCAAGTGCCGAATTTTTTCAAAATTCATTTCAAAACAATCTATAATATCTATAAAAATCAACTGCTGTCTCTTTAAAACTCGAGAACGGGGCAGAACGGGTTTATCTTATCTTGGTTTTGAAAGGTTCGTGGAGGTCTAGGGAAGGTTTAAAACGTGAGAAAAATTATAATAATTGCCGGGGAAACCCTAAAAACAGCGCTTTTCTTTTTCCTATATAAACTTTTTTTCCTAAATAAAATGTAGTGTCAATTGGAACTTTATTGCTATTCATTAAAGTTCTTATTAAATTATAATCACTCACTGTTGTCTAAGAAATGTAAGTGTATTCCTAACTTCAAAGAGTCAATTTTCAATTTATTACCGCTGCAAGTTAAATCCAATCATATCTATCAAAATAGTCTTTGCGCGCGCGTTCCGAACACTCAACAAAAGTCGAATGTCGCGAATGCGTCCAAATTGTATGGTCACAAAAAGTAATAGATTATTAGTAGTACTGATTTTCAATTTGATTCGCTTCTCTAAATTTAATTTTAGCTAACTTCAGTTGTTAATCTATCAGATTATTGTGTTTTGTGGATTAATAAATATTAATTTTTGTCACAAATTAAATATCTGAACGCAACCATAATATTTGACATTAGCTTTGACAACCAACTAATATGTCAATCCATCCTGTCGCACTTCAGAACACGTAAAAAAGTATTACGATATTATGTTGCGATATCTCTGAGTGCGCGGTGGTCCTTTGTGATAGTGACATTCCAAATAATGTGCTCTTTTTTACATTTTGTGATAGTGACACTTTACTGCTGAGTGAGCGAAAAATTTTCTCACCTTGATTAATTACAATTCACGATGCCGAGGAGAAGATGGCATGACTTAGGTTGTCGCAATCAATCAAATGTGCGAAGAGCTACCTCACGTGCTAACCGCACTGATGGCCCGAGAGAGACAGATCAAGTAAATAGTCGTATTGCTATGTCAGAATTGCGTCATTTAGTGAGCGACAATGAAGTAGATAGGCTTAGAATGCAACAAGTTTGTGCACATCAAACACAACAACAGCAACCACGATATAATTAAATTGAGCGAATTCGCAGACGCAGTGCTCCTGTAATTCTTGAACGATCTGTATTTCATTAAAATCCGGCAATTGATGAATATACGGGATCGTGTCGTGGTGGAGTCAAAGTAAGATTGCCACAATTGGTCCCACCACCAGATCCTTTACGATCTTTAGTTTCTGGGATTGGAAATGTTCCTAAGAAATTCTTGGCTAACATTTAGAAATATAACATTTGTTTCCAGATTACGTTATTTGCCAATACACATATTATACAGGACAATTTCATGCCCACTTTCAACGTGTTATAATAATAATATAATAATAAAACTTCGTGCTTCATTAAAAAATGCTTTTTTAGTGAATATGGATTCGTTTTGTTTATTTTAAGATTATTTAATACAAAAGTTTAGGTCTTTTATCTATCGATTGAGGCAGTACGAAGTCTGCCGGGTCAGCTAGTGTTTTAAAAAAATATTCCGATTAACAGTGTTATGGTCAAGCTACCACAGCCGTCTGCTATGCACAGCACCGAACTCATCAAGTTCAAAAACTGAAATCCAGCAATATTTTTTAGAAAATAGTATATTTTGACTTCATTTACAAAAGCGCAAGTCCTACGTTCATATGCAACGGTATGTGTCTGATAATTTGGCTGGGTATATAGCGTTCGTGGAACCAAGTAAAATCAAAAGTCCCAGTATTATAAATTTGATAAAAAATTTAATTAAATGTAATTAAAATTAAATTTCTCGCTCTTACGATCCACACTCGTATAAAAGAAAGAGATTATCGCCCAATTAAAAATCGGTTTAAAATACTTAGTTTGGAAGATAAACGGACTGTGGCAGACTTGTGTATGTTTTACAAAATAACTCACTCACAAATTAATTCTCCACATCTTTTGTCGAAACTTAACTTTAGAATTCCCGCTCGAGATTTAAGATACGCTAATCTCTTTGAAATCCCATATAGTAGAACTATGGCAGACTTGTGTATGCTTTACAAAATAACTCACTCACAAATTGATTCTCCCCATCTTTTGTCGAATCTTAACTTTAGAATTCCCGCTCGAGATTTAAGATACGCTAATCTCTTTGAAATCCCATATAGTAGAACTATGGCAGACTTGTGTATGTTTTACAAAATAACTCACTCACAAATTAATTCTTCACATCTTTTGTCGAAACTTAACTTTAGAATTCCCGTTCGAGATTTAAGATGCCCTAATCTCTTTGAAATCCCATATAGTAGAACTGTGGCAGACTTGTGTATGTTTTACAAAATAACTCACTCACAAATTAATTCTCCACATCTTTTGTCGAAACTTAACTTTAGAATTCCCGCTCGAGATTTAAGATACGCTAATCCCTTTGAAATCCCATATAGTAGAACTGTGGCAGACTTGTGTATGTTTTACAAAATAACTCACTCACAAATTAATTCTCCACATCTTTTGTCGAAACTTAACTTTAGAATTCCCGCTCGAGATTTAAGATACGCTAATCTCTTTGAAATCCCATATAGTAGGACTGTGGCAGACTTGTGTATGTTTTACAAAATAACTCACTCACAAATTAATTCTCCACATCTTTTGTCGAAACTTTAGAATTCCCGCTCGAGATTTAAGATACGCTAATCTCTTTGAAATCCCATCTAATAGAACCAACATAGGGCAGCATTCCCCTTTGCTAAGAATGCAAAGTTCGTATAATACACTTAACTCGAATTTTAACCTCGACATCTCTTCAATGTCTCAGATGCAGTTTAAACGATATATCAAATACTCCATTATTAGGACTTATAGTGTAACTTACCAGTGTATGAGTGTTAAATATCTTCCTCTTTTTGTATAATGTTCTAGATACGACTTATGTTTGTTTTGTATAAATCCACCGATTTGAACTAACATTGTGGTTGCTATTTTTTGGTACTAAGTACTGTAAGCGACCTAAACTTGCAATAAATAAATAAATAAACATACTAAGTGACCGCTCGAAAAATTCCATACGGCACAATATAAAAATCGAGGACTCTTACATTTCTATACAAAACAACATAAATAATAATATAATGATTAGAATTAGATTTAGACATTTAGAATAAAAATGTATTTATGTATGTACGTATGTATAGCTATGAATTTATTGTATATATTTAATGTCATGTGTAACTTAATAAGATTATACACACCAAAATAAACAAAAAAATATATATTATTAAACCCTTTGAGAGTCCATCCCTAATGTTCTGTCCTTTAATACTTACCGGACAATAGTTTTATTGCCGTCGGCAGGTAACTTCCATAATTGCGGGCAAAAATCAGCACGATGAAGTTTGAGACAGACTATACCAAGGAATTAGTGGCAGTGTGACTTTAAGTATAAAAATGTAGTGGTTTTAAAGGTTTGTTTACGATAACAAACCTAAAATTATTAATAAGAATAGAGTTATCTGTAGGCCAACAAATGCTTGACGTCTTGACCACAATTTAGCTTTTTACAGTATTAGAGAGTGACAGTGCATGTCAAAATTTGCGAAACAATGAACATTTGTCGTTATTATAAAATACAAATATTAAAATAAATACTAAAATGTAAATGTTAATTTAGCCTTTTTAAAGTTGCAGGGCGAGTCCCACCATACGAGCCGCCACAATTCCAACAACGTGAGCAAAAGGTAAAATACACGTTTTTAAAATACATATTCGGTGCGTTTCAGAGACTTCGTTGGCCGAAATGACATCAACCGGATATCTGACGGAAGGCGAGTACTTTACGCGTTACCATTTTTGCGAGTTCTATCAGATTTTTGCTTTTAGTTACTGTCACCACCCCCACAGAGCGGGAACAGTCGATAGAGTTAACGAGTAAGTATACACCCAGGTGGACCAGGAGGACAAAAATCGCATTTAATTAAAATTTATGTTGCTTATTGATCAGCAGTTTTTTATATTTTTAAAATTTGATAAATAATTTTTCAGCAATATCGTCTGCAACGGGAGATGTTCCATCCTCGCAGCGTAAGTTCTTATTATATTTACGCAAGGAATGGCGGTGTTTTAAGCTTAAAGAATTATTTAAGTATTTTTCGCAATAACGGCTGCTTTATATAGCACAAACCATTATTTCTGACACGGTGAGAAGGTGCTGATGCAGATTTTGTACAAAATCTGAATTATTTATAATCGAGCTTTATTTTAAGCTTTATATACAACTATTTTCGTCTTCGTGGTAATCCGGTCAAATTTGAGAACCATATCAAATAGTAAAAATTCTGACAGAGGTGGATTTTGTGTAGATCAGTACAAATAAAAAAGATAAACAAGGTCAACAGTTCAAATTTTCTTTTTATTGAGTTTTTCTCGAACAGGGTTTTATCAAAAAATATCGTAGAGATAAAAATTATGTATCTAGGGGCACCATTCCAAAGATATCGCGATTCTATATATACCCCACGTATATCGCTATTTCTATATTTCTATTTTGACCGAACTATAGTGTTAACGAGTTTAATTTAAACGGTGTTCAATAAACCAACCGAAATTGGACTTTATTACTGATCGTTTCGAAGACACCGAAACATGATCGTTGCCAATCTTAAAAGTAATAGAAACCTGTTTCATTTGTCTACGGTTTTTTAGCAGCTAGACCTCAACCAGATTTAGTAGCGTATCAGCAGCTGGCCGTACTACCGGGTGAGTTAAAAAAGCAATACTATTGCCTACCTACTTCACATGATGTTGTTGGCCTTTTTTCCTAGGTAAAAGAGCTGAGTCAAAACTTTCAAAAAGTGGTCTTTAACTATACAAAAACAATACGGAATATGCACAGGACAAAATGGGTCACTCTAAACTCCACCTCGAACATTGCCTATCTCTCTCTCGCTCTCTGATGCTACTCTTCATAGTAGAAATAGTTACAGGGTATCGGTCTTATATACCTAGCGAGGTGTTTAATTGTCGTTAATGGGTCAAGTGGAGTCAAAAAATAATCATATGATGTTGTCTTGCTAAAAAAAAATTGAAGAGTGTAACAAATAATTACTTCTATTAATTTCGGTGAAAGCGAATGATAACTGTTGACCTAAAGATATACCAATAATACCAATGTGTTAGACATAGAGTGGCCTTTCTTGTCTCGTTCATGTTCAATGGAAAGAACGCCAAGTGCAATCAGAACCGCAAAAACTTACCGACATTTTCAAATTTGATGTTTTTCCCAGCACCCGAACCTCAACCCGACCCTGTGACTTACCACCAAATACCAGTTCGACCAGGTACAGTATAAACAGAGAAATAATACTTTTGCCAAACCCTAACGACTTATACTTTCTTTTTAACGTTTAGGTAATAGTATTGGCCCTTGCCCAGTATGTCAGGGTACGAATTGGGTGGCGTTTTATCCTCTGTCGGCGTGGCTGTTCGCCATTTTCCTGTTCCCGCTCGGTATCCTGTTTTGCCTGTTCATGCAACGTAGGGAATGTTTAAAATGCGGCTTGCAAATGCCGGACCACACTTGTCTTTAACGAGTCGTTTATTAATGTTATAGTTTAGAACATATTCTGTTGTGATTATTTACATGGTTAAGAGGAAGATTAACATTCGTGTTAAACCTAAAGAAACTGCCAGTGTGACGCACCGGGCCAGATTTAAATTTTGCTCTCAGTTTGATATAGAAGGTTGCTGTTTTTGTACGTAAATAAAGCCCGATGTCACTAGAGTTTTTTTTGTTAGATGTTTTAAGGCATAGACTAAATAGGCATAGAGTAACAATGAAAATGAAAGTTCCCTATAGGAAGAAGAAGAAAAAAAAGTACACTGAGGTTGGACAGGACATTCGGTTGTTGCCAGAGATTAATATACATTCATTTCAAATTTCAAAATTATTCAAATTTGGCAACGCAGTAGGAGGTTATGTTTATTTAGTCTATGCTTTAAGTTAGGTAATGTACACGTGAATCCGTCAGTAACGGCTCTTTTGATCCTTGTCCGAATACTTCCCCGACAATTTACCAATCGAGTAGCCGTCGCTGTAATGGTCGTCGCCGTATTTTTCTTCGGTTTTGTAATGAATTTCCGGGGAAGCCCCGATCGTTTTCGACCAATGATGCGTCCAATACAATTCGTCGGGGTTGACTTCACTTGGAGACTTGACGTCCCGACATATCACGACGCAGTAGATTAAGCTTCCGATGAGGGTTAAGAAGCCGAATATCAAGAAAATTATTCCCAGCACCCTACGAAACGAAATATAAAAGTAAATAAATGCGAATGGTTTGTGTTTCGTTTTCGATGGTTTGATACTAACCAAAATTAAAACGGTTTAAACATACTTTAAAATGAACAGTTAATGAAAATAAACACATACAAAAGTCACAGGTGTAAAGGTAATAGAAAATAGAGGTAAATATGTTTTTAAAAAATTATTGGGTAGTAAATGAAACATAAAAATATTTCTTTTTTGTGCCATATTACAAATTGACAGGCAAGGATTTTGTCACCGAAAAGTGTTTTTTTTCGACTAAGACTCTATAAAATAAAAAAATGCCTATTTTACAATTTGATAAATATTTGTTGCCGTTGTTGATATTGAAATTGTGAAGTTCAGTGAATAGTATTGCCAAATAGATGTACGTCATTGACATTTTTGCAATTAAGGTTTTGCAATAAGGTACTAAAAGTACAGCTTTTTTAATCTCGAGTTGATTTGCGTATGTTGCCTCGTTTTCGACCGAAAAAGGTAGTTTTATGAATATTTACTTTATGGACCGTTTGATCACAATCAATTTTGTTCTAAAAAATTAACACTAAAGAAAATGATAAAAATAACCACCATTTTTTCAATTAATGACGATTATCCAGCCTAGCGTTGGCGCATGTTTTTTGAAACACCCTGTCTACAGGTGTGTGTTCGGAATTTCTCCATTGTGTTTGTGTATTTTATGAGTTGGTAATATGTCTTTTTACACTTTAGTGTATATCTTATTGTATAGTTAAAGATTTAAAACGTTTAAAACACAAAATTATTACCAAATATTTTTATATATTTTGTAAGTGAAGTATTATAGCACTAAAGCAATAAAATAAATCATAATCATAACAACCTAAAATGAAAAAGTTTCTCACATTAAATAAAAACCAGAAGTTATACACCGAGCGGTAAAAAAGTTGTGTTCATTAATGTGGGCAAGCATTTTGAATTAATTTCAAAGATACCGTTTAAGTTATGTGACACAAAAACTGAAACACCCTGTATAACAAAATTCTTCATTTTGAAGTTGGAAACGATTCCCCGAACAATGAAAAAATGAACCCAAAAATGTAATAATAAGTATGGTAGGCGCTCAGACGGAATCTGACTCAGTTATCGTAAACCTTCATTTGGCTTCAAAAGCAAGTAATGAAATAACGCGGAAGTAAACTGGCATTGAATGTTGCGAATACGTGCGGAATAAGGTCCGAATCGGCGGGCTTTAGGCATCCAGAGGTCATCACGTAGACAATAATTATCCACACTTTTTCTATCGACAACCGAGCGCCCGTGCAACGAAAGTTTTAGTATTATTATATGGCGCAACTTTCTCCGTTTTTTTTACACCATTCCCGTCGTCTCTTTTAAACGAACAATAGCAATTAGTGGAATTTCTATCTCGAATTGAACGCCCCGCGCAGAATTCAAAACACTGAATAACCGTAATTTTGTAGATCAGTATTACAAAAATATAAAATTAACTATTATCATTTAAATTTACATAAATTATGAAGAAGCGTTCTTAAAAATCCGTGCGAGGATAAAATATTGCGCCGGAGTTTAGATGCGGATAATTATTTTTTTTTGTTGAACAGAAAGAAGTATATGCTCAATTAAAACTCCCCAATTAAACATTAATCAACAAATTACAAATCAAACATTTTAAGGAATTTAAAGGGCAACTGCAAAATTGAACATTAAAAGAATACGTTTTCAATTAAAATAATAAAACAACTACAGATCTAATGGATGATGAGATGTTAATAACAAGTGCAAAACTAACTTAAACTATCCACAATTGGTTGGTTTAGCCGATATGAATCTTATCACTAAATTTCAAAATCACAAAGAATAAAGATCTGTTCTTGTTGTCTATTTATTGCACAATTATCTTCTTGCCTTTTACATCGCTTATTTTGGCAATGTTTTACTTCCTCCCTTATTTGCGCCTGTGATAGAAAATCACTTTTTCCGTAACTAAGAAAAAAAGTTCAACACTACCTACGGCAGTGGTCTCATTAATAAAGTTTATGATGTTGCCAGTAGGTACTAACCATATAGCTATAAGATAATATAGTGACCCTACTACCCCCACCCCCCAACTGACTGAGTTGCTACATTGCAGTAATTTTTCTGAAGAATTGAATAATTTTTATAAGAACGCAACATCAATCTCTGAAATCGGAACATAATTGCCAACGCCGAGCTAAGTAATTAACATTGTGGCAGAACAGTCTGTGCCCGGTACCATTATTGCTTTCATTTTTGGTGTCAATATCTCTGTACCCTACTCACAAACTTGTATAATTTATGATTTCAATACTAAAAGCAGATAAAGGAAATGCTACGATAGTCATGGACACAAATGAATATCAGGAATAGATTCGACATAATTTCAGATATTTTAAAGGCCGAGAATCTGAAGAAAACCTTCTCATTTCAATTGAAAAATCCTCCTTTGAGAAAAAACCTCTCGACACCTTTCATCTAAAACCAAAATTATGGAAACGCTGGTAGATTTTCTTAGACATCTAAACTCTACACACTCTAACATACTTTTTACCATTGAGTTGGAAACTAATAATAGCCTTCCATTCCTTAGATATTCTTATCAATAGAAAATCAGACCTAACATTGGCATTGTGTTTACAGGAAATATACGCACACAGACCGATACCTTAATGCATGGTCACATCACCATCCGGTCCAAGAATCATTGGTTATCAACACTCTTGTTTACAGAGCCGCAAAACTATCTCAGCCTGAGTCACTGAACCCAGAATTAAAACACCTTACTTCTGCTCTTCTCTCTAATAATTTCCATATTAAAGATAAAAAGCGTTCCATCAAAAAATACATTTCACCACAACTTTCCAATAATAATGAGGCCGAAAGCAATCCTACACTTGCCACTTCCTTACTTACATTCAAAACATCACTGACCACATATCAGAAGTTCTAAAGAAGTATAACGTCAAAACCAGATTTACCACTTGAGACCGGACGAAAAATATCAACTAGACTCAAACAACACGAAAGAGCCTTACGACTAAGGCAAATAAACTCATCAGCTGCTGCCGAACACACTCATGAAATCGGACATAAAATTTTATTCGATAAATAATCAGTTCTTCTACCAACGAAAAATCTGAGAGTATATAGAAATCTATAAACAACCTAACAATCTTAACCGCGACTTAGGTCTGTCACCAATATGGGAATCAGTCATCCGAGATGATTGGCAAAACGTCACCAAGTTCGACTCAGCAAAAACCGACGCAGAAGGAATCCAGAAATTTTGTAAAATAGGATTTTGACATATTTCGAAAAGATACTGCCGTAAAAATGTCGCATCCAAACATCGACGATCTGTCAGTGGCTATTTTGTTTGTTAAAAGCTGCTTATGGGTCCTATGTCAGAATTTGTCGTTGGAACTGCCATAGTACATAGTTGCTTCATGAGTTCCTGTACTGTCAGCATAGGTGGGTTATAAAAATAACTATATAATGATTTTCTTTAATATGGATATAATGTCGCTGCGTTATAATATCGTTTTTTTTACTCTTTTTTTTGTTTGTTCAAAAACGCTACGCATACACCGACATTTGATTTGGTAGCAACCAAACAAGCAATTTCTATTATCCGAATTTGAATTGATGAACAGAAAAATTGACAAATGTTTATACAGGTTTCCTTTAAAATTTTTCAAAATGCAAAATATTCTGCTGCTAGAGGTTCTAGATTTAAATCATGCTTTAAATATGTGGAGATATAATTCAGGAATATATTAACCCTAATGGACTATACCTATTTGTTTTTTAAATTAAAAGGTCTGTCCGGAACTTCATTGGGGTAAAAATATCTTAAAAAATAATGGTTTCTACTTCTTAAAACTATATTAATTATATTTTTAGTAATATAGGCGAGGGTGAAATTTCAAAAGAAGTGCCTGGAAATGCGGAATAATTCATCAAAAACCTTATCTTACCACACGAATAGCGGCTCAAAAAACTGAATCACGATCACAAAACCCAAAGTGACCAGAATGATTCCCAGGTTGAGCAGCAACATCAAACAGCACATTCCCTTGATGTTGGGGCAGAAGGGGTTCGGGGCGGCCATCGCTTCGACAGTCACGCCCCCCTTACGCGAAGTCCTTCCGGTTTTTACTGTGCTGCTTCTACTGGCCACTGATGGAGCCGCCCCTGACCTGTACGAATATCTGCTCGGCGCCCTCGGCCGCGAACTCCGACTGGAATAGTGAAGTTTGTTGCTTTTTGTGGGCAAATTCGATAGATAAGCGATTTTTACATAAAAAAAATAGCTCTTCTTCGCATGGACAATAAGTTTTTGATTCAATCTTGGTTTTTTAAAGTTTTAAAATTTTTGTTATTTGCCAAATTAATTTGCATCTTTTAGTTTAAGACCATAATATATAAATAATATAACATATAATAGCTACTTAATTTAGTGGTCGGAAACGAGTTTGATCTTAACTACAAGAACGTAGGTGGAGCAAAATTTTAAAACAACGGTGCAATTACATCAACTAAATATAAACAATATTGTCAGTAAAAGGAACACAAAAATAAACTTGAAACATTTAACAAAATGAACGAAAAAGAAATAGGTAAAGTAAAATAAAATAAAACATTTGAAAAACTTTGAAAAGTGTACACAAGTTATAAATACCAGTTCCATGTTCTAAGATTTTACTGTTTTTGGCAATATTTATAACCTTATTGTGTTTTTAGACAATGCGTATTTTATTTTATTTTTTGTTACCTTTGAAAGCAGTCATATTTTGGATTTGGGTCAAATTTATAATTCCCTTATAATTTGCAAGTAACAAAACAAAAATGCAAAAAAAAAATACAAACAGTTAAAAATATGTACTTATACAATTTTATAATAAAATTATAAGTAGATAGCTTAGATAAGTTTTAAACTCCTTTTACATGCATTTTGTACTAAAACCTACTCATTGTTATTACTAAAATAATTAGAATTAGGTTTATCTATCTGAATGCCAAAGTTCAACTTTGTTGTAATTCGTCGAGAGTTACCACATTGAATTATTTTCGTCTCCTTTTACTTAGAAATTTCTTGGGACTGGGATATATTCCGTGGTATGACCAGTATAAAACGTACGGTGCTCGTACAAGTGTTGCCCGATTACGCAAAGAAACGCCTAAAAACTGCGTAACGTAATATGTAACACTTTCTATTCACCTTGCGAGGAAACAACAAAAACACGTTATACCAATCCATCGACTCGAAATGCCTCTAAATAACGCGTGCAGACGTGAGAACTGGATTTCTTTTAAAATCGAAACCGCCATTGTTAATAAATAGTTTTGCAACGGCGCGTAATTAAATTTAATTCCGTTTCTTCAATCGGACCGACAACAATAATTGTTATCGATACAATTGCGGATTAAAAAAAAAATTGGCATACCTAACTTCGGACGGAGCTTTGTAGGCACCGCTAGTGACGTAGATATCCGAACCGTTATCGTCATATCGACTGCTCCGGCTAAGGGCTGACGGAGCTCTCGGGGATGATTTGTAACCGTTTTGACGGGGGCTACTCCCAGTAGCGTACGGTGTTTTACCATTTCGTTCGTTTACTATCGTATATGGCTGCGAACAAATTGGTTTAAAAGGAAATAAAAAAAAACAACTGTATAACACAGACTACACAAATATGTTATAGACCGCGATGACACACAGAATAAAAGAACAATGTTGCTCTCACTCTCTAATCTAACATTTCCGTTGTTGTAGCATTGTGTGTGATCTAGATTGCACAATATTTTATATAGCTTTTTCAAGACTATAAATACTTAGAATTCATGTTAAAAATAACTGCCATGGTTTGCTAGGGCTTTCGTACCGTGTTACAAATATGGAAAACAATTTTTTGTCTTTCAGACTTATCTAATGATACCTTGTTTTACAATTTTATTTCATTATTGGACTGGCATCGCTATAGAGACGCCATTAGAGTATTCGCGCTTATCAATATATCGCCATACATTTCCCAATACTTATTTCGGTTTAAAAAAAGACGCTATAATTCTGGCTACAAAGATTTGTATGATATTGTAAAACAAATTTAAATAACCTTGACAATCTAATCTAATATGTGCGCGTTATCGGTCGTATTGTGATAATACTATCGTTATTGTGTGTTTGCTTTTATATGGGGATGAGTACTCTGATTTTATGGCGTTTAAAACTTAATACATCTCATTTAGAGCTTGAAATCCAATCGGGTGTCCTATTGAGGGCTCAACAATAAAGATTTTTTAATTTCACACCTTTTAAGCAGACACTTCGAGACTAATCGGTTACGCGATCAGACCTACGTCCGAGATATCGTATTTTCTCACAAAATACATCGATTACTTTTTTTTACCGATAGGTTATTTAAATAGTGGAGAAAAAAAATTATAGCAAACGGAAAACTAAATGCTGGTATTTAAGGGGAGATTAATATCCTAAAAGTAGGTAAGTAGGCGAGTGAACTTTGGCGTTAGGCATTTCCAAGATGATTCTATGCGATTTGGAATAGAAAAAGACGCGCATGAGAACTAACCATGGGAAATCGCCGAAACGAAAATTTCCTTAATTTAGCTTTTAACCAGCACAAAACGGTAGTATGTGCATGAAAAATATATTTAGAGTGATATTATCAAACCTTAAAGTTAGCTATACAAGGTACTTCCAAATCGTTCCGCTAATTTCTTGGGTAAATAGAATATTAAAAAATTACCTTTTGGTTAATAAATATATGTAGAAAAGGAAATAAAATATATTTGCATTATTTCTGAAACATTTTCAGATACCTAAAAGAAATTTTCCATAAAAATGGTATTAGTTTGGGAGCATTTGAGGTTGCTGCAAATAATACCGAACGAATTAATAAACTATTTTAAGAATGCGCAAGAACGAACTACCTCAGTCAAAAATGATTGTTTCAGAAAAAACTATGACGTAAAAATAATTTTATTTTGAACATAAACTTTGATAGCAGTAACTTCAATGAGCCAATCTAAGGTATTTTGGTTCAAATAAAATAAAACATTTTTTTGGGTGCCCTTTTAGAGAGTATCTTCAGAGGGAATAACTGACGTTATTTTTATATATTCTGGTTTCCACGTTTGTTCAGAAGTGACAATAAGATTCGTAATTTTAGATCCCTCCTTCAACCAATAGGAACTTGCGGTCAACAGTTCGTCGATTGTTTTAACAGTTACATTTTCAAAAACCGTTCTCGTCTAAGCAAATGTAAATGAGAATGCCAAAGCAAATGTTGTTAATTTTGACCCATTACCCATAAATACAAATTGGAAAGGTTCTGTCAACATTTAAATTGTTAATAGGCGAATGCCTACAAGCACTATGATGGTACAAATTAGATTTTCTTAGTCACAAACAAGTAATATTATATATATCCACTTCCGTGATTCATTTGTTTATTTATTTGCCTATTGTAGTGCAGTAAATTAGCTGCAAAATTTTCGTGATTAAACTATTATTATTATCCCGAATATAAATTGACATCATCGGATATTTTTATTCTGAGAATCAGACCACGGGATTGAAATATTTAGGTGCAAATTTGTCTAATAAAGACCGCTGAGAAAAACAATGTATATACTCATATAAAGTAATTATGTCTTAATTAGCCCCTCTTGTTTTAGAATTATACTCTAATAAAAGTAGTAAAACGATAATGTAGGTTTTGTCCGATTAATGATTTTACCTTTTCAATAACCTACTGGATGGAAATAATAACATACTTTGTATAAATTACCTATGCTATTTAAGATCAACCGTAACAAGGTAGTAATTTCTTAACATCTCATCTCATTCCCAATATATATAAATATTGCTTAATTGATTTTATTACACCTGTCAATGTTGAATTACACAACAATAATGAATGAATTTATTCTTTCGTTTATTATTTTTATTATTTTACTTATACCGGGTGACACAATAAAATGGGAACATTATAATTTTTTAACGGCTTGAGATAACGATCTAAAATTTGGAATTGTTAATATAGGCTAAATGTCCACTTTTTTTGACAATATGTAGTCAATGGTTGAACTTTCGGGCTGAGCGGAAATGACAGTAAGTAGTATATTTTTTGCAGGAAACCATTGTACGTAGGATAGGATGGATTTTCTCTTTTTTTTTGGTTTTTTATTTTTTTTTTAAATACTATTTACCGGTTCTCCAGATCATGTGAAAAATTGTAAATGAAACTTTTCTTTATTTGTCTAAAGGCAAATAGCATTTAATGTAATGAACTATTAATTTTTTAGGATAACCTAGTTTGTTCCAATAGTGGGAACAAAAATATTTAAAATCGGTATTTTTAATCGTTGAATCTCAGAAAAACTCTCCCTTGAATTTGATTTTTTTTAAATACTTATCTATTTTTTCTTTCCACTGCATGACTTTGTCGAGAGTTTCTTCTGCATTTTTAATCTTACCGACTTGACAATTAATAATGAATAGAACCAAAGCCAGCTAAGTAATATTTTGTTTTTATAAAAATATATTTACTTATCTGGTTTTTTTATTCCTGTGAGCTTATTTTTTAACGGATTTTGAAAATTTTGGTGTGAAAATGTTGCAAAATAAAGTACCGATTTTAAAAAGTTTTTGTTTCCACCAGGGTGCTGTTTGAAAAAACTAGGTTGTCCTAAAATATGAATCGAAAAGATTCATTTACAATTTTTACCATAATCAGGTGACCCGGTAAATAGTATTTATGATGGTCACAGCCTCCTACACACAATTTTCAAAAATTAAATAAATGATCTCCTGAATCCGAAAATGCAAAAAAAAAATAGATTGTGCCATTTAAAAGTCGAAAGTTCCTGTCGTTTCCGCTCAAACCTGAAGTACACATTGTCAAAAAATTGAACATTCAGCCTATATTAACCATTCTAAATTACAATTCGCTGTCTCGAGCCGTTTGAAAGTTATAGAGTGTTTTCACTTTCTTGTGTCACCCGGTTTATTAAAAACGGAAGAAATAAATATACATATTTTGATTTTTAATAAATTTTATGCCTTTGCTAAATAGGGATACTCAATATTACAAAAATTATATAAGAGGTAATCAGTGGAAAGGTTGGGGAACACTGAGCTAGACTTTACCTATTGGGAAGACACTTCTGAATAAATGCGGTGTAAATGTGCGGATCAGGATCCGCGGAAGCACTTACCACGGAGGTATATTCCGATAGGGTTCTTTCCGACAACGCTCTGTGGCTGTCCTCTCCGTCGGAGTAAGCCGAGCTCCTGGTCACGTGGACCGGTGTCGGGGACTCCGCGTGTCTCAACGGCGAGGCGACGTAGTGATTTTTTCCTACCCGCCTTGCCATCATCAAAGAATAACGCTTATACTACGTTCGCGCTGGTTTCATCTGCAACCAAATGTAAATTAGTCAGTCTCGACTGTTTCAGTAATTTTTTTCATATAAGCGGAAAGATGCGCCTGTTTCGTACGAGGAGGCAACAGATGACGTTTTACAGTTCCAGGAATGAGGCGGTTGTACAATTTTAAAATGCCGTTTTAATGGCGACATGCGCGCGTGTTAGTTGCCATAGCGGAAATTGCAATCAGCGTGTCATTTTTTTTAATGTACGGCTGCCAAAGTAAAATTATGAGAGTAAATGAGCCAACGACGCGTAACTTCAGCTTACCGCTGTCGAACTTGTAGCAGGAAACGCTCGCAAATTACAAAGCGTGCTTTCATGGCGAAGGAAAGAAAAGAGGAACAAGAAACTAAACAGTTTTCTATATTACCGGCTCTCGTTACCTTTTTCTGACTTCGAGTATATTTATAGTCGATTTATAAGAAATCCTAAGTTTTGTAATAGTTTCTATGATTTTATAAAAAAAATACTTTAAGTTATATAATTTCATCTGAAACGTTTTCTTTATTTCATCTACAACCTGCAGCTCCTAAAGTGGCAATAACTAGGGAACAGCTAACCTAAGGGACATTTAAGTTTCAGTTGGTTGTACCGATTGACGGTGACATTAGCATTCGAATGACATTTTTAAAAATTAAACTGGCAGCTAAGAAAGTTAAAACGAAAAACAGAGTATTGCACTTGTTGTTTGACACCTTGGAATTAAAAGATACATTTAATCATATATTAAATAAAAATTTGCAACTCAAGTTTTGTGACCTACCTTATTAAAGAGTCGTGTGTTTTGCTGGTTAGAGTTGTTAATTATATCAGCCATAGAAACATAATAAGATTACTGCGACGTAGAAACAAAACTATTATTTTTTATATTTTGTGGAACATTTATCTTCAACACAAAATCATAAGCTAGTAAAATAGAAAAACAGAAATCCGGAGAATGCTGTCGTGGGGTTTAATACCAAAATAAGAAACAGTTTACATTAGAAAAGATTCTAGCAAAAAGCTAAGAAGATTGCAACTCAATTGCAATATAATAAATCTTGAACCACTTGAACTATTCGCGGATCTCAAAAAATTCAAGGGTATGGTTTGTTCATAGATATAAGAAAGTGACCAATTGATTTTGAATGGGATTATCCAAGGGTGGTCATTAACATACAATGCAACAAGATTATTACCTAAAGTTTCCGAATTTAAATTCAGGTAAAATTGTGGTCCGCAATAGAAAATAATTTTATACCTACTTGTGTTTAATATTCTTTGGTTTGGAATACTACTTAATTTAAGTTTATTAGTAATCATTCTTATTTCGTGTGTAATACAGCGTGTGTTGAATCGTGTGCGAATTATGCAAAATATGTGGAAGTTTAGTGTATCTCAGCCCAAATCTAGAAAACACTATTCTATTGAGCATCTTTAGAAGAAACGGCCACATTGACAAAAATTCCAACATCAACTGTATGGAAAATTGTGAATAATCCCATTTCAGCGAGGAAAAAAGGAAGGAAAGTGATCAAGATAAAATACGGCGTAAAATTTACCAGTTATACGAGGAACAAAGCGTCCCTACATTAGATATCTTAATTAGGAGGCTTGAAAAAGATGAAACCGGTGTTAAATGTGGCAGAACTACCTTATGGAAGTGTATTCAATACATGGGTTTTAGATTTGAAAAAATTGACAAAAGGCAAGTTTTAATGGAATCTTTTTGAATTCGGAAATGAAGACTGGAATATCTAGAAAAAATTAGGATTTACAGAAAACAGCGAAGGCCAATTATTTACTTGAATGAAACCTGGTTCGACACTTATGATACCCCGGAAAAGGGTTGGGTTGGCTCAACTGATAAGTGTAAAACAAACGCGCCATCAAAAAGAGGTAAAAGAATAACTATTTTGCATGCTGGCTTTAAAGATGGTTGGATTTCAAATGGACTTTCTCTGTCTGCGAAAAATATTAAAGATTCTTCTCTGGATTATCATGAAGACACCACCGCTGATTTATTTGAATGTTGGATTAAAAACAAACTAGTTCCAAACATTATTACTAATAGCGTCATTGTAATGGACAATGCAAGTTATCATAGTAGACAGTTGACTAAAACCCCTTCCTCATGTGACACAAAACAACAATCCAAAACTACATGTATAATAACGACATTTATTTTCACGAAGATTATACCAAAAAGCAATTAATTGAGGTTCGACAAAGCTTGAACCTACAAAAGGAATACGTCTGTGATAATTATGCAAAAAATCTAGGGCATACAGTTTAAAGGCTGTACCACTGTATATTTAATCCCATTGAACATATTTGGCACCAACTGAACTCTGAAAATTCGTCGTAACAATGTTTTTCCCCGTGTTAACTCCAATGTCCTCAAACTTATAGAAACCGAAGTTTTTAACATCCCTCCACAAAGTTGGGCAAATTCCGTTAAACATATAGAAAAACTAGAACAATCGTATAACCACATTGGATATAATATAGAACAAATAATAATTAGAACAGGCGATGATAGCGATAGTGATACTGATATATTATGTGAATAATTTTAAGTAATTTAAGTATGTAATAAAAATAATTTGTAATTTTATTTTAGATTTAAACATAAATACATACATAAATAAATAAATATTGTTTAGTATCTTTCCTAACAAAACCCCAAATAATTAAATTCTAAGGAAAGTACGGACCTGTTCGGCCATATTTCATTCTTACAGCTTGCCCGGGTCTTTCCTTACTTCGTATCAGTTAGTCACTTTCTTATATCTAAGAACAGACTTTACCGTCAAGCAAAAACTATTTTCTTACACATTCGGATTTTTTCAGCTGCGATCTAGGTAGTTCGAGTGAGGCACCTACCTAGAGTGACTTACAGACGGCATTAATAAATAGCAAATTAAAATGTCCACATACCTAAATTTACGTTTTACGCTTTTACACCCGCATAGCAGAGGGAACACCTCGTCAAAGGTTCATAAAAATTCGTCATTGTGCTTACGTTATTTATTACTCCACGTTCTCGACATCGAACCACCTTCTACCGGTGTTACGGTTACTCGTTCCCGCAGAGATAAGTTTTATATGCGTACGAGATCTGAAATGTTTTCCTGCTTCTCACGGCGAAACAAAAATCAGTATAAGTTTGGCGCCCGCGTAACTGTATTTAAGAGAGATTTTTATTTTACCACGAGAACGACCGACAGACCTCTCGCAATTTATTCCAAAATTTTAGAGAATTACAGGAATGAAGCCCTGATTATTATAATTATTATTTATTACGTGATGTAGACCTAGCATTATTTGTCATAATGTTCCCTATTATAATGTGTCATAAACTAATTTAAATGCGGTGAATAAAAGATGACAAATAAAAAATAGAGAAAGCTAACAAGTCTTCTCGATGAACCAAGATTTGATAAAATACAAGTTCAGTCACCCGTTATTGTAAAAAAAAAAACATAAAAAAAGTGTAATTAGGCAAGGTCTAGCTTGCAACTACTCATAACTAACCACTCAGTATATTTTACCACAAGATAATATAACAAAAAAAAGATAACAAACAACAAGTAGAATAAAATATGAAGCAGAGGCATCATGATGAAATTATCAATCATCAAAGATCAATCAAAAATCAACTGATATAAAGAATAGAATCAGTTAACAGAGAAGATTCATCTGCCGAGAATGATTTAATATGATTGTATCAACGCAACGCATGCGGAAGATGCGCTGCCGTAGCTTTATTTAGTTTGTTCAAAACGGCGACATCGGCTTGACTAGGGAAATAGCCTTCAATATAGCTTTTGTCTTCTATATGTTTATTTAATTCGGCAAGCTCCTTGTCAGATTTTAGATTGCCAAAAGCCATTTTTTACAAAATTAATTAAACCATCTGTTCCTAGATATTATCCTCGGCAAGAAGTACCCAAGAACGCATCAACAAATTGAAGGAAGAATAACTAAATAAACTAAAACTACATCGGAAAATCTTATCAAATGTTACTGAAGAACACAGATCGGAATAAACAACGTTTTCAAAATATATTGGTTTGAAATAATCGATGTGTTGTCATGTATATACAAAAACTAACCAAAACTAACCAAGACAACTCCGGGTACCAATTATCGTTCAGAAATCGAAATGATTTATCTCGAAAATCACAGATTTATAATTTATTATAACTAATAATAATCACTCTGTGTAATATCGTACACTTATTAAATAACAATAACAAATAACAACTGCTTGAAAATTTGCAAACTTCAATGTTATTTTATTCTTGAATACATTTATTTAAAATTATGAAACAGACCATAATAAAAATGTCGTGAAAGAAAACAAATAAATAAACAATTATTTCTAGGTAGTTGGAAGACACTGTGGCCCAGGTTGACCGGCGGCGCCAATGAAATAAACTTTTCCAGGTTACGAACGTGTTCCAAACTATAACGGTCGCAGCTTCTAACGAAGTCAAATATATTATTTATTAATAAATTCGCTAGATAAAACGACGAAGGTTAATTAAATGTGCCTGGCAACTTTTATTGCGGGAATGCCTCATAATAATCGCGATCGTTTGGAAAACGTTATAAGCTCGAACGGAGCGAATTAAAGAAATATATACGTTCGCTCTAAGGAATTTGTTTCGCTGGACTTCCCGTTATCGATACGGTCTTTGTTGGTAAGGAAAACGTTCGTCGGCGGATGAAAATCGGCAAAAAATGTGAAAACATGGTGAAAATACTTCCGCGTTTCGATGTGAAACGTTCAAGAACGAAATTGACGTGCAGACATCAACAGTCGATCAGACGACGAACCCGCGTGTTGCTATTGCGTGTTGCGAATTTACCTTCACAGCATTTAACTATTGTATATTATGTTAACTTTTTTATTTTTTTGGTGCCTGTTTTTAGGAACTCCTTGTAAATATAGTAAAAATGCTACGCTATATGTATTTTTCCACGCATTTGAGTCTTTTGT